TACATTAAGAGTTAAAATCACCTCTAAAGTATTACTTAACTCTTAATGCACCAGTCACATGGCTTAATTCAACTATAATGTTAATTTACTTCTCAGTGTGATTGGGGCCTAAATTGACTAACGAAAAAAGAAAGAAAGATGGAACGCTCGTTGTAAGTGAGCATTTTTTATGCCAATCAAAATGCACTTGACCATGATAACGATATGAACAGAACAGGGATGACCATTAAATAAACACGACTGACAGAAACAAAGAAAGAGAAACAGTGGACGTCCTTTTTCATGCGTCATCTCTTATACTAGTCAACTGCCCTCGACCATAAAACCAGAACAAAGAAAATGATTTTGAATAGCCGAATGAAACTGAAAAAAAAACGAATCGATTCGATTCGACCTCTTTTCTAGAAGTATCATTCGATTCGATTCGGCTTTTTTTCAATTATTTTTTTATTCATTCGATTCGATTCGGTAGTTTTGAAGTTCCATTTGGAATCGATTCGATTCGCCCCAGACGAACCGAATCGAATCGAATTATTCGGCAATTCGATTCGATTTCGGTCTCTGGTGGCAACCCTGCTCATCAAGTAAAGATAAAGGAATAGAGTTGGGCGTATATGATGATGTAGAAAAAATTTGTTGCTGATTTTGATGTGGTGATACAGCGTTTGTTGTTGGTTTTCAATTTCCTTTTCAAAACTAAATTAATTCTAATTGTTTTATGTTCACCTGACCTAAAAACAGAGTGGTGAAAAGTGTCAGAAGATATGGAGAAAATATTTTACTTATGATTTCTATTTTTAAAAATAAATCACTATGAGGAATTAATAAGCATACATTATTGAGAAACTCATAATAAAGATAATTCGACCACAAACAATAGCGAAAATAATAAATAAATTCAAATGATAATAATATAATAGATAGGTTCAAATGGTAATAACAACAATAAATAAATTCAAATAACAGTAGCAATAGCTATAATTGTGATAAATCGAGAAATACGTTAACAAATGAAACAATTCATTTGAAGATGCCAAAATATCAAGAATATTTCGACTAAGAATAATTAAGGAGTTCGAAGGTTAGATATAATAAAAAGGAAAGTGTAAAAACTTTTCAGCAAGTGTCAACTTGACACTTTGTTTTCATCAGCAAAGTGTAAAACAAAGTGTCAAATCAATGTTGCAAGGGCCTTGGACACTTTGTAACAAAGGCGGACCCTTGCTGTTAGAAACACTGATGAACTGCGCATCATTTTCTTGTCAGCAGCATAGAAATAGATAGCTCTGTTATTTATTTTTCTTATAGAAGTAATATAACATGGAATAAAACAAACAAAAAAATTATTTTTCCTCTTGAATCCTCTTCAGTCTATCAGATGACGAAATAGGTTTAGTTTTAGAAAAATACCAATTGGCTCTTTGCTTATGCAAGTATTTCTTCTGGCCATTCACTTTCACAGAAAAGAAAGATTCATTTTGACAGCTATCAATAGAACCAAATATACGCATTCCCTTGACGGTGAAACTAGACACCTTTGGAAGAACATCAAAGTTAAGTTCGTCGATTAGCATTGATTTTTCGTCTTCATTCGTGGTGTTATTTTCACAATAACGCTTGTCGAGTTGATGTTGTTCCTCATTATTATCGTCATCATCATATTCGTTTTCGATTTCCTCTTCTTCTTCTTCGACTTTGTTTGATGCACTAGTTTTCTTTTTAGAAATTTTACATTTCGATTTTGCTAACTTCTTGTGCGCTATCCGATGTACTTCTTCGAAAGATATAAGTTCTTCACTAGAATCAACTATAGAAAATTTACAACCAGAAAGAATTTCTTTCGTTTGAACAAAAGCGTTAAACACAGTTCTTTCTAGTAGTTCTTCGGTAATTGTAATTGTTGTTGCAGATGTCGAGGGTGCTACTATAGAGTTTTTGTGACTGCTTGTGATGTTTAGGGAATACAAGATTGTTCATATTACAATCCGAAGACCATCGAATGCTTTGGAGAAGAGCGAGTTTTTCGACGCGTTGGAGAAATTCATTAACAGAGAAGTTGGCAACGGATGAGAATGGACCAGACATTGACCTAACTGCGGGAAAGGTGCTTTCACACATTTGAGAATTAAATAAAGAAACGTTTAAAACATCTTCACTTATTTTTTGCTCCGCCGCTAGTACAGCAAGGTATGTGAGACTATGTGCATTCAGTTCAAGTGAGAACAGACACGGGACGGTAATGAATAATTGCGATTTTGAGATAGGAGTACTAAAATCAATTGGAAGCAGACGAAAAATATTTTCATCGATGTCAGCAGAGTCTATACTTTCCAACCACGCAGACCACAAACGAACGATGAAAACGGCGCACCACGAATAGTAAAGACGATCGATAATAGTAGTTTTTTTCTTGACGAAAGCGAAACGAACGAACTGGATGTTCTATGAAAAAAAATCTATTATATTTGAGTATTCAACATGCCGCAGTACCATGGTCAAAACTTTCATATAACTTTAACGATGTCATAATAGATTTTATATGTGATCCTTTTATTGATTCTAACTTTTTTTAAATAAAAAAATTATATTTTCACCGGTTATAAAAATATTTAGATGACCATTGCTATAAATACTAACAAATTGAAGATAACGCCTAGATGGTAGAGAGAGAACATCATTCCACGTGTATATATATATTTGTTTTCATTGTTCTTGATCAGTATCACCCAGGGCTACCAGCCGTACCCCATTTGTGGGTACAGTACCCCATTTGAGCCTTTTGTACCTAAAACAAAATTGTACCTCTGAGGTACGCATTTTGTACCCCATCTGCATTTTTCAATGTTACGGCTACTATCATCCATATTGTGGTTGAAATTCAGAAAATTTCTGTCTCTTTATCCGACATTTACTCGTATTGAGAAAGATGTCAAGCCTCAATTTGAAATTCGCAAAATTATTTTTTATGTGTTCTCAATTCCTTGCTCGAATGCATTTGTCGAAGGCGTTTTTAGTCATATGAAAAGCGCATGGACAGCAAGTCGCAATTCGATGGTGAGTGAAACGATCGCTGCTGAATTGAAAATCAGACTGAATAGTACTATGGCATGTGAAGATTTTTTTCTTTACTCAAACACAACCGCAACTAATAAAGTAAGCCAAAAGTCAACAAAAATACAGTTTCGAAAAAAAGCGTGCAACAGTTAGTGTAAATATAAATCGAGAAGGTTCGCTTTGAGTAAGCATTGTTTTATTATGATTGAATTGAATATATGTATGTCAAGATGAAATTTTATTGTGAACATATTTATTAGAAAATAAAGATTTGAATTTGAAAGCTAGTCTTTATAGTAAAAAGAAAAACTGAGAATGCCCTTTCCAGATTGAAAGTAGTTTTCGGAACTGATTTCCGTCGCTGATGAGCACCGTGAAAGATGTAAATTGCGTACCTCCCGAATGTACCCCATTTACAACTGAGTTGTACCCGACGTGCACCCCATTTCGAAATCAGTGTACCCCATTTGGGACCTGAACACCTGGCAGCCCTGGTATCATCGTTATTTCGTATTGTAAACATGGAGCGAATAAAACGACAATTAGACGACATTGTTGATGTTAATAATAACAACAAAAAACAAAAAATATTCGCAACAACAAATCAGTCAGTCATTTTAATATCTATATCATAATCTCGAAATCTTTAATTTAGATTTAATTTCGAAAATTTAGCAAATGAAATAATCTATGACATATTTGAATACCTTGACGTTTACGATATTTATTATGGATTCTATCATCTTAATAAACGATTTAAAAACTTAACTATTTATTCAAATCTTCATTGTCAGGTTGATATTTCAACAATGTCAAAATCAAATTTTGAATCTTATTATGAAGATATTATTAAACCAAATAAAAACCGGATAAAAATTCTTCGTTTATCCAATCCATTTACGATTGATCTTATTTTTTCTCCACCACGTGTTATTTGTGATTTTATTCAACTTGAAAACTTAATTCTTGATAATATCAATTCAAGATATCTTAATAACATTCTTGAAACATTTAATTTATTTACCAAAGTTACATTCATTAACTGTTTCGACTATTGATAACATACCAAATCCAAGTTCCATTTTTATTCAAATATTTCAATTAACAAAATTCAAATATTGTAAAATAAAACACAATGAAGATGGATCACCGATAAATTTTGACGAATGCAAACAAAGTTCTATCGAACATCTTATAATTGATAGTCCTTTTCGATATGAATTATTCAATAAATTATTAACTTGTCTTCCAAAACTACGTCATTTGTCAATTAATTATCTTACTGGATCGAATTATTCCGAGATAGATTTCTATCCAATTCTATTAAAAGATTTAAAATCTGTCTCGTTTGGAATTTATTCGGTTCATTTCGAAGAATTTAAAAAGTTAACAGAAAACTTTTTTAATTCTATTGAAAGTTTACGCATTTCAACACATAATAATTCATCATATTCACATGCAAAACAATGGGAAGAATTAATTTCTTCTTCAATGCCAAATTTACGTAGTTTTGATTTACAAAATCATTATGCTGGAGCAATGCAAAAATTCTTGTATAGTTGTTTAGGTGGTAAATTTGGATCAAAATTTTGGACTGAAAAGCAATGGTTTTTTAAAAACCAAGATGGTGACCATAAAAGTTCAGATAATGGACTTTTTTTTTCAATAAATCCATATCGGTAAGAAACTATGAATATTTTTCTTTCGAAGAAAAAAATATTAAGGAGTACATTTCGCATAACAATAGAGAGGAGTCAATGGATAACAAGCATAGGGCTGGAAATAATATTATTCCAGGAGGCTACTGCTCAAACTTTAAGAGCTATAGAATTCCACGGGCAGTCAGTCACAAAAACATGAAGGCCTCGGACACTTTCATTAATAATTTGATCATCCGGAGGTCTCAGAAAAACGCCTGTACCTTGTATGAATATTTTTATTGAGTATGTAACTATAAAAATATCATTGGAACAGTTTTCGACTAAATTCTAACTTCATTCATGGAAAATTTAAAGAATTTGTTGACTCAGTTTTTACATTTATTTTTGAAGAAAATATCATACATTTCATTGGCACTCCGATCACTACAATGCTTTCCGTTCTCGAAGAATTATTTTCAAATCGGTTAAACATCTTTATATTTGTGGTAAACAAGCTATAAACAATTCTGTTAGTTATTTTCCAAATGTAACCGAATTAACAATTAAAGATTATGCGAGAATATATTGTGGTTCAATGTTAGCAGCTCTTAATGAAATGATTCCTTTAAAACAACTTAACAAATTGACTATTGATTGTAATGATTTTCCGATTAACAAACTTGTGAATTTATTAAGTTTAACACCTAATTTACGTACATTAAAATGGAATTTTCAATCTGTTGATCACCCACAATTGAAATTAATTCAACAAAGTGAAACTTTTCGATCTGTATCACGTACAAATAAAATTCAAAATTCAAAATTTGGAAATTGCTCATTGTTGTACATTATACGAAATTTATTTTCTTGTTGATTTATTTCCACAATTAGAATGTCTTAAAACAGGAATAAATAGAAAAGAATTCGTTATAATTGCACGGCATTTCGTATCGAAAATGCCTCATTTATTTTATTTATGTATTACAGACTTGTCCAAAACATATTCACAAAAATTAAATATTTTAATTAAAGCAGAAAATTTACTCGATGATTATTTTATTAAATTTGTCGATCGTGATTTTTATTTATGGTGGTAGAATTGTTTAGGATAGATTTTATTGTTTTATGTATAATTATTCGTTACTTTTAAATAAACATGAGAGAAATTCATCGTTAAGTCAATTGTAACTAACAAAGCGTCATTATATAATAAGATAATGCAACAGTTGAGCCTCTATAAAAAAAAAGCAATGCATATTCAATGCGTTTGGGATGTGGGTCGATGAAGAGAACACCCACACCCTTACATTTCGCGCATGTGTAGCAAGGCGAAAGTTCAATGTTCTACGACTATGCTAGACTATAAAGAAATCATATAATCTAAGTGAGTCCCAATCACATCGAACGAACCATTTACCTTCTTCAAGCCAAACTTTCTTGGTGACTTCCTAAATAAAAGTATTTTCCTCTGTTCTACAGCGTTATGATCTGGTGCACTTTGATTGATGAAAGAGAGATAACTATTGACAGAGAACGTTCATATTTCTTTCCGATCACGAAACACACCAAAAAAATAACACTGAATTAAGCAACCTGATTGGTGCATTAGGAACTAAATCGTCTTGTTGAGACGATCTATTCGTTCATTCAGTTTTTTTGCGTGTTTAGGGTCTCAGCCACGTCTAGTTTCATCACCTAGCATGCTGTTCAGTGCACCGTTATTGGTATAAAAGATAACCGCTGACAAAGAATGGCCATTATTTCTTTCTTTCTGTCAGTCTTTTTCGCTTAATAATAGTCTCTTCATTTATTGGGTGGGTATGAATGAAAGAAGATGAGTGATACACACACTCACTGTACGCGGATGTTAATCTAACTAGTGTAGCATGATAACTTTAGCAAGTTGGCATTAGAAATGAACGAAAAATAAGTGCAAATAATTTCGATGGATATATAGGGGAAAACAATGTCGAGTCTATGTTCTAATTAAGTAATGAGTAAGACATCCGAGTGTCTAAGACCAATCAACTGTCGACATGCAAAATGTCGAAGTCCGATATCAATTAGTTAATAGCATCGTTGATAAATGGACAAGTTGTCTTGCCTATTACATTTTATGAATCTCGAGTTTTTTTTTAGCATTTATGAAAGTCCATCTAGTTTATTTTAATCTACAAAGACACTCATCAATAAATTATATTGATATGAATAAAAGGAAATTTCAAGAGACATTAATTTCAACAGAATATGACGTTGACAACCAAGGCAAAATAATGACTCATGAAGGTTCAGCATCGCTTTTAACATTACCCGTTGAGCTTGTTCAAACGATTTTCGATAAACTGAGTGATTTTACAATTATATGTTCACTTCGCAAAGTGTGTACACGACTGGATATGATCATTGATACTTACCCTCGATATCAGGTAAGTTGCAACATTTTCAACAGTTCAGATGTCTTTCATTCCAACGACACATTTAGTTCATGGTCGATTTTATCCTAGAAATAGTCCCTTGAAAATATTTAATTATGACTATTGATCATTATCCAAAGAAAAAAGAATCGTATAATTATAAAAGTTTACGGTTCCAGTTCTAACGTCGTGTAACAACTGACAATTAAACTCAACAAAATAATTTAATTCAATTGAACTGTAGATTTCATCCCACAAAAATTAGAACATCAATAATAAAAACTCAACGAATAATAGGTTACATTGTTTTACCAATACCCATAAAGCGCCCTCCATAATTCATTCTTTTGTTTACGTGGATTCGACAACCGAATTAGCCTATCCTGCTCATTTATGTATATTGGATATTAATATAATATAATAGTCACTATTTTTAATGTTAAATACCGGGAAAAACGAGGTATTAAAAGTATTTGCGATTGTTAGAGGTACATTATTTTGGACCGAACAAAAATTAGCTTAAACGCATCTTGAAAAATAAAACAATCCACCTATACTGTACTTGCAGATTGAACTTGGGAGATCTTGCGTTTTCTTTTAGTTTAATTTAATCGAAATCAAGAATGATGATTGATCATTGAAAATTCTATTGGGTTTTTTAGATTTAGATTTTGTGTCTTCTTGTACATGTGCTTGGAGAGTAATCAGCTTTTGTTAAATACATATAAAATTTCCCCGTGAATTTGATATGATGATGAAAAGAACTGCAAGAGTCGCATTCATATCAATTGATTTTGTTGTTATTTTGCATATAAGATCATATTTCGGATGAAATAAATAAATTTTGATTAATTATTTTCTATTTGTTCATTAAAAACTGATCATAAAAATACTGCATGCAGAAACAATTTAAATGATCGATTTCGTTTATCGAACAATGATGACAAAACTTCAACAAATGTTTTCTTGAGTTTTTCCAAATCTGTTTCGCCATATATTAAGAAAAACAATAACAATGTATTTCATGTTATCCCTCTTTATTTATTGTATATATGGAAAAGTAACGTTTACCTCAGGACGTTTTTTGTCACAATATTTTATTATATAAACCAAAATATCAACAGATACTTGGCGAATAGAAATAAACTACCTAATTACATTTTGTTTCAGATTTCTATTAAAACACTAATATTATTCATTAAGAACAACAAAAAATATGATGTCGATGATATTTACAAATAATTATTTGAAATTTTTAATACCTGCTGCACGACATTTAACAAGTACTCGCTCTAATCTTAACTTGGGTGATGAAATGAAAACGTTAAATGATAACAAACAATACAGAAAAACTCTTGAGTTATTTGATATATTCAACGAAAACAATATTAATAAATGTTCCAATTGGGCTATTATTCAAGCTTTAAAGGCATGCACTGAAACAAATAATGCTCAACGTGGTGTGAAAATTCATCATCTTATTTCATCTCGTTTAAAACATGATTTTTATGTGTTACCATCATTAATCCAATTCTATAGTAAGTTAATTGCAAAAACAAATAAGAAATAATTGAATCGCTGTAGTTTTCGTATCACATAATCGTGACTCAAGTAAAGCTTACATATTTCTCCAGAAATTCTTGTTGGATCTTTGTTTAAGCGAAAGCTTTGAAATTCGATTGCACGTATTTGTTTTACGTCAAGTATTAGTCATGGATCAAAAAAATTGAAAATTTTTCAATCTGGTATAGTAAAAATTGAAGTGTTTATCACACAACTGTATTTTAATAATTTGAATTCAATAAAGAGAAACACGTGACGAGTTATCTATTTCAAGTTTGCATTTATCAGTGATAGGAAATTCCTTTCATGTTTATCTCAAAAAAGATCTCCTAATTTATATTTGAGCTACCCAGGTCGGTCAAAACGAACCAGCGTAAATCGTCGTAACACTACCGTAAACGGTCGTTTTTACACTGTATTCCACCGTAAAACAGCCGTATTTGTATCGTATACGACCGTTTACTGATCGTTTTCTTCGACCACCCACGGAAAAATTTTTGAAGAAAAACCGTGGTGAAACCCAACGCGGTGTTCATCGGTTTAATGCAACCGCGAAAGTCAGACCGTTTATTCGGTTTCTCAATATCGCGGTACCGGGTGGTTTTGAGAAACCAAATAAACGGTATATCTAATCACCGCGGTTGACGCCCACTTCACCGTGGTATATGCAACAGACAATAACCGGGATATCTATTTACCGCGGTTACTATTCATTCCAGCGACGTGTTTGAAAGCGATGGCAGCCACTACTTGTGATACCGCAGTTATGAGAGAAACACCGCAGTATACGCAACCGGTAACAATCGGTATATATGATATCGCGGTTAAGCTGTAGCATAGTGAGGCTTTTTGTTAAGACGGTTGCACAAAACAGCAATTAGCTGCGGTTGTGAAAACCGTACCGTGGTTGCTCTTGATAACACCGCGGTACAGTGAGGAAAACCGCTGTTCAACGCGGGTTTTTTGAAAAACTTTTCCCGTGGGCGGTGCTGATTGCAACATAATAGCTTTTTTTCTTAGTGCGTTCTTTCACACGGAACGAAAAATTAAATAAAAGCTAACAATATTCCCTATTGAGGAAATCGAAATGATTTTTCAAGAAATTCAAAAACGAGCTTCTAATGATAATATTTTGTCAATGTTTGATTACAGTGCAATGTGGTGACGTTAATCGGGCTCAATTATTATTTGATACATCAACAACAAAAACATTAATCATGTACGGAACCATGATGAAAGGTTAGCATGTTTTCTCTTGATTTTCTAATGTGCATCCGACTATTTGTAGGTTATATAAAGAATAATTTGCCGAATAAAGCCATTCATCTTTTCAAGGAAATTAAGGATCTTGATGAAGTGATAGTTACTCTATTATTTAATGCCTGTGCTCAATTAGCAACTAACGAAGAGTTAGATTTATTAAAAACAGTTTCATCAAAAATCCCCAATTCTTTCTACATGGATTCTTATCTTTTATGTTCTCTTATTGATGCATTTATGAAGTGCGGTGACGTAACAAGTGCGAAATTATCATTTGATCGATCAACAAAGAAAACATTACCAATGTATCGAGCGATGATAACAGGTTAATATTATATTTTCTGTTAGTAATTCTTTCATCCATTTTATTTTCTAGGCTTTTGTGTAAATGATCAGGAGGAAGAAGCAATTGTCATGTTTAATGAAATGCATCTTCATGAATTCCATCGAGAAAGGCGTAGTAAAAAAAAATTGAAGTTATTATCTGAAACGAAAAGTGATAGTTCTGAAACAAATATTCCTATTTATTTATGCCTTTTAAAAGCGTTGGCTAAGCTTGGTATATCAAAAAAAGCTGAATCATTCGTTCAACAAATTCCAAGTTCTATTCTTACTGATCATCGAATTCAAACTGCATTGATGCATATGTGGGTATGTTAAAAATACGTATTCTTTTCTTGTATGTTTTTCTCTATCAAAAATAAATTTAGGGCAAAGTTGCTTCTGTCAATGAAGCAAAGCGAATATTTGAAAAAATATCTCAACCGGATCACATTGCATGGACAGTGATGAGTTTGTTTTCGATTTTTTTTTCTTTACAAGAACCTAAAGTTTGTTGTTTGTGTCAATAGTTAATTCTTACGGTTTAAATGGAATGGGTATTGAAGCTGTGAAACTTTTTCATCAGATGCCGATAGAATTTATCCACGATGTTACTTATATTTGTGTGTTAAATGCATGTTCACATTCAGGACTTGTTGATGTAGCTCGCACAATCTTCAATAACATTCAAACGAAAACAGAAATAATATATACGACAATGGTTTATTAAAAAATATCCATTTTTTGTTGAACAAATCTATAGAGATTTCCTATTCTTATTCGTTTAGATCGATTGCCTCAGTCGTGCAGCTTTGTTTGAACAAGCACAGCAATTAATCGAGCAATTTGAACGTGATCATGCGCCTGCACTACCCACCTATAGTTTGTATTTGTTCAATGTTTTCATAATTAATAGAATGCATGATTTATTTTTATATTTGAATCGATTAAGGAATAATGTAGTCAGAAGAGGAACATTCTATTACTAATTTTCCATTCGAATATGCAATTAATGGAATAGGCTTCAAGACAAATATGTTTATCATAGATTAAGGAATATCAGATCGGCAATTTATGAAAAATCTAATCTAATCTAATCAAACCATAAGCAAAATAAAATGAAAAACAATAGGAGCTCTTCCCCACATAAGATGTTCATGCTATTATTACAAGTGATTGTTCTATCTTAACACAATCAACCTTTCCAAAAATACTTTTGAGACTTTCAAGAATTTCACGTCATGCTACTGTTTCTGCTAAGAATGAAAAAGCGTTTGTTTTTCTCGATAGTATAGTGGAATATATTTCACTGTATGAAATTATCAGCCTATCCAAGATGAGCACGGCTATTGTTTTACAAATATATGTGCCGGTTAGATGAATATGAAGGCATACAGGGTAAGAACACTAAACAAATGTCGTCACTGCCAATGAGACAATTGATATAATGCTTTCTGTGTCATTAGAGACTCTAAGATAGTAACATAGAAAACTAACAAGCATGTTTTTATTTTTTTTTAAATGATTTTCGCATTTCAGTATTAATCCAGTACACTCAGTAGTAAATCGAAAGAAATCTATATGGTACTGGTACGATAATGTTTGATGAAGATAAGAAACGACTCGACGGACAACACACACTATGATGATTGAAAAGTTTTTTGAGGCTCTGTGCAAGTAATTAGGGCATATTTTCAATCCATTTTTACTAGAAAAAACATTGTTTTTGCCAATAAAGAGAGATCACCCGAAGTTCCTTCCAAAATCTACCACTGATCTTATCAAATTCGATGGAAAATAAATATTTGTTCCTTATTAAATATACCCGGTGGCATTGATTTTGCTTCTTCATGACAATACTGCTAAGCACGATGAAGAGATTGAAATGAAGTTCACATAGCCATAAATGTCTAATGGAATGAAAATTTTCTTTCGGTTCCGGTTAAAATTTGAAAAATCCGACCCATACATATATTGTGGAGCTTAACGTAATCAATTTTAAGCAATACAAAATATTGGACATCCATAGCTCTATGAACAAAGAAGTTTTCAAATTGAACTTCCTACTTGCTGTAGAATTCGATTGATATTCGCTGCGAATTGATTTTCTCAGAAATTCTTTTTTCAATTGTGGTAAAAGAAACCGTTGAACGAAAAGATCCATAGAAAATACTTTAAATCGTTACTCAAATTCGAAAAAATCGATGAAAATAATCAGTTTTATCAAAAATGAATAACATAGTGTAATATTAAATGCAGTTAACCGAGAAGAATAGATTTTATTCAATGTTAGCTAACTTTACAGGAAAGCGAAAGCTCATCAAAATATTGACAATAGATTTTCTTTGAATAAATGTATAGATAAACGATTTTGCTTCTAGTGTAATTATGTTATATGTATTTCTTGAAAAGAAAAATGCAACAAAGGGCACTTTTTAATTTAAAAAGAAAAGAGTGAGTTTAGATAGTAAAAAGAAAAATTCTATCGATTAAAATCGCGATTTTTTAAAATTATAAACCACAAGAAAGAAATTCATTTTTATTTTCTGGTTTTCATTCTAGTGGCATTATTGTCAGGTGCTCGAAATGAAAAAAATACTAAATTATCACAAGAAGTTGTTGATCGTATTCAGAAGCTGTTCCCTGACGTGAAAGGTTCATTGTTGCCAGCGTGGATTCTATTAGCTAATACTTATGCTTCATCGGGCGACATTGAAAAAGCAGCAGATATTAAAATTGAATTGCATAGATCGGGTGCTAAGAAAAAAGCTGGTGTAACATTGACAGAATTCGATGGAAAAATCTGGGTAAGTTTGTAAGTCTTTTAATCCAAATGTTTGAAATTATTTTGATGTATTCTCATAGAGATTTCGAGCTCATGATCAATCACATCCTGATTCTGCTGAAATTCATGCACAAGTTGATAGAATGTCAAAAAAGCTCATTGAATATGGGTATAAGTACGATGCAAGTTGGATTGTAAGGCCGATAGAAGCTGATGAAACAGTTGAATCACTTCTTTGTGGACACAGTGAACGACTTGCTATGGCTCTTCATTTTATTCGCAATCGAAAACCCAAACGCATTCAATTGACGAAAAATCTTCGCATTTGTGGTGATTGTCGTAAGTCATGAATATCAATCTAGCGTTTTTCTGATTGACTATATTTTGTTTCTACATAGATCAATTCACGAAATTAATTGCTTTGGTCTATCAGTGTGAAATAATTGTTCGCGACGCAAATCGTATACATCACTTTCATATAAATGGACAGTGTTTATGCCAAGATTATTTCTAAAAAAATCTTTTATTTTTCAGTGGTTGTTTTCACTTTATATTGTTCTTCATTGTTGTTATTTTTTATGAAAATAAAAAAACATTATTTTGTTTCTATAATTTTACACCTACCCAGGTCGAGCAATCCCATACTCAGATCCTGTCGGATCCTACCGTGAAACCCCAAATAATCCAATAACATCCGATAGGAATCCGGGTGTGGGTGTGCGTGGGGTGGGGTGTCGGGTGTAAGTGTATGACCTTTAATTTCTCCAAACCGACACCCACACCCTATTATTACCTCTCTTGTTTGTGCAGTCTTCTTCTTCTTTATTTCAATAGGTTATTCAAGATGTTTTACAATTGTTTAATCGTCTTTTAACAATTAAAAGTATACCCCTAGTTGAACAAGTTTATCAGGCTATTTTAGCTGATATGACATCAAATTTTCATGTACTTTAAAATTTTCTTGAACAAAAAACAATTGTTATTGGTAGTGGACCAGTATTAACAAGTGATTTAAATGAAGATGGTGCAGAAGTCCAGCACTTATTTTTGATTGTAGTGCTTTATGTCAAATTGGAAATGTAAAAGGAAATTTAATTTGAGTAAGTTATTAAAAACAAATTTTATCTTACTGATTAGCTTGAAAGCTTTGATATTAAACAATGTGTTGTTAAATCTAGATGTATGTACTGACTCCACCACTTTTTGAATTACTTGCTAAACATATTCAATTAACAAATTCAAAATTAGCTCGACAGTATCCATCTGTTCATTATGGTTTACTTAAAACACTTAATTCACATTGTGCAGCGTTAGTAATTAGTCGAAGATGATATTTTTTAAAGATGAATCTTTCCTGATTTCTTCATCGTCTTATTGTTAATGGTCATCTTAGTTGTCATGATACAAAGTGCGAAGTTAATAAACAAATGAAATGAAGGAATACGTTCTTTGTTGTGTTATTTGGAAAATTATTATTAAATTGACTTGCTGAAATTATCGATGCACTGCCACTTTTACTCAAACTATCGCATGCTATCATTGATACAGATAAAAAAAGAAACAAATTAGCATGAAGTTCTCTTAAATTCTTTCATCTTGATATACTTCTAAAACTTTAGTTCGTAAATAACTTCAAAGGAACTGTTTTCAAGTTTCTTTCGTTGCAAAGAGTCTTGTGTTTAGAGAATCATAAACCTAGTGAAAACCGTTATTCCACCTTAAATCTATTCTTTCTAAATAATTATTTAGTCTATTCGAATGAAGAAGAAATCGGTAATTTATGCTGTCGATTATTAAATAAAATTGTTGAACGACAACGTGATCTTGATGTATCATTTTTAGTTCGGTAAGATTAATTGATAAAACGTTTTATTCTCTAAACATAAATTGATCTATTTTAGTTTATTTGATTTATGTCAATTCTGGTTATAATCAAATGAAACATTAATTCATGATAGCTATTATGCTATTCTATGTTGTTTACCTGTTAATATTCTAACCAGGTTTGTAAGGAATCAAATCAAATCAATGAATGAATCAAAAATTTTTGTTTTTCTCTGGTAAATTTCCGACACATGGCACATTATTATCATCAAAAAATGATTATTCTGGTTTTTCTAGTATCGTTAAACAAAATCCCATGAATTCTCCATACTTAGGGATATTTATAACGCATTATTTCAATTTAATATTAGGTTCTACACTTGTTAATCATCAAATGCCGTATGTTTTTGTTTTTATTTGAAATAATATTTGAAATCATAATTTTTATTAGACAAATGTATGCAACTACATGGCTTGAATACTTATTTCAATAATGTCAATGTAAAAGTAATAATGAATCTTCTAAACATGAACATTTATCTGAAGATCAACATCGTTTATTAAATTATGAAAAGTTACCAAATTTTGGAAATGATGCATTGGTTTGATTTATTGAAAATTTATACATAGATTCAAAACTTTCTTCTTTCTTTTTTTTGCCATCAATCACAGATCTGGTTTTGGGCTATATGGGAGTGTGCACAATCTTGTGTTATAAATAAATTGAAAACCACAAGAAACATTTTTAGCACTCGAAGGTGATATATACAGTTCATTTTATGTTGTGTGATGTTAATTATTAGTCTTCAGCTTATTTGAGTGAGGAATATTCAGAAAAATGTATATTGTAATATTTATATCAGGTTTACATGGAAGAATCGTACTTGACAGAATGAATTATTGAATTTTGTAAATAACGAAAAATATAAATTTAATTAATTATTTAATTATTTAGAAACCTTACAATTTTTTGCTTGCCCAATTGATAACAACAGGAAAAAAGTAGAAGCATCTTCGTCAGAACAAACAAATTGTTCTTCAACATCACCATCATCCGGTGAAATAAATGTTTCAACAGATAAAGGTGATTGGTGATGTGATTTATAGCGTTGCTGTCTTTTATTACACTTAATTGAAGCACTGCAAAAGTGTATGTATAATGCATACGAAGGCGCTGCTCTTTCACTTCCGCAATTACCTAAAGTAAATTTTTGTTTTTGTGTTCTTCTTTTCTTTTTTAGACTGAAGTTGTTTTTCTTTATCACAAATAAATCTACATGTTGTGAATGGCTTAATCGTTTTCGTATTCCGATCATTTTAACTGCTTTACGAACTGGCCAATATGAATCAGCTGCACGAAATTCTAATCAATATTTATTACATACTTGTTCATTAGGTCAAGCTGAGGTAAAAATATGTTTAATTAAATAGTCTATTTTTCGATCTGTTCTATTACAAAAGGTATCGGAATTCGAATTTGTAATAATATCATTTGTTCAATCACTTATTAAACTGCATAATAGTATGACTATTCATGGAATTTATGTATGGTTAAAAAATATTCATCAACTTGATTGGTCATGGATACAAGCTTGTGAACATGAAGCTGCTGAAAATCTTGAACAAGCAGCTTATGAATATAAACTATTCTTAAATGAACATTTTAAAAGTCTATCAATAATTAATGAAAAAAAAACAAGATAAAATATCAGCTGGGCTTGTTAAAGTTTCTCACTCAAAAAGTAAATTCAAATAAAAATTTAATGGAAAACGAAATAATATATTTATTTTTAATAGGTTTATGATTGTTGTTTAAGTTTTCATCCATGACGTGAATTAATTGCATGCAATGATGCATGTATTAAAATGTAAATGGCATTTTTACAAGATGATAATGAACATTTACGTATAGCTATCGAAGCAACAATTGATAGTAATGCTATTTGGGTAGGAAAATCGAGATTTCGAAGGTTTAAAAGTTTCTGTGAGAAAAATGCCAAATCCACAAGCCACTGTAGAAGCACTTGGCCGAAGTATATCATGTAGTTGGGATATGAAAGCATTTGATATGTTAGCAACTGTTGAAACATTAAAACGAGTATCAAAACGAAGGTAATACAATAAATCATTTTTATTTGACCTTAGTTTTATTTTTACTTTTTGTTTTTGAAGATCGACTCTTTGGCCATTTAATGCAGTACTACAATTAACACAAGATTTAACACGAATTCATAATGTTGATGAACATGCATCATGGTCCGAAGAATGAGCAGCTATTAGTCAAGTGGCTGCTTTATATCAAAGTTTCGATGTTTTATTGTACTTAAAATGCATTACGATTTTTCTTATCAAAGTAGAATTATATTGAATACATTTATAACCCAGTGTAGTTCATTGGTTTAAGTAAATCATCTTGTATTTAGATGTTTCATATGCTAGCCTGCGTCTCTGCACAATTTAAAGGTTTGCTTGAAAAATATTATAAAACATTTCTAACTCCTAGAAAGAGATGATGATTATGATATAGTGATGGTGACGCAGTACGGATATGAATCTTCGCTAATAGTATGATTTTTTTCCCGAAAAAGTTGATGCTTTTAGACGCGTTTGTGACACGCGTTTAAACGCGATCTACGCTGCGTTTAGACGCATCAGATGTTTCATCTTAGCTGCATTCGTTGCGTTTGGGTCGCAACGTTTCAAGAGTGCTTGTGACGCGTCTAAGGTTGCGTTTAGATGCACAAAATTTTCACATGAACAACGATGCTTTTGTTTAGGAGCACTTCTGAAAAGATTTGTTTACTATTAACTGTATTTTTCATAGCATGAGAACTACATATTTGACTTGTTAATGTCAATTTCAATTAGATGTTTTTGCCATTTTGAAAATCGAAAGTAAATAAGTAATGAAACGAGTCAATATATAAAGAGAATAATTAAGTTTTATCTTAAACTAGTTTAGTAGCATGGAAATTATTAATTGTTTGTTTTTAGCTGTGACGCTTATTTTGTCGATTTCATATGATATATTCTCTTTAAAATGTTTTCGAAACATAATTCTATCTTTTTCTCTTTAGCTGAAGATCCATCAGATGAATTTGTTGCATTACATCATCTTGTTGCATTTGAATTATGTTGCAAATATCCAGCTGATTTATTTTTAAAAGACGCAATTCTTAAAATGAATCTGTTAACAAACGGAAGCATTGATAAAGCATGAGACGTTTTGAAATTAACAAAAAGGAATTTTGCGATTTATTTGATCAAAATTTATTAACCAAAACCTATTTTGTTTTATCAAGAAAGACGACGTGTTTTTGAAATATGTTTTCTTCAAGCGATTACTGAAAATGATGAAAAACAAATCAAACATCTTCGTTTAATTGTCAAGCAATGTCTTTTTGAATCATTACAAGCAACTATTCCGATTGATTTTATTTGTAAAATAGATTTTCTCATTAGTTTGATACACATTGCGGTGTTCAATCACCAGATCCAGAAAAACGAGAAAAATATTTAGCTACTCAATATGAATATGTTCTCGAACATTATGAAAATATTCTTTGAGCATTTAACAAATATCAAGATAGATTATATAACTGAATTCAATGTTTCATATCGAGCGTTGGGCAAATATGTTTATTTTTCTTGTATAACTTTACTATATAATCAATGCTAAAATTTAATAGAAAGATTTGTCAAAATGTCTATCAATAAATAAACATGTATTTTTGCTAAATAAAAATGAAAACTTTTGAAATGTACAAGACAAAATTTGCAATGATCAATAAGATGGACGTGGGTATAAGAGGTGATTTTGTTCAAGTGTACACAGATGTATACATATTGTATATATAGTTATACTACTTCGATGTGAGCTGTTTTTGTGGAAGATTTTGAAGGTATTGCGTAGTTCGTTTTCTGAGATCTTTTACGTTCAATCGATTCGTTTTCGCTTTCTTTCGACCAAAACTAACTTATTATTTGTTTTAGACATTTTGCAGCAAATTCCATTTTACCTCTATCGTTACGAATTATTCCAAGTGATTCACGATTGATTATCATAAAAATTCTTAATCAATAATTTCTGCTTGGATTATTTTTATGTATGTTATAGAAACAAGAATTTCATAAATTTCTAAGCAAGTTGTTTTTCAGAATATACCTATGTTTTTTGAGACGTATACTATTCTTGCTGATAGTATCTTCGAGAAGAAATAGTGTTTCTTACGGTATTAGTATCTCTTGAAGAATTTAAAATAGGACTGACTTGGTTGGAAAGAAAATGTAGATAATATGTTAGTTTGAGTTCAAAATTTTGTTCAGAGAAACATAATATCCTTGATAGGAAAGGCATTTGAGAATGAAGATTTTTCGAAAAAACAGTTATTCTTGCAACTTCAAATATTTTCTTTAAGATCGTGTCTATATGCTTACCATTATCAATAGTCGGATTTAATTGAATTAAATCATCAAAAACTTTCAAAAAATTCGAAAGCATTTGTTAAGGGTGTGGGTGTGGGTGTGTACAGCAGCCAAGACACGTTTCGTCTCTGTTTAAGGGACTCTTAAGTTGGCAAATAATCTCTATGATAAAATTTTAAATTAAAATTAAAATAAAATAATTAAAATTTAAAAAAAATCACAACATTAAACTATACTGTTATATAGAAATTTTTCGAAAAGAAAAAAGATCATATATTGATAGTATCCATTTCCAGTAGATTAGAAATTAAAGTTTTTAAGAAAAATCGAGATCGACACTACGTGTTTCGTCCTTTCTCAAGGGACTTCTCAAGTGGCGTAAGACATCTTAATCGATTACAAGAATCAATTAAAATTATCTTCTACATTGTCGTAAGAAGCAAAACGTTTTTGACGAAATGTAGATATTTAGAAAAAAGTGATATAAATTAGAAAGCATACCAAGACCGGTTTCGTGGGTGTGGGTGAGGATGTGAGTGTGGATGCGAAGGACTTGAAGTTTCCACATGAACACGCACACACGCACCCACACCCTAGAACTGCTTATAGTTATTACGCTCTTCATAGTCGGCTACACGAACATAATGAGTTTTCTATTCTCCGTACCCACGTGCATTAACACAGTGATTCGATTAATTTATACTCTATCCAAAGTCTGCTCCTGTTGCATCAAGGAGATGTGCTGTCTCTTATGCAACGATATTTGAACTAGCTCAATACCCTGTTAGCGAACGGTTCTCGAGAAAAGAAGGCCAAATGAACTGCATTTGTAATTGATCTGTGTTTGAATAACATTTCACAGTTTGTTTTCTGGCGTCGTGTGCTCCTGTTCCTGTTCTCAGAAAAAGCTTGTTAGCGCAGCTTCTTAGTGGCTAAAGTGTGAAACGTACATGCATTCCTTTGAGTGTGTGGGTGTGGGTGTAAAGAAGAAAACAGCCACACCCACGCCCTAAATATGCGATTGGAGCCAAATTTAAAGAGTGATGGCATAATCCCGTTACACCGGGTAACGTCTTTTGTGGCCGGAACTGAGATGCATTTCGATCCTAACCAATCGAAGAACTTTTACCCATTTCTTCCAGTGAAATGACCTTCGGGGGAGTGACTGCATTGCCCTAACGATATAACTATGTGTTAAAACTTGAGGAATTTGAGTTGTTTTGGCGTAATGATGCTTAGGGTAGGCACTTTGTTCTCCCAAAGGTCATTACACCAAAACAACTCAAATTCCTCAACTTTTAGCATATGGTTACATCTTTATGGTAATGAAGCCATTCCCCGAGTGGTAGTATCGGAATATTTTGGGAGCATTTATCCATAGTCGAGTGGGATGTAGATATTGATGCACTTCGTATGGTATAAGCTTAGGATACTATGACTTTGGATTCTCATTACGCAGTGTAATGGTATTATGACATCTATGGAGGAATGTAATAATAAAGCAAATGATTGGAATGAAGATATAATAAAAAAAGTTACGAAAACGGACCAACATCGTCATCGATTTTATATTTTCTTAGATATACTTCATTTTTAGTAAACTTCTATTTCATGTTTTTTTTCATTCGAGTATTAGCTTTTGTAAGTCGATATGCGCGTTTACATATCATTGTTTATTTACTAGTTTTCCATGAATTTGTATTATAGTTATTAATTTAAAATCATTTGAGGGTTTTCATTAATTATAGTTGATTAACAAGATAATCGTGTTTATGAAATAAAATAGCAAAAAAGAAATTCACATCGGTTATTTGCGCATCGATCAAGTTTTTAGTTAATTTTTTTAGAAAATGATGGCAATTGAATGTACTGAGAGTTTCGCTGTAAATTGGATTCATACTTGATGTGTATCTCGAGATTATAAATTTTTCTAGAGCTAGCTTTTATACGTTGTCTGTATCTTAAGCGAATCTGGATTTTTTTGAAAAGTCAGCACTGTGAACCTTTGCCCAGAGGAATTTTTTGTAAAAACAAACGGTAGTGACGGGACATTGAAGCGGACACCGACTTTCACCTTATGCATTTTAGTTTTAAAAATTTTCCAATCGATGCATAATTTTAGAAAACTCTCGAGGCTAAAGAATCTCTATACCTAGATTTTAAAAAAATCATGATTTTATTTTCCTTATCGGGGTCATCGAGTATGAAAACATAAGCGAAAAGTGCTCTGTTAATCGAATGAAAAGTTTGGAGACGATCCTAAATTATACAAATCCTTGCTCAAAGTGTTCACATGATGATAAAAGAAAAATCATTGTTTCAACATTAAATGGGGTCCCCAGAAAAACGTCTTTTTACCCTGTGTCATTAGAGAGATATTCGCTAATTATGTTTTAATTAATATTCACGTGAAAAGGAGAAGATTTTTATATAGATCTATGCTAAAAGAATATAATGAAAAAAATAACCTTCGTAGAGAATCATAGTCAAATAAAAGAAGATATAAGCCATATATTCTTTATAGCATGAAAATAATCTCATACTCATTATAATAACCTAATATTACTTGATCTACTGATCTTCAAATAATGATAAAGAAGCATATAAAAATAAGTTAGCTAACAATCAAAGTAAATCTTTTATTGATTCAAAATTGTAAGATGTTGATTAGAATTTACGAAGCACACAGCGGCAACTTTTAGTACCCGTTCCTAGGGGTGGCACTTAACGTTAATTTAATATTAAGTGTTAAGTTTTACGTTAACACTTAATATTAATAAAAAAAATGTTTGCATTAGCCACTTAATTACTTAATATTAAGTGTTAACGCAATACTTAATTTTTAATATTAAGTGTTAACGAAGCACTTAATTTTTAATATTAAGTGTTAACGTAACACTTAATTGTTAATATCAAGTATTAAGCTTTTCACGTTAACACTTAATTCACTTAAAATTAAGTGTTAAATACGAAGAATATTTCGTTTTATTTTGAGTATGTAGCTAGTAGGGACATAAAGACTATAAATAGAATATTATTAGTATAAAAGCGGTAAAATCCTTATCCGCTACGAAAAGTTGTTTTTTTTCGAAAAGAAGTATTATTTCTTAGATTTGAGCGGATACTATTTCGTGTGAGAGTAAATAAACTTGTTATTAGATGTAGTTATTTTATTTTGCATTGATGCTCTATTAAATATTGCAAAGAATTAGAAAACTATGATATTGATTGAAACTTATTCAACATTGTTCATAGATACTATAGCAAGTGTCACAGGAGCTTAGAGGCTATCAAAAGAACGACTTCCATTTTATACAATTGCGTATTTATTAACTTAAAATCAAGAATTTCGCTTGAGTCGAATTTCAGCTATTTGATCTTGTAAATCACTATATGAGTGGTCAGAAAAATAGTCATTCTGTGTAACCATTAACTGTATGCCACTGTCTTCATTTTTTTAGTATGAATTTATGATACGTATACAGTAAAATATGCATAGTGCGAATAGTATCAGTAACAGTTAACAACATTCATGATAAATAAGCACTCATTTTTGAGAGATACATTCGCAGTAAAATCGATTTTTTGGATCTGATAAAAGTGTCTACAACAACGAAATCTTCAGATATAGAATTTTTACTACTTATATATGTTTTGTACCGTATGATTTAGAATAGATTTATGTCAATCAGCTATCCGTGGTCTTTCGTGAGACAAAATCAACTTCAAATTTCCATTGTGAATGAGGTGTACTGTCTGTCTAAAAAAGAAAAGAAAGTGCACGACATGTTATGAGTAATATTATGAAAAGAAAAATATTTCACAAATTAGATTTCGGCAATAAATTGCAATAAAAAAAGGCGGTTTAGTGATAACAGACTAGCACAGGTAAAATTTTCATAATGCTCCTGATCTCGACACCCACGAGAGAATAGTCAATCATAAATGAAAGCATGGACTATTCAAATATTATGTGGAAATAAATAAACTCATGTTAAGTGAAGAAAATTTTCAAAATAGCGTGAAAATCGCCAAATTTACGCTACGTAGTTTGATACCTGTTGAAGTCACCAACTCAGAAAACACTTTAATAATAACTAGAGAATGATTCGAGAATAGAAATATTCGCAATTTACTGACAGCATGATCTAAGTATTATATTTCATTAATTGTGTACATTACACGTATGATTAAAGTCTTCTTTAAACGTCTAGATGTATTGTAGAATTTTACCCTAAAGAAATCGTTTTTTCTTAATTCTGTCTGTCTTTTCTTTGCTTCGAAATCGGTAAAGTTAGTGTTTTATGAATTTATTTTCAAGTGTGACCTGATTTTCCATTTGTATGTGATGAAATGCCACACAAAGAAAAAAACAAAATGAAGATATAAATCAATGAAATCAAAAACGAAAACAAAAGAAAAACAAGAAAAATAATTTCATCAACAATGGAGAAAACATAGGAAAATATCCAAGTAACACAAATACTTTTGCAATTATTAACGAAGTAATTCTAGTTTATGACTGTCCTTCAGAACAAGTGAGTATCGTATAGCATTTGCTGACAATGAGCATCGTTCCTTGCGTCGAATGTATCCAGCAATGCTGAAAGTTGATTCGCAAGGTACTGACGACGCAGGAATGATGCTGACACGACGAACCACACCACTCATTAGTGGTAGTCTATGCTCATAATCACTCCAATAATGAGAAAATTTGATTTTTTTACTAATGTTAATCGAGGACATATAAAATCCTATTTCTTCATCTATCGACCACACTTTTTTTCCTGGTAGTGTTTGATCCGATGATGAACTAATACCACAGAGACTAAAAAGAGAGTCAATATTGTTTTGTTTCGCATCAGTTGAATTTGTATTAATGGATCTCGAACGGCTATTTGTAACATTTGATTGGACGACAACGTTATTTTGAGTTATTCGTAGAGTTTCCTTCTGCATTTCAATCTTTAGCAATACTATAGCCGCTTGTAACTCGATCGGGCGTTGACGAAGTCTGCAGTATTCGTTTGGTTCCAAAAATGCAGCTACCTATATAAAACAATACATGATATAGCAAAAAGGCAGATAAATTGCAGGTGCTCTTTAAAAAAAATATTAAAAAATCCCAATTAAAAACTGCCTACAACATTAGTGAATAAATTCTAGAAATGTATGATAGCTTTTTCCGCAAATTATAGAACATCATTTTATTGACAGATAAAATCGATTTGAAGAAATAATAAGTAGACACGCTTATTCTTGTGTCAGTAAAAAAAATCAAATAAATGAATATGATTATTTAAAACTATTTGTGATTTAATCAAATATGTTTTTCTGCATTGCCAACAAAAAGTAACTCGATTGAATCAGTTTGATCGAAGGAAAAGTAGAAAAAATTCAGTAGTTGTAGGTACGATTAGTTTAAGAAAAACCTCCTGTTTGTAAAAAAATCATCCATAAAACATCCGTCAAATAGATTTATTAACGTATTGAAAAACACTCCCAGTGCAAACTTTTAAGAGATTTTGAAGCATCTCATTTCTACGGAAATACTATATAGTTGAGTAGATTCATACGAATGCAAACGATCAAATGAGGGTCATTATCATTCTCCAAAAAAAGACTTCAAGTAGCATAAGGAGTCGATCTTTTCAAGTATTACATGTCGTTACGATGCTAATAGTTTACAAATAGAAGTCAACAGTATCATTTATGAAAATATATTTCGTTGTTGTAATACTTGTTCCATAACTACGAAAAAACGATAGTTATTGAGTAACAATCCAACATTATATTAAGTAAAATCAGCAGTTAACCTCCGATTCAAGATTTGACTTTAAGCTAACAGTCAGTCTTTATATTATTATCTAGTGCTATAGCAATCAAGAGTAATCAATATTGAACATAAAGATATTTTTCTGACAGAATTTCATCGATGACGTATTCTTGTATTTGTGACTAGAAAATTACAGTTCGAAAGAGTTAGTCAACGGTCCATATGATCTGGTTGACCAGATGAGTTCATCAGAACTGTACTCGTAGGGAACTGCTATTATCTTATTCATGATTCATCAGTCTATGTCTAAGGGAAAGGCACTGAAAATTGCAACGAACAAGTTTGTAACTTACCAAACTGGTATTTTTCTGGTGCATTTCCATTTTTTCGTCGAAGTATAATTCTAATGTTCGACGAAGACAAAGTTTCAAAGATTTAAGCCATAATGATTCATTTGCAGATGTTTCATTAAATAGAAAATACCGCAAGGCGTATTTTACTAAAATGCAAAATATGTGTCTGTAAAATATTTTTCATCCTCGAACAATCAGTTTGTCCTACTAAGTAAATTTTCAATAATATTTCAGCATTTAACTTACTTGAATATGCTGCAGCTAACGTGGGGTAGTTTTTGGCTGAAATAGCTTTTGTTGCTTTGAAAAACGGTTTTAATACGGTTTGTAAATCTTTTAAACGAGACCAATCGTCATTTGTAAATTCGAATTTTTTTGATGCAAGTTTCATTCGTTGAGCGGAATTAATATCAGGAACTTTGAACGGTTGGCTATTGATATTGTCAATAATGAAACGATGATTACTAAATCGATCAATCATGATAAACGTGGTATTCCACCTTATTTCGAAATCGGTTGCAAGTCCAGCTTTAATTGGTGGTTCATTCGATTTTCCTTGAGTTTTTACGTAATCACAAATAGCTCGCGTACTACGGACATTTATGACACAAGCTCGCACTCGATGGATTAATCGATAAATCAAGAGTTGAGTTTGGTACGGTTGAATTAATGGTTGTTCCTTCTGATTAGTAAATTGGTAATCATCTTCATCATCATCTTCACTTTCAATATCAATAATATCTTCATATTCACTAACATCGTCATCACTTCCATTACCAGATTCATTATCACTACCTGTTGAATTCTCCTCTTCTTCGCCATCATCACCACTTTCATCGTTTTCTGCCTTTTCATCAATTGTATCATCTTCAAGTTCTTCTGGAATATCTGCTCGATCTGGTTCTGACATATTCTCATCATCACTATCATAATTATAGATAGATGCATTTGTTGTTGTTGTTGCTGTTGTTGTTTGTGTTATTTGTTTTCTAAATTAAAAAGAAAAAAGGTCGTTGCATTTGGATTCAATATGTAATGATAAAAGAAACTTCTAAGTACATTGGCCTACTAACTATACCATCTATGTGAATGAGGCACAACTGGCTCTTGCCAAAATCATTACCTTGCGATCTCATAAGTTATACAGATTTTTCAAAGAGACTTTAGTGAAAATGATTTTTTCAAAAGAAATTACTTCTAGTACTGTTTTTAAAATCAAACCAATAATGCTTTCGTTCATGGATGCAATATAATAGAGATTGATGTACGCTGTTTAGAAAGCTATGCTCAGTTTTGGTCAAGTTTCTCCGTTCACGTATTATTGTAGGGAGCGTATTTTAACTATTCAATTATTGAATTATTTGTTATCTATTAGAACAATCGACCCAGAAAATACTTTTTGATATTTTAGTACCTTTCTTTCTCAAATAAATAGCACAAACGATATCAGTTCGTAGAAGTGAAGAACTAGATTCTGTAGTTATTAAACTTTTGGACTACTACCGGCGTTTATAAACATCAGAAGACTCATCTTCGTGTGAACCAAAGTGATCAATCATGATGTATGCCTTTTTAGAAGCATTTGCATAAAAACAAACGTCATGCATCACTCATTTCTAAAATTACGATTTTATTAAGGTATGCTCTGGAATCGCTCCATAAAAAAAGAATAAAAATCTTGGAATTTGTTTTTTTCTTCTCTCACGTTGGTATCCTGATTGTTATTAACTGGTTTAATTCCTTGATTTTTGTCAAATATAATACAAAGACAAATAAGCTTTTGACTTTTTAAAGACTTACTTCTTTTCTATAGGCTCCCATATTTTCAATCCATTTTTCACTACAAGATTAATGTCGTGTGCAAAACACGAAAATCGTTCACCAGGTTTTATATCATTAATCGCTTTTTTGATGTCACTTCCGTTGTCACTAACTATTGCGCATGCTTTTTCTTCAATATCTAATTGTTGCATTTCATAAATGATATAATTTTTTAGGTTGTTTGCTCGATGAGCTCCAGATAGTCGTCGAAAACCTAGTACAATTGGTATAGATTCGTATTTCTTGTTGAAGGCATGTCCAGTTAAACAAATAAATGAAGTTTGCTTTTTAGTCCATATATCCACTGTTATAGCTATTGCACGTACTGAAGTTAGCGTAGCACGAAGTTCTTTTCGATATTTATGATACGATAAACCACCCATGGAAAAAAAGTTCAAAAAAAGAACGGATAAGAACGCGTTGTCGAGATAAAAGACTGCGTTGTGAAGACGCTTTTTTCGACTTTTTCAGACGCGTTTGTGTAATGAAAAACGCGTTCTTTTAAATAAAAGAAACGCGTTCTGATCGTTCCATAGGAACACGTTTTTCGCGGTAAGAACGCGTTCTTGTTTAGAAGAAAAAAAATTATTTATTTATTGTATTTTCAACTCTGTGATGGTCTCGAACATGTTTCTTAGCTATTCGTATAAGTTTTCATACTGTTGGTTCCTCTATTCGAATACTTGTGTTCGCACTGAACGCGTTCCAATTCGTTTTGTTTTTACTACCGTAGAGTGGATTCGACCAGATAATCTTGTAGTTTCGAAGTAGTGAATAGCCGAATGAACTATGCTTACGTATGTTTGTTTGAAGTGCTAAATTTTCTATTTGTATTAAACAAAAGTTATTCTGACTTAACGAAAATTATACTTAAGACTGATCGATTTACGTTTACAAAAAAATTAATAAATTCAAAAATAAATTTAAAAAACTTTAATTTCTTTTAAAATAAAATATCGAAAATTTAACTTTTTAATATTTTTTTGATATTTAATAAAATTTTTTTAATCTAGCTTACATTAATAAAAATTCAATACAAAGTTGTTCAAATTCAATTAAAATTCATGTAATTTGACTTAAATATTTCTTATGCGATCTAAATTTATTTACTGTACTTTTTATCGAATTTAAATCTAATTAAATTAGTTTAAATTGAATTTACATTCTACGATCGATTTGAGTAAATATAAAATTTTTGTTAATTTAAAAAAGTTGAATTGATTATAAATTTAAATCGACAAAAGCTAAATTTAATAGAAATTAATTAGAAATCGATGAACAATTCTGATTTTTATTATGAGCAACAATAAGCGACGCGTTCGATGGCAAATAAAAATGTGATGAATACATTTGAGACAGATACTAGTATAACTTTTGCAAAATTTCTGTTTAATGTTTAAAATCAATTGAAACGTTCCAGATTACTATTTTGCAAATAAAAGAAAGAATTTACGATTTGAGAATGTACATTAAAAAAGCATGAGATTAGCGAATTCGTTTGATAAAAACAAATTAGTTTAGGAAAACGGAAAATCATTTATGACGAAACCCTAGATAGATGATCACTTTGCCTAACAAGACATTACCTTTCAGTGCATTGCAACAGAAAGAAATTTATTCATGTTGACACATATTTCTTAATTGACATAGCACTTTCGTTACATGTATTTCAATACATTTCAAGTAATGAATTCCATTAAGTTAAAATGAGCACTTTTTCACTACATAAAAAAACGTGTTCTGAAAGTTGTTGAACAAGTTCTTCAGTATACGTTTCCAAGCGTTTTTGAAGAAACGGATTTTCTAACTATAAGAACGAATTACTCGCGAACAAGTTCAAACGCATACAAGTTGAAAGCGTTCGTGCGATAAAAGACGCCTTCACTATTAACGCGTTCTATAAGATAAAAACGCGTTGGTTACCAACAAGTACGCGTTCGAACGCGTTCAAAATTTTGAGAAACGCGTCTGAACGCGTCAATTTGTTCTTAGAACGCGTTTGTAGTCGATAAAATACGTTCAATTTTTTCGAAAACGCGTTCTTTCACGTTCATTTTGATGAATATTTTTCCATGGGTACTGTTTGATTTCGTGTTTGCAAACAAAAAAGATTGTTATCGACATTGCTTTATAGAGATAATATAGAAATCAATAAAATTTATCAAATTAGTGTTATTTTTATGGGGAAAATAAATGAATAGCAAATTATTTCTTATCATATGATTATCATGCAGAGCATTGAACAATTAATAGAATTATTGAATTGCTTTATCGAAATGGTCAATACTTATAAAAGAATCGCAGACAAAGCAATCATGTTCTTAAATCATCATAATTACAATGACGTATTACGTGACTAAGTAATACTATCATATTTTGTTCGTATTATTTATAGAAAAATATGATTGATTATGCACATAAATATAAATGGGTTAAGAAATTTGTTTACAAAGAGCATATATAATTTCGTTGCTACTTGCTATCTTACTTGGATCATCATATTTTTTAGCATCGAATACGAAGAAATACAATCACAATACAAAATAATCAAATATACTGGTAAAGTTTCGTATGATTGGAAATGATGAGTGCATAAAAATCTATTATTTCTTATACTCGAATGTTGGGTAAATTCCAGTGTAGAATTTCCAACTTTACAGAATTTATTTTTCACCAAATAAATTGTTAGCCAAAAACAAATCGAATCAAATTCTAGGTATAGAATTTTATCCTAACTAACTAGTTTAATAGTGAATCGATTTATTAACCATATCTGCGTTGGTATCGCAGTCAATTAAATCTATTGTCTGGTTTAAGCAGATGTCACCAGGTGTGAGCGTGGATTACGGTGTCAGATGGTAACTGAATCAGATATGGTTAATTAATCGATTGACTATTTAACTAGTTAGTTAGGATAAAATTTAATGTTTAGAACGGATCATATTTGATTGGATATTTGTAGATTAACAGTTTATTTGGCGAAACTGGACTAATTCGAGTACTAGTTCTCAGCTCACTTAAATTATAGTTCTCAGGAATCCCTTTTTTTGCTATTCAATATAGTTTTTGGCATCGAGCTTATTATAGATGCTATCGTTACAGTTTAATCAATATTAATTCAATGGTTAGTTCAAAAAACGTCTTCGTGAGTTGCAGACCAAAACTAAGACATTCAAGATCAAAATGGTATGCAGAATTTTTATGTAGGACAACAAAAATAACAAAGTGCATTTGCATTTCTATTATTAAGCGTTAGCTTTAATAAAAGCATCAATCATTTTCTTCTACCTAAATAGAAGACAATCAATATTTTAGAAAATGGAATATTCGTTATCTTTTTTTAATTATAAAGAAAATTCATTGCAGAAAAAATAATTAAATACATACTCTTTAATCTGTTTGCATTCAATAATAGAATCTGAAGTAAATGGTTTTTATTTAGAAAATATTATTGTATGCTTTTAATTCAACTACGTAGTATTCTGATTTAAAGCTACTAGAATGTGTCCTATTAATCCAACACAAGAGAAATTGACAGAAAATAAAAGACAGCAAAATCTAAACATTTCTAAACAAATATTTCCATCAGCAAGAAAAACTAAATCTTTTTTTAATTTATGTATATATATATATTTCTATTTATAGAGAATAAGTATATAAAGACAAATTGTCATTTGTAAAACATTTCACCCAAAATACAATAAAGAATACATAAATTCGAAGAGAAAAAAAATGAAATTCAACAATTTGTTCGAACACACTGTTATGGTAAATAGAGATTGACAAAACAGAGGTTAATGCACAAATGAGAGAGAGAGAGTGAGAGAGAGAGAGTGAGAGAGACTATACAATGTCTTCAACAACAGATCGATTGAGAGAAAAGTTATCAGAAAACTCTGTTTCAGTTATAAATTTGTATTTGTGGAATGAAAAATAGGGGTATATTGCGATGGACGGAGCCCAACAGATATGAGAAGACAAGAAAAATATTGCCTTTCACCGGAAGATAAAGAGAAGAAAAATAACAAAACCTATAAATTGCTATTGTTTTGAGATTTTTGATAAACTTCTAGGCAAAGTTCTTTGTTGGAGACCACTACTATTCGAACGACTTAAATTTGTATGATCATCATCAGTTCGTACAGATAAACGATTAAAATAATACGGACGTTGATTTGATTCATTGTAATGCTGTGTATTTAAAACTCCGTTATGGAAATGTTCGTGTTCAAAGATTCGTCTTCGATATTCTTCTTTCACACGTGCAGATTGTGAATAAAGTTTTTCAAATACCAGATGTAGATCATTCGGTCGAAATAGCTTTATGAGTAATGCTTCAAAAATTATATATACAAATCGACGATCGAGCGTTTCATTTTGTAACAATTCAAATAAACGTAATAGACCACGACGAGTTGTTTCACTACCAATTATATGACGAAGCTCATCTAAACGAAGAAACAGTTTGTAAAATCTATTTCTTTAAGTTTAAAATATAAAACATAATAGAAGTCCTAAAGTAAATTGTAGAAAGATTATTTAGTTATATCTATTTTCAAATACATATCTTGACAATTTTGGTTTACTATATCTTCTTCAAAGGCTCATTCAGGATTTAATTAATTCATAAATTATAAGTATAATAGACATACAATTTCTATTGGTAAATCAAGTCGGCTCTTCATAAAGAAATAGAATATTACGAACATGTTTTGCTACTGTTTGTGATGATGTTTCATTAGCGTCTGTCACGATCTATAGCGGATGTAACTTTTTTGCCTTTCTATTTTCACATTTCTTTTAGATCGTGCTTTACATAGAGTGAAACATTGTCAAATCAAATTTCTTTTTCTCGTTACCTGAAACAATACCGAGTAATTTTGCTTTGCACAGGACTTGTGTTACATTGCGTACACTTTCATCTCGTTCCGGTGCTTTATCAGCTAAAACACCGTTGGGCCAAAATTCATCTCTATGCAAAATGAAAAATTTTATTTTTTCATGTAATAGAAACTATCTTGTTATCAATTTTGTTATAATTACTTGAGACGAGTAATTTCTTTTGCAATTTTTGGAGCTGATGTCCAATGTTGAATAAACGTTCCAATACGACTACGATGAGAGAAAGTACGGATGAAAAAACAACAGAAAATAACTAGGAAAATAAAAATCTATACCGATTCACCGAGTCACCCATAAAGGCTCGTAAAAATCTTTTCAATATTGATACAAATCGTGAACGAAACCACATATTCTTTTGTTTAAGATCAAATACTTCATCCATGATGACAAGTAGTACACGAAGTGGAATATTTTTAGCATTCTATAGATATACAAAAAAAACATTTTGGAGTGCTTTTATATTGTAGAACAAAACAGAAATTCTTTTTTTTTATCATACTTCAACTTGAGTTTCTTCAACAATAGGAAATGTTTGCATATCTCTTGTTAAATGAATATTTGTTCGATTATTATTATTTTGTTGTGCTCGAAAGAACTTTCCCGCATTTTCAACAACACTATCTGATACAATCGTCAATCCATCGCCCAGTTTCGATACACCTCTAGCGATACCAATTGATGCTTGCTTAAATGGATTTACAATTGTGTCCATCTGAATGAAATTCAAAAAGAAAAATAGATTAGTTTAAAACTAAGAAGAAGATGAACGAAAAAGAATATATCGTGCAAAGCAAAACAAAGAGAAAGGAAAAGCTCTATTTTGATCTAATTTGTGCAAATGTAGAAAAACTACTATTCAAGAAAAAAGAAAACAAAGTGCAAATGAAACCAACCGTAGACATAAGAAGATCCTATAAGAAAATGATAGATATTTCATTGAGAACAATAATAACAAGGCATTGCTGTTCCAAGTATAATATTGTTGGCAAAAGGATTTAAATAAATGTATTTAATTTTATCGAGCAAGTTATTTTGTCATGATGCAAAATTAAAAAGTAATTGCTATTCGTTTTTTTACCTTTCGAACAAATTCTGTTTGCTCTTGTTTCCATTGTTGATTTCTTAAAAATTTCAATACAAGTTCACCGATTTGTGGATGCGAGTGAAGAACTTTCGTTTTTGTTAATGTCTAAATTAAAAAATTTATTTTTCTACTAGAAAATTGAAAAAAATTCAATCTTATTTACAGATAAATAATCATTCAATTCCTTTTGTCTCTTTGATCGTACTTCTGGACTTGTATTATTTATTAAACTTTTATTTGGCAGATGAAGAAATTCACGTAAATCTGCATAACGTTTTTTTATTACTATATCGAAATCATGAAATTCACTATAACGACGATAAGTTATCCATTCACGTCTTTGATCATCAATATTATTTCCATGAACATGCAATGGTTTACAAGATACAGATATAACATATATGGCATATTTTTCACCTTTTTCACAACATACACCTGAATCAAAGCATTTGTTTTTGTTGTTATTATCATAATAAAACTAATTTTCTCCCTTACCGGAATCATTAATTTCTGTTGTAATTGAATAGTTATTTATATTTTCAAGCATGTCAGGCACAAAAGAAGCATTCGTAATACTAGTAGTCGATCCAGAAGGAGGGGGATAATTAAAATTATGCTGTTGTTCAGTATAATCAGCTAAGATTTCATTGCTGTTATTACTTGATAATGAAACATTATCTGGTTAAAAATAAAAACAATTATAAAATAAAATAAAAATATTTCGTTTTATTAAAAACAACAAAAACCTGAATTATCATTTAATGAATCCGTTAGGTCAATTTCACTTAAAACCTTTAAATATTGTGATGTTGTCTTAAATTGTCCATAATATTTATCGGATGAAAGAATTTCAAAAACCTTTTAATCAACAATTCATGAAATAAAACTCAAAAATAAACTAAAACATACTTTTGATTGCAGTTCATCCAATAATGTTTCATTCATCGATTCTGTTCTTAAAATTTTTAATGTTTTTTGTATTAGATTTTCATCCATTTGTAATTTAAATGTTCCCTAAAAAATTTACGTCTATATTCAGCACTCAATATTCTAAATTTTCCTACTTAATATTAATTGCTTTTATAAATTTAATTAGGTGAGTAAGTCATAAACACTTAGTCTAATCGTATTTCTATTTTAATTCCAAAGGAATTTCACAGAAAGCTTTTCTGCTTATGAGCTAACACATGAAATAAGACATTCTTCTTCGATAGAACAGATTTTCAAATTTTTTTCGTAGGATGTCTACACATCTATAAGCATTTAATTAGAAAAAGCAAATTATTCGTTGTGAATAATAAAACATCTAAATATCATAAACAATCGAAATTCAAGAGGCTTACTTTACTGCATTATTTTCCTTATTTCTCATATCAAATCATGGGATTAAAATATCTCACAGAGCATTGTTTCTAGATTATTTGTATATGACGAAATAAATCATTCTACAATTATCTTTTGTTTTTCATACTTAAATTTCTCACAATTATTCGATAATAATTTTTCAAAAAATCTTACTGTTGGAAGAAAATATTGTTCAATAAGATCATATGCCATATGACGAAGTATTTCTAAATTCGCCTGATGTTGTTCATGAGTTCCATTTGTATTTTGCTGTTGTACAGATAAGCCAGCACATCGAAATGCCTAAAGAAAAGAAAAACTCATATAGAAATAATTCATTTCTTTTGACTGTGTCTTATACTTCAGCGTTAAGATAAAAATTTGCGTAGCCAGCAGCATCAATCGTTTGAAGAAATTCTAGAAATAAAAATCATTTTTCATTGATTTCAATGAAGAAGAAAAAAACAAATTCAAAAATTTACTTAAAAAGTAATCTAAACCATTACAATTATTCAATATTTCTGTTAATGGTAAATCATGATAAGTCACTTTTTGTAAAATTTCCTCGTCATCCTATTTAGAAAAAGAAAAACAACAGTATAAAATGATATAATATTATCAAATATAAAAAGAAGTATTATACTAATATAGGTATTTGTGCTTGTTTTTCTAATCGTTCAGAGAGTAATCTTTTTAAATATTGATAACTATTTAATGTTGCACGAATTTCTGCATCTAAAAATATGCAAAAACTATTATGACAAAGTGAAATTATGAATATAACCATTTTCTCCTCCGGTATCTTTTGAACGCCATCGATTTATTTCAATACTGATTCTTTCAGCTAATGTTGACAATTCAGCTGTTGAATCAGTAGTTCGAGCAACAAGAAGAAAATTATCGATTGTTAATGGAAATTGGTGACACTAAACATAAAAGTTGTTAGTGCAATCCTTGAACGATCAAAATGTGAAATGTGATGTGCAACAGCTGGTACTAATGATAGGAACATTGACTTATTCTATGGATTTGGGAATACATATTTTCACCATTGCTGTACATATTCCTTGAGAAATTGAATGCGAAAGTAATACATATACGACTTATGATTATATATCCATAGAGTCTCTTACACTCTCAAGGCAACATACCTACGGAATTATGTTGATTGCAATGTAATCATGAAGTATTTTGTACAAATCTCAGTGATACAAGTCTTGAAATGATCATACTAACTACTGTTTTGTTTTGAATCTATTAATTTATAGTATACTGACTATTTGGGAACATAACTGCTTGTGTAGGCAGTATATAATTAGTTAATGGGCGCGAGAAATCTCAACAATGAAATGTAAGAAATTTCTATTCGGTTTTGTCTGTTGTCTCAAACTGAAGACAATTATAGTTATAGAGAACTGAATGTTCTATCGAATCTATCAATACAAAACACATCGTACCACATACTGATTAAATAGCTGAAGTGTCCTTGATTTTTATTTCATAGTCTTAGAAAGGTAATTAAACTTTTGATACTTTTAGTTCAATTTTCTTTTTCTCGATCGTGTTTTACAAAATTCAAGCCTGATGTATTATTTTTCTTTTTCTTTTAATTACCATTCTAATAATCAATTGATTAATAGCATCCGGATCTGTGTACATATCAATAAAAGGTATTAAACCAAGATTAACAACAACTTCCTTGAAATGAAAACTGAAATGATATGATTACAATTATTGAAAAAAGCATACTCTCAATATCATTCGAGCTGGAACACAACGAAATTCATTGGCAGGTAGTAAAATATAAATCAAAACTTCAACGATATCACGAAGAAATTCTATGAAAATAAAAAATATTTTCAATTAAATGAATTAAACAAAGTAAAACTACCTTTTTCTTTGTCTTTATCCGTACAAACTTCATATCGACAGATTCCTCTTTCGTATTCAGCTTCCAAATCGAAGAAGCATGCTGCAACATCTGTTGATTGTTCTAATCGCATGCGTTCTTTAGCTTTTCGATATAATCGAACATGTGTTGCAAAACTATCTACAACTGTTCCGGTACAAAAATCTAACCAATCTATTTCACGTAATCTAATATTCATAAAGAGAACAGATAAAATTCCAATTGAAAACCAACTTTTAATCATTTCAATTACCTTTCAGCTAGATGTTGGATTGTAATATAGATTCCATTTTTAACATCACGAATAAATGATTCATCCGAACTCACTTGAGTTTTATACCACACTTCAATATAATCACGAACAAATAAATCAATTGCCTATGAAAAATGACAATTGAAAGCAAAAATGATTTTTACTATATTTCTTTACTTCAGAAAGTGGTTCATCAATAACAGGTATTCCTGTCAAGGGTACACGGTCATTCGTACGTAAAGATGAGTCGGTATCAATGTCGCCAATCTATCAACATTATCAATGTAAAAAAATAGATTTCCCTGAGACTTGGTAAATCTTACATGAGTAATTAATTTTCGTTTGTTATACGCCGTTTTAATCGTACTTTGTATCTGACTTGCTTTTAACCATTCTGGTCTGTGAACAATCAGATGAATCACAAATCTATAATTGAATACCAAGTACTATGAAAATAATTCAATAGTAAAATTCGAACAGACCCCAATATAAACGTGATTATCAATAAAATCCAATAGAGAGTCGTTTGAATTCCAATGATACCAAACAGTAAGCAAAAACCGGCGATGATTAGCTGTCTTGAAATCATCAACCGACATGCAAATTTAAAAGATAAAGAATAGTAAAACCTATTCAGCTATTTTATGACAGTATATTTTTTTTATAGTAAACAACAAAAAATATTCTTGTAATTGATTGGCTCGCTGATCGAACAATTAAAATGCATACTATAGATAGAGCTATATACTTCTTTTAATTCAACTGGATAGATAACAAACTTGGAGCGTTTTCATTACACAAATGGTAACAATAAATAATGATAACAATTATGATAGTGAAGTTCCTTCAGTTATTGATAATATAAAATTATTAATTGATCGTTATAATCAAAAGAAAATACAGCGAAAATATGTAAAAAGAAAATTAATTTTCTATGCCCAAACGTCAGGCTTCAAAAATAACGTCTATCGAAAACAAGCATGGGATTTAATAGTTGACACTCCATCTTATGATTATTCAATAGGTATATTATTTGTTTCATCATTATTTTTGTTTGTTTTAAATTAATATTGAATAGATCAAAATTTAATTGAGTCACATCAATATTATGAACAAATCAAAATGGACGTTATAAGAACGTTGAAAAGATTTCCACCGGGTTTGTAGATGTTTATAAAGCAAAAATATTAATCGAATTTTTTGTATTTCTATTTTATTGTTAAGATTATTCTGATTCTGAAAGAAGTGACTTACAAGACGATCTTATTCTTATTATAACAAAAGTTTTACTGAAACATGAAGAACTACATTATTATCAAGTTGGTTATTTTTTGTGTATCAAGGTTTTTTTTAATTCTCTTTTTAATTTTTTTTAAGGGTTATCATGATATTTCGTTAACGTTTTTACTTGTACTTGGAGAGAAATTAAGTCTTCCAGTGATCGATTCTATTACCATGTCACATTTAAAGTAATGTTTATTTACTATTTTTCCGTTTGAAAGTAACATATGATTCAAATTTTTTGAAGAATATATGATTCATTTTAGATTTTTTATTTCAAAGACTAGATTTAATGTTTACTAGTTAATCAGGAGATTATTGGATGAAATTCAGTCTAATTATATTAAGCTCTAGCTGTTCAATAGTGACATGTCTTCTTTGAAAAAATCGATATGTCAGACGTGATTGAAAACTATCTATTGCTCATTTGTTTCAACTGATTTCTCGAAAAAAATTAAAACTTTAATTTTGATTTTGATTTGACAGATTTTTGCCTGAAAATAGTAAAAAAATTATTCGTACCTTCAACAATGCTCAAAATTTTTTGATTTCCTTAAAATTTATTTTCTACTAAATAGAAATTATCATAAAAAAAGAGACACATAGTAGACGATATAAAGTCTTGTATCTTGAATGGAATTATCTGAAAATAAAAAGACCAAGATGAATCGCAAAGATTGTCTTTTATTAACTAAATTGAATTCACTACTCACACATATCAGCCTCAAATATTACTTAGCAAGGATATTCGAATACCATAAATACGAGATTGCGATCAAGTATGTGATAGCTTTCAGCTCAATGAACCAAGCATATAAACACGAAAAGTATTACTTACGAGCTGCTCTCTTTTGATTGGCACATCGATTTTAATTTACACGAAGATATACTCAATAGTTGAGACGTGTTACACTTCTAGTTTAGACATATCTTATTTTAATTTAAGTTTTTTCCTAAATAGTTCATAATTTCACAGTAATTGATCGGTAGTATAAACTTGAGATTTTTATTTAAATTAGACATCTAGAACGATGAGAAAAGATAGCATCGAATCTTTTGAAGATGATTAAAAAAATTTGATCACGTGAAAATTATTTTTAAGAAATTAAATTAAATACATTTTCCGTAATCAAAATCATAAGTTTTATTGTATAGATATTTTATGGAACCAACAATGGAAAAAACTCGCGATTCTCTAGCATACTTAATGCCACTGATTAATTGTGTCAACAGTGAATGTGCCGAATATATGGAAAGGTACGAATGATCGAATTACGATTTGAAAAGAAAGCATTTTTCGTCATTCTTCTTATTCACAGAGGTGATACTGGGCATGTAATATTTGCTCTACCTTGGTTTATCACGTGGTATTCGCATGTATTAGATGACCTATCTGTAATTCTTCGACTTTATGATCTCTTCATTGTCTCACATTATCTTATGCCCATTTATGTTGCTGCTGAAGTAAAAATAAAAGGTATAAATTACAAATAAAACAAATTTTCTTTTCACATTCAGATTGTAAATTATTACGCTGATGAAGTTCTCTCAAAAAATTGTGAAATGTCATGTTTACATCAATATTTATCGTATTTACCAACTGAAATCGATGAAAATACGTGGGAAGAAATTATTAGACGAGCTTTATATCTATTTGAAAATCATCCTCCAGATACACTCGAGAATTTAAATCATGAGTGGAAAATCAAATGGTAATAATATTTTAATTATATTCTTCATAAGTAAATCCAAAAACAATTTCTTTTCAAATTTCTTTAGTGAATATATGGAACATTCTTCTGACAAATTCATAACTCGACAAACTTTTAATAAAAATAACAATTATAATAATCAACAAAGTTTATCAAAAAAACCAAGTACTTTATCACGTATTGCTTTTTGGGGTGTGACAATAGCAATCGGTGGTTTAGCTATTTATGTTTGGAATCAAACACAATTAATAGACTCATCTAAATACATTAGCTTAGGAGATTTTCTTAATCAATTGTATCGAACATAATAATGCACCCAAGTCTTTCCTCTATAATCTTGCATTCCGGTTGAACTATTAATTTTGATAATTAAAAGAAAAAACGAATCATTTACTTAATAGTTAAAGTTTCTTGTTCTCTTTTTTAGATAAAATAAAACTTCATATATTAGACTAATAAACAATTCGTGGAAAAAGCGAAAGGTCAGTGATGTAAATAAATTTGACATTTTCTATCAAAGAAATATAATTAGTCAACATGAATGAGTTGACCTTTAAACTAAATTACTTTCTTGAATAAAATCAGCTGTCATGATAATCAGTGCAAATCGTTTTTCTGTTTGATAGAATGTCTTGATTTCCTGAGAGTTTCTTCCGGAAGTTTAACAATGCTTACATCCGGATTTTATATATTTGTTTAAATTAATGCCAAAGTAATTAGTCGTTCTTGTTTTTCATACAATGAAAGTATTCTTTTGCTAGTTGAATTTCAGATTCTAACTAGGGTTTTGTGTCAAATTAATTAGTATGTATCTAAGTTAAATTTAATGCTAATTAAGTCTGTATGATCTCTTATGATTTTTGAGCATAGTGAACAACGAAAACAATCTGTTTCAACTGAAATTTTCATCGTTGATATAATAACGATCGTTTTCTGGCTTATTCATAATTAGTTACGCATGATACTGTAACTCCTATTTGAATGACGAAGAAAAAAACAGAATGATGACCGGTCGTACTTCACGGAATGTGTATTTGTATAATAAGGTAACAATCAATAACACAAGCTATGCGTATCAAGATAAAAATAGATTCCATCAATTAAGATCGATCGATAGCGACTTGATAAGAAACAAGATAGAGATAATAATATTCATATTTCTATTTCTATATTTAGTGTTAACAGCTATTGATATCTAAAAAAACGACGAATGTCATTCTTCAACTATACGTTATCTTTTAGAGTAATATAAGTTTTCTCGTTTGTAGAAGATGGGAAAGAAATCGTGTCATGAGCACATCCATTGGGATCGCTGAACTTCGCCAATGTGACTTTCGCCAATTATTGGCGAAAATCATGTGGACATTCGTCAATATTGACGAATGTATGAGGGACATTCACTATAATAACGACAGGCGTTGAACCATTCAACTATGAATCAAAAGTTGGTGTATGTTTGGCAAGTCGGCAAGAACATAATAGAAACTATATTAGAATAGGGAAGAGTTCATATTATGTATACATATCATCTGCTCTAATAATTGAGAATGTGAGAAAGTTTCACCAGTACTGGCGAACTTCGGGCTATTCCATCCATTCTATTACACCTTTTAATAATTTGCCGTAATTATCAATGTTTCTCACAAGCTTTTTAAAAAGTCTACTATAGAATTATTTTTTGTATCTTCTTTTGAAATACTATAGGTTAGTAATGGAGTCTAACGTATGTAATTTTTTAATTTGAAATTAAAAAGAATTTTCTTATGGATCAATTTCAAAAATATGACAGCGTTTGTTTCTTTGATTTAACAAATCCCTATTGAATTTTCGTCAGTTTGATTGAATGCACAGTATAGACTTATAGAATCACATTTCATACATGAATATTCTAAAATTTGTCTTTCACGTAGCCGGAATATAATCCTCAGAATGAAAAAAAACCATATTCTTTCTTTGTCCGTCTAGAAAAAAAAATCTTTAGAAATTCTAATAATAGAAATTTTGTTAAAGCTTGAATTATTTTTTATATCAAAATAAATTTTCTCTCGATTCTATTCATTCTTACAGAGAGAAAATAAAATCATTAAATATTATTTTCAATTTATTCGTTCAATTAGTATGACGACGTATTTTTTATTTTTCTGTAATCTTGTATGATTAGTTATATTTGCTAGATATAGATCTACATGAAGAACATATTATAGCTATTAAGTCTGTACAGTATTCATTGAAATATTCTTCTTCGAATTATATAACTTCTCAAATAAGAAAAGACACAGAACAGAAGTGAAAAATACACTATATAATGTTTTAGATTAGCATTTGTCAATTATAGTAATCGTGTTTTCTTTATATCTTTCTTTGGACAATTATATGTGCTATTCTTTTAAGATAATCTGTAGTTTAAATCAAACTTTTTTTTTAATTCGAGTCAAATAAAGATAAAACTATGTTTTATGTTTGAAATTTCCGCCATTAAAAACTAATTAATTTATCGGCTTGTCCAAACGTAGCGCTGTGACATTTTGACAAATTTTTTTGCAATTATCTCGAAAGGTATAAGAGCTAATAAGATCGTTCAAACGTCATTCAATGCAGCTTATCATACTATATTTATGTTGAAAGAATGACCTAGTTTGACTGAACTCTAGCGCTTCTAGAAAGATTGTATCATCGCGTAACACTGACAAAAAGGACCCTTTTTTCTAGGGCTGCTTATAAAGCTCTAATTTTTTGACAAATCATTTCTTCAAATGAAATGCTTATGGTACCAGCTTTGTAGAGAATTGAATGGGCTTTCAAGCAGTAAAAAATATTTTTTCTAAACTATTTTCGCTCAGATAAAAAATGCAAAAGACAAACGTAACGCTGTGACACGTTTTTTTGTCGACCACATTTGAAGCACTTAACATGCTTAACAATATTTAATGTTTATATATATTGATCACTGCCCTGCATATATCCTTCTGTAAAGAAAATCAAGTTGCTACATCAAAATAAGAGCTCAATAATTGTATAGTAAGTTAGAAACTGTACAAAAGCTTAGGACTTGTCCTGAAGAATGAGAGTAACAAATTAATAGACTATTTTGTAGAGAATAAAATTCTGCATCGGATAGTATATTACTCTGCATTTTTGTTTTAAATTCCTTGATTAGAAAATTGAAAATCCAATTTTTAAAACTTTAAAATCCGATTCTTGATGCCAAAATCCAATTTTTTTAAAGAAAAAAGTCCAAGTTCACAATCAGCGTAAAACACTATACCAGAAAATACGCTTAGATCTGTCTATATCGAAAAACAAATCTTTAAAGCTTGATCAGCGAAGTAGCGCGTTACGTGAACAAGCCGTTATCTAGTTAATGAATATTTTCTCCAAAGAAAACTCTTTTTATTATTTTAGATAGCTCATTAATCAGATCGTTAAGTCAAGCAAATAGAAATATTTCCCAATCTAATTTAGTCATACAAATGACTATTTGGATTAGAAAAAAAACAGTGAGTTAAAGCTTTTCTCTATTAATTCACATGTTCATGGGCAGACATTGCTAGACCTTCGTTGTCTTATAGTATTATCTTTCCTTTATAATCAAGTTTGCATGCTGTTTTGTATGAAAATAGTAATAAGATTGCAAGTAGATGATTTATTGAAGTTAAATTTTTTATACTTATTTAAGTTGAAAGATTTCAATATAAAATGACGCATGATTGAATATCTACCACCTATCGATGTACACACAAGAACAAGTACTCGTTACTTTGCACAGATAAATACGAGTCAAATCGCTTAAGAGATCAAAAGTTTTTTTTCAAGTTTTGGTCTCGACAATCATGTGTATGCAAAAACTGAATTTATACAAGTTATTACCTATATTTAACTCAACTAACGATGTATCTATACGTTCAAATGCTAAATCGATTTGATACTAAGAAAGTTTTTTTTCTCTCACTTCATTATTCATGTCTAAATAAAGGTAAATATCAGAATTAAGCCTTCACATCTTTGTTTGAAAAAGACCGAATCTCTATTAATAGCATTATTTTTTTTTGTTCTCATATTGCTTCATTTAAAATCAACAAAATTTGTCTAATCATATCTGTTTTTATATTATCAATCATTCTTGTCAGATATTTCAATATTATTTCAACAATCTTATTTATTGTTTATTGAATTCAAAGAAGAAAACAAACAACATCAAAATAGTCTCATTGAATTCGAATGATCAACTTTTTAGTTAAGGATTCTTGTTTTTTTAGATTTGAATCAGTAAATTATAAAAATGCTCATCTAAAAAGAAGAAAAAAATCGATTTTCTTTCTGTTTTTCTTTTCGTGAAGCAATGAATTCGTTTTCATCGTATCATTCATCATCGTCATCCGATAAATTCTTCAAACGTTTTCGTTTCTGGAAACGTCAATATCTTCACATTGTTATATACACATCGTTATTTTGGATATTTGTTGATGTTTTTTTTATAATGTTATTTTCTGATTGTACAAAACAAATTATTGTGCCATGTTCATCATCCATAGAAAAAGAAAACAATCCGAATAATAATATTAAATCAGTAGACGACGATCTCATACGACATCCAAAATTTAATCTAAATAAAATTAGAGAAAAAAATCAAACACTATTTTATGGCAACAACATAATTAATAAAAAGAAGCTTGCAGAGTCAAAGAAAACTGATGGTGGTTTTATTGCTAAATGGTTTGGATCTGATTCAGGTTTGAAATTAAGAATGAATGTTAAAAAATGAAAAATGCTTGTTTCCTTCAGGAACGAACCCATCAAGTTGGCCGGGTGAAGGTGGTCGGGGTGTTGCCATTCCAAATAATTTAAAAGATGCAGCTAAAAAGCGTTTCACAGAAAATCAATTTAACATTGTTGCATCTGATCTTATGGCTCTCAATCGATCGATTCATGATCAAAGATCATCAAAGTTTTATTAGATTATGCTATTGATACTTTTCTAAAACTTAATTTTATCTGATTGTTACTTTAGATGCCGATCTCATGAGTTTCCATCAGATTTACCAACAACATCAATCATAATTGTATTTCATAATGAAGGAAATTCGACTTTATTACGCACATTGACAAGTATTGTAATAAGAAGTCCCATTGAATATATACAAGAAATTATTATGGTTGATGATGCTAGTGTTGATCGAGGTTCATTGAATTGTTTTTTTTCTTTTATTTATTTATTTATTTATCAATGTTCTCTTTTGATTTAATAGAATATCTTAAAGACACATTAGAACAATTTGTAAAAGAATTACCAGTTAAAGTTATCATTTTACGAAATACAGATCGGTTAGGTTTAATGAAATCTCGATTAAAAGGTTAATTAAAAAATAAATAATACGAAAGAAAATATTTTATTCTTATTTTTAAAGGTGCTGAAGTGGCTACAGGTGAGACATTAACTTTTCTTGATGCTCATATTGAATGTTCACCGGGATGGTTACAATATTTGTTATACGAAGTCAAAAAAGATAGGTAAACATTTATTTTTCACTGATTAACAAATGTTCTACATGTCAATTGCTTGATTCAAAAGAAGTATCATCTAGAATGAGATCTCAAGAAGAATATAGCTATAATATAAATAGGTACGAGATCAGATTCAATTACTATATTAGCTATTGCGAATAAGCATGTTTTAAATAAATATCACTAATCGATATCGATAAATAAACTATTTCTTTACATTTATTTTTTTCGACATTGATTCACATATTGAGAATTGAAAAACCTGTGTTATCGACCCATGTTTTTACATGTTTAATTAAAGATCAAATAAGAAGAGTTCGACTGACGTTTTTGCAGGTATTGATGTTTAATGACTATCCGGATATATTGAAAATTTCAATCGAAAAAAAATGTTTGTAATATTATTGTCAATTTACTTTCAACATTTTTAACAAAAACATGCTCAGAACAGTTAACTTCTCTGGCAAATATAATAAACAATTTCAAGTGCTTTCGAGGCACAGAAGTACGGTTAGACAGAAGCCTTTGAGATAGAAACATCTAAAACTAGGCATATACTCATTTGAGAACCTTAATTGAATTTTTGATTTTTTCTGAAAGCAACTAATGAATGTCGTCTTCTTTTCTTTATTTTTAGAACCGCTGTTGTATGCCCAATTATTGATGTAATCAATGATGATGATTTTGCTTACTTAACTGGTAGTGATATGACTTGGGTATATTTTTTTCAAATTGAGTTTGCTTCATATAATTTTTAAGTCGTTGTTAATAAATTAGGGTGGTTTTAATTGGCGATTAAATTTCCGTTGGTATGCAGTACCGAATCGAGAAGAAATTCGTAGAAATTATGATCATTCATTACCTCTGCTGTAATACTAAAAACTGCTTGTTTTTAACTTGTACTGAATAATATGTTTTATGATTATGTAGATCTCCCACAATGGCTGGTGGTTTATTTACAATAAATCGAGAATATTTTTATGAAATTGGTGCTTATGATCCAGGCATGGAAGTATGGGGTGGTGAAAATTTAGAAATGTCATTTCGCGTTTGGCAATGGTGGAAAAGTTCTTATTCATCCTTGTAAGATATTTGGAAAAAAAAATAATTATTATAATAAAATGATTTTTTTTATAGGCAGCCATGTTGGCCATGTATTTCGTAAACAAACTCCGTACACCTTTCCCGGCGGTACTGGAAAAGTTATTTTTCATAATAATAAACGTCTTGTAGAAGTATGGCTTGACAAGTACAAAGATTTCGTTTATGCGATCATGCCTGGTTTGTGATTTATATTAAAAACATTTTTGACATTTTATGAATGAATTTTTTCTATAGAATTGAAAAATGTTGATGCTGGCGACGTTTCCGAACGTCTCGCACTTCGTGAACGTCTTAAATGTAAAGATTTTCGTTGGTACTTACAAAATATTTATCCTGAAAGTTCAATGCCTGTGGACTTTCATCACGTTGGAGTAGTAAGTTTGTTTTTCTTATTTAAGTTTTAGTTCTTTTAAAGCTTTTATGTTCAAATCATTTTGTGTGTATCAAACTTTATTATTCCTATTTCTCATACGTCTAGTTAAAAAATGAAGCTTACGGTTGTGCTGATTCACTCGGTCTCGACAGTGAGAATGGGATCAATCATGATGCAGGCATTTTCCCTTGCCACAATCAAGGCGGTAATCAGGTGTGTATATTAATATTGTTACTTTGTTTTTCTAAACTTTTCAGATACATATCGAGTCACGCTCTTGCTTGACTCTTCATCGTGTGTACGATAGTCGTAGTGTGAACCGTAAAGCTAAATTAGATACAGAAATTGTGCAAATCAAATTTATTCACTCAGAGCTGCCGTTTATCAGGTTGGAAATAAATGAGATTAATGTATGTTTGAAAAAAAACTATCGAGCTATGAATACATAATAAATTATTTCCTTATATTATTAGTTTAACTGGTGCGAAGAGACATAATATATTCTTATTTTTTACTAAACATATGATTTAGAGTCAAACAAGACAATGGCTTTTTTTCAGTAATATAATTGATATGCATGAGATAAAACATATGTAGATATATTAGAAATAAGCTCAAATAACATCCATGGAAAATAAAGAACTCAGGATGAGAAATTTCTCAAAATTTTACCTTCGATGACTAGATTTGCAAATCGCAGAGATTTTTTTCATATTAGTGCAATATTCTATAGCTTTCACTATCGAATTCTGTGCTTTGAACACATATAGCTGTTCAATATAATACGATATACAATTCAGGGATCTATTGCCTACCGGTAGTATTTTATTTCTTTTTTTTATAAAAATATGAAGACATACATATTTAGCTTTTTGAGTGAGGCTTTTAAAAGTATGAAATTTTCAATGATATTTATAGAGTAGAAAAGTTCTTTGAGTGTAATTATCTTTTCTATTAAAAGAAGCAGTTCAATTTAAGATGAACTTGTTTTTTTGAATCAAAAAAGATCCTGATTGATTACGCTTTAAAGACAAAGTTCAAAAATCTGAATAACCAATTCGTCTTGTTCTTTCAAAGAAATTTTGAAAAGATTGGTAACCCATGTTAATAGCTTTAATCGTATTGTTTGAGCTGCATAAACAAGTTTGATAATGCATTTTCTACAGAATAAAACACTATTCTAGTTTCATCGAACTTGGATAAAATATAATAAGTCCGGAATTTGTTGTCGTTTTTTTTTAATTAAAAATGTATTCTACTGTTCTATATTCTTCGTACGCTCAATTCATAGTATTTAAAAGACAAATATTGTTTTTCTATAGATTTTGGTTTATTCGAAAAATGGTGAACTACGTTTTGATGATCTATGCATGGAAGGCAGCAAAAATAGTGCTGTTAAACTACAAAAATGTTCAGAGGGCAATCAAAAACAGTCATGGGATTATAATCAAGAAGTAAACTCACTTTTTATTTTTGTGCTAAATCAAAGATGTTTTTTGTTTAAGACAAAACAAATGAAACATGTTTATTCTGGTCAATGTATCACTGTAGATCAGAGTAAAGATAACGGTAAAGTTGCTCTTGGTAAGTGAAAAGTACGAAGAATAAATAAATAAATAAATAAAATAAAATAATTTCAGCTCCTTGTGACGAACAACATAATGCGAATCAAAGATGGCATTTGGAACAAGCAATATTACATTAGTTTGAAGCTGAATTTCTTAATTTGTTCTTTTTTAATTTGAGAATGATAGACATCATATATTTTTAATCGAATCATAGGTTCAATTTTTTTTCGCTTGGAAAATCTGTTTTTGTTTCCGAATATGACTACGTTTGTATCATGATATTACATTCCACATCTATTTCGAATACGACTTGAAGAAAGAAACGGAGGATCACATATATATACGTGTATAGATCATGTTTTCTAGCCGAGTTATTTATTACTTATTTAAGTTATCTTTTGACGTTGCAATAGAAACATTGAACGAATTTAATAAGCGAACATGAACACAACTATTAATTTTTTTTCTTTTCATATGAAAATAATTCTATTGTTATTGCTTTTTGTTCATTTTGTTAGTTTCTTTTTATCTGTTCAATTGTGAGAACGATAAACTTTCATTTTGTTTATTTTGGTTTTCATGTGTTGAACTTTGTTGGCTATCAAGTTTTCCTTTTTTTTTATTATTTAACTTCCTCGGCTTTCTTCGTTTGTTTTCTTCGTGGAATAATTTTGGCAATTCTATATCTACTAAAAAGACATTTTGGAAAAATGATTGAAACTAGAGATTATACCCATTAATATGTGCAATTAATCATAGAAGAAAATGAGTTTTAAATAAGTAATATTACTGATGCAAATAATGGAAAATTCAGAGGATGTAATTAAGATGACGTAAACTATACTGAAATCGAGAGTTAGGAGTCGATTGATTGGATAGTCTGTTGAATTGATGTATTTCAAAATAGATATTTTCTGAATACGTTTTGACTTCATATCGGTCATACAATAATCTTAGAAAAGAATCATTCAAAGGATTGAATAGTGAATCTTCCTCATCCAGGATAGACACATTCGTCTCATCATCGATAACTTCATGGTAGTTTTATGATAGAATTGATCTGTTCGATTATCGTATATTGTAAATATTCTGAGTAAAACACAATCTACATCAAATAGTAAACATAAGCAACGATACTGTCTAAAAAGATTTTAATGTCTTCGTACGAATATAGATTCTATTCCAAGAATATTTTCTTATCTAACAAATTTTAGAAGATATCATATTTTTGATATGTAAGAGTACCAAAATTGAATTAAAAGATATTCTATATAAGAATATCGACCGTTTACTATTCATTCGTTGCTTATTTAGCTAAATTCTAATTTTCAATAACATGATCTACTCACGAACAACTAATTTCTTTTTCTTAGAAAATCTCGAATCTATTAAAAGAGAAAACGAGTAGATTCGTCTGATAGACATTTGAATAATTATTAATCTTTTCTAGAAGAAATTTTATCGGATGCAATTCCAATGCGAATGATTTTTCATATTTCTTTTCGTTCTTGATCTTGAATTACATCTATTTACTCATAATTTTAAATATGTTTCGTCTCATATATTCTTCTGGCAATGTTTCTCGTGATGCAAGGTATGACTTAGTTTTAAAATCGTCAGTAAATATTTGGGGCTATATAGAAAAAGTTCCATATTTGTTTCTGTGTGTAGCTATGTGATATTTGCTTTTGTCATCATCGTCACTTTACCATAGAAGTAAAATATGTTTCTTTTGTATCCTTGATGAGTGAATTATAATTCCAATTTTTAACTAACTTCAAGATTTACGAAATAAAAAAAACGTAGAAAACTTGTACATCCAGCTAATATTTGAAAACACTTAACGATAATTTTTAGAATACAATATGAATTGTTAGAGCAATTCATCAGCGACGGAAACACACTACAGCATTATATTGACTGTTAAAGGTACAATGTGCTTCTAAATTCATAGTTGCTTACTGTACTAATCAAGACTGAGCACAATGTTTTGATTATTGACTTTTTTCGGCAAAACGATTTCAATAATTCTTGTATCTTTTTCTCAATTTGTACTTCTTACTCGAAAATCTAAAAAACATCTTATTGAATACGTTGATTACTCGTTCTTTTGAAGATGCATTCAATGGAAAATGACGTAAAATAGAAGTTTCCAAATCTACAAATTCATATTTCTTGCGCTAACATTGATCGTTTCATTCATGTATCCTCTTAATTTTTCGCTTTTCTGTCATAATTTCTGTAATGCAATGAATATTCATCTTCATATAAATAGACGTATTAAATGAGATGTAAACTTCAATTTTACAACACACGAGAGAATATTTAACTGTTCAATTGCCAGAATTAAGTTTATTCCTGAGAGTAACATAACAACTAATTTATATTTTCTTCTTTACGATATCAATACTCTTTCTTACATCTCGAACATTAGGATGATCAACAGAGAGTGAACGTTCTAGAATGGCAAGAGCACGTTCATAAAAAGAAAGTGCCTTCACGTAATCACCCATGTTCCGATAAACCCATCCGATATTGTTGTTAGAAGCAGCTAAATCAGGGTGAGTTGATGAAAGAGTTTTCTCGTAGATGTTCAGTGCTTTTTGATGATATGAAAGTGCATTTGAATAATCACCCATGTTGTCATAGACGAAGCCAATATTATTATAAGATGAAGCCAAATCAGGATGATTCGATGGAAGCATATTTTCATCGATCTCAAGTGCTTTTTTATGATATGAAAGTGCATTTGAATAATCACCCATTTTGCCATAAGCAAAACCAATGTTGCTGTAAGCAGAAGCCATTTGCATATCCGTTGTAGGAAGAATTTTTTGAAGAATTTTATTCGATTGTGTATAATATGAAATGGCATCTGCATGTACACCTTGATTTTCCTTTATCAATCCGAGATGCTCATAAATTTCTGCTTTTTTACGATCCGTAGTGGTTTTATCCAGTAGGATATTATACAAATCTTGAGCTTTGTTGAAGTCTTCTAGTTTAATTAATAGCATCCCTAAGCGATCCCATCCTTCTAGATTAGAATAAGTTTCTGAAAGTATATCTTCGGTAAGTGCATTGTCGTCATTAGTTAGCGTAAGATCTACTTGCCAAACTTGATCATTTTCCATTTCTTGAATTTCATCAATACGAAATATGGAATGCATTGAAAAGAGAACTTCATCTTCTTCGGAATAGCTGGCTTCTCCCAAATTAGCAAAACAAGTAGATGCGATAGACGGATCTAGTTTTATTACAAAGAAGACACCAATGAGATCATAGTCTTTTGCTTGGCGTATAAAACTAAGCGATAGTGTACGATCAGGATTAGCTGATAAAAAATTATTAAATGATATAAATCCATTTTGTGTTTTGATTAATTTATTCATATTTGCCCGTGAAAAATGTTGACCATGATAAACGATAAATGATTTAGAATGTGCGCGTTCAACATATTGTTCTTGATGAAGTGCAGCGATGTTATCATGGAGATCTCGAATAAAAAATCCCATGTTAATAATTACATCGATTTCCATCATCTGTAGCGATCGATTGAGCATAGAATAGAGAAAATTTTGATGGGCATACCACCAAATTGGAGGATGTCGACGATATTCATGTTCCAGTTTGTCGACAGCTTGGAGCTCATCTGGGCTTCGAGCGAAAAGATCACGGCAGTATGTTATAAAGTCATTGAAATGTTGCTCTTGAAAATTGCTAGTCAGTACAATTTCTTTTATTACTTTTGTGATTACAAACAATGAATCTAATTGCTTGAGATTTTGTCTAGTAGTTAAATGGTTGATAAAACTGATGGAGATCAAATTTTGATTGTAGTCAAATACTGCCCGTTTCAAAGCTTTACATATAGGTAGAATATCCGTAACGACACCTTTTATTTTTGGCCAGCGTTTGGCCCATTGTTCATGACGAGCTTGGTTTCCACAAAAAATATAAATAGTATTCAGTTGAGGTAGATCATGTACAACAGGTACTGTGATTTCACCCAAGGAGCCCGAAGCAATCATAAACATTTGATGTTCTTTGGTGTCTCTGAGAAAACGGATGCATTCATCCGCATCCTTGAATGCATTGATGTTGTTAACTATCTTTTTGAATCTTGAAATCATTGCAATTGACTCTCTATCGTTCACTAAGTCAATATTGCTGTCGAGCCAGACAAGCAAAATATTCTGAGCTACATGTGCATGATATTGACGCGGATGTCTTTTGCTTGTATTTGAAATTGAAACAGTGGCAACCGCAGTAGTATCTAAAGAGTTTGTTGTCAAATTTCCTTGTCGTCTGTCCATAGTATGCTTGAATTCAATGAACGATGAAGAGAGAATGCAGAAAATGCCTATGAATTTATAAATCGATAATGTTGCTTAGTAACGAATCAATCAATAAACGAAGAGAAGAAAAAGAACAGTAATGCTGATTTGATCGCTTTCTAGAAACAAACGCTGCGTAAGAAAAAAAACTACTATACATTTTACGTTCGTTTTTTTTACGAACGCTTTTTACGAGCTGCTATCACTTATCTCATATGTTGACTGTGTACATGGAAATGAAAAATTACTCTTGTGATTTCGTTTTACAGGAATTGGAAAGAACAAGAAAAAGTGTTCATTATAACGAATAACACTCAGTAAAGCATGTCTGAACATTGATTTCATCACAGATCACGGCAAAAGATTTTTTCGACATTATACTACGAATGAATGTTATATAGGATGAATAGACGAATCTTTCTCTTTCACTCAAAACTTACATTGACTTTATATATTTTATACTTCTAGTTTATTCATGATTTCGTCTGAAGCGCAACCAAAACGAAAATGAATAAGATATTGTCATTGCTGCTTCTGACTAATTCTTGTCATCATAAAAGTGTGCACTACTCGCCATGATTTGCTTCCAACAAAATTTAACATAGATTCACTTTTCTCATTCGTTTTCCTTTTTATGAATATTTTAACTTTTCCAAATCACTACGCAAATACTACTTCCACGAAATGCTACTTGCCATTCAAGATAAGTTCTCGCATAATTATTGATACACGTCAGATTTTCAGCGTGAATGACCAAACAATATTTGCAGTCTACATCTATTAATACTGACTAGGACGAAATGTGTGGGTTTATTTCTTTCAGCACTATCAATCAAACGTAGCCCATTGCTCTTATTCAATTTACATCTACAGACACACAAGTAATTGATTCTTTAGAGAAGAGCTGTATACAAATTTTATGAAGTTTAAGTTCAGCCTAGATGCAATTTAGAAAATAGTTTACACAAATAATAGAAAATGTGCACTCGAATAAATCTTTAACACTATTTTATCACATGAAAGTGACTATATGCCAAATATTTAAATCATTCGATAAATCACTTCTCTACTGTCTGCCAATGTCATTATTCTAATTGTTCCCTGAATTGCTTGAGATCACTCTCATTTATTGAATACTGTCAACATCTACTAAAAAAATGTCATTTTATAGTCTATATGGATTTAATTGCTATTATTAGTGTTTTATAGTATAAGAAAAGAAAAGTAATTGATTTGTATTAAAATAAGACTTTCTCCTGATTAATTAAAAATTCTGATAATGTAATACACGCATGTACATTTATACATTGTAATTCTATTAACTAAGCTGAATATTTCAAGCAAATATATACAACTAATTCTTTTCTTAGTTATATGCATCGTCATATGCTGATGAAAATATTTTCATTCGTTGTGTGCAATATTTTTTCTTTATTCTAACCCACATCCTCAAGGTTGCACAATTTTTTGAATTGTTGTCCTTGGATATTGTTTAATTTGATGTAAATTACGATAAACAATGTCTTGTCGAATCGACCTTGAGTAGGAAAGTATTCACCTGTATTCAAGATTCATAATCAAGCAGTCATGGAATATAATATTGAATCAACTGTGTAGATTACATATGTGTGTAGCTTACACAATAGTAGCAAAAGAGCACATGCAATAAACAGTGCAATAACCATTTTCTCCTGAGCTGGGGAACCTGCATTTTCCAGCAAGTTTCTCTTTCAATGCGGTGAGTTTCGAATGGGATTATATATTCTAACAAATTGAGAATGTGTATCCCTGCAGAACAAAAACAAAAATAGAAAGCAATTAGATATGCACACATGTGCCCTCATCAAATAAATATGGCTCTATTTCTTCTGCATATTTATTCATCTTTCAAGGTTTCAATACAATAGATACTGTAAAACACATTGTTAAAATGAATTTACGTCGAAAATTTGCCTAAACCTCAGTGTAGTGTTATCGTTGTTGGATGGATCAGTCAAATTACATTTATATCAGGCGTTGAAAAAAAACATTGAATTCTGGTAATTCATTTGTTCTATTTTGTTTCCATCAGAGAAGAGTTTGAATTCTTTTTATTCATTCCAGCATTAATTGTACTCGCCATTGATAATGTAGAAAAGTTAGACAAACAATAAAGCTTGAAATCATATGCATTTGATTAATTTTTGCAAGCACTTGAATATGGCCCGTGTAATACCTTTGATATTGCTACACCAAACAATCAACATCTGCAATTGGCTGCTCTAGTTCTAGTTCTAGAGTAAAATTTCCTTGCAGTCATTAATTTTTTATTAACATCGTATTGATTATTTATCTTAGGTCACTCATGTATTATTTGAAAAACCAAAATCGATGATAAAGAAGACTCGAAAGCTTTTCCCGACACCAATCACATCAGTGGTGAAGCTGAATCTTTGTATGAATGTACATTTCAAAATTCAGAGTCAGAAAATGATGCTGAAGAACGTTTACTCCATATTCAATTAGCTGTTGCAATAACAGAAAATCACTCAAAGACAATGAAAAATAATCGTGAAAAACGACCAACACTAGACTAAGTGAAAAACGTTACTGTTGGCCAAAGCCCCCAAAAACTTCTATCGGTCCAAATTCACAATAACAACAGTCAAAATAAATTATCATTTATAGCAATCATTCTGTGTTTCATTCTAGTTTATTAATTTTACAATATTTTCAAGTTATTTTTCTCTGAAAATAAATAAATGCAAATGAATAGTATTAACTAGTCAAGTGTAATTCAAGTAGGATTAGTATACGAAATGTTTCGCTGAAAAAATTAATTTATATTGAAGCTTACTCTTATAACTACATACACGTCTTTCTTAAACTATTTGATAGATATTACCTAGAAAAAAAATGATATTTTAGATAGACAATGAAAATTATTCTGTGAAGATAAGCATACATTTTTTTTGTGTTAAAAACATGCTTGTACTATTTTAGTGAGAACAATAAACGTAAGATAACGATTACGTTGACAACAACATGACGTTTTTATTTGCACATGCGCATTACTAGTAAAGATCATTCATAATATATTCATATACAAAATAAATGAAGCATTTTTGATGACGAACTGATACTGATGTTAAAGTGATTGTCAATAGCCTATGCTTATAAAAATATTTAATCGTTTTTTTTTCTGTAGTTAGAAAAGAATTCGTATTTATTTATTTTTTGCTGACCAGCAAGCAAAAATCCAATAGAAAATATGTTTAGAAAAACAATGCGTTTTCATTTTCATTAATCCTATTAGGTTTGTTAATATTTTCATACACATTATTTTATTAAAAAAGAGTTCTGTTTAAGATAATGTAGCTAGTGTAATTACTAATATTAAAATTCGGATGGTTCACTCTAAATTAGTCAAGTTTACCATATCTTAAAAATCAAAATTTTATTTATATTCATCTGTTATTGAGAAACATATATATATATATATAGATAGATATGAAATACTCTTCAGTGTATCAGTTTTAATAGAGTACTGTTAGCGACAGAAATAGTATTGTTTCTTCCCCGAATAATAATGAATTGAATGTTATATCAACCGGTATTTTTATTTTACAAAAACAAAAAAAGCTTAAATATAATTGAATTTCATAAACAATTATATTACATGTCAATTATATAAGTAACATGTATCGTGAAGATTAATAATATCCGAAATTTAGCTTTAAAATATAAATACAATATTTATTTTCAATATAGAAATGTACCATGTAATTTACTCATTCACGTATGACTCAGCCTATTCATCCATATCGTATACAGTTTATACTTTAAGCAACCGTATCATTTCATCTTTCTCTTACATGACTGATTGGCGCATACAGCGTAGTTTCATGTGCATGTACATATGTTTTTACGCATTGAATCATATTCAATGAAGTTGTTGTCAACGGCATTTGCACAGGCAACCTCGTGCATCAGAAAAAAAAATAAAGGAAAGAAAAAATCGTTGTCGACAAGAAAGGGAATGTTAAAATTCTATTTCTTTTCAAATCATACTTGCTATTGTTGTCACCCGTAAAGAAGTAAAAAGGCACTAAAAAGAAAAACAAAATCTAATTTTTATTTTTCTATCATTTATAGTTACATGATTTTGGATAGATTTTTACTGCTTTTCAAATGTCCAGCAACAACATCTTACAAAATAATTTTTCAATTTCTACTGATGCACTTCCAGATTCAATATCTGAATCCACAGAAGATTCAAATCGCTTTAAATTATTTACCTCTTCTCCATGCTTTAAAATCACAAGATTAATTATAATTATAATATATGCACTTAATATCGTTGCATGGGGTGGAATGTTATTTCTCATATTAGTAGGAGCAGCAAACAACACAATGCCCGATGAACAAACACGGAAGATTTGGATTGAAATTGATTCTCAAATTCTTAATGCGCTTTTTTGTGTGACGGGTATTGGTCTTATTCCTTGGCGAATACGGGATGTTTATCAACTTCATAATAAAAAATATCGATATAGACTTCTTAAACGTCACACATATACGGATTATATTTTATGGGTTCGAATTGTTGTTTGGAGTTTTATAGCTAATTCTATATTTCAAATCGGTATGGCTATATGTATGTGGTCCATGAATATGAATACAAGACCTGCATGGCTAGTCGGCATGTTTGTTGGACTTGGATGTTTTTCGGGAGCAACGGCAGGTTTAATACAATTTATATTATCGAGGAAAAAGAAAAAACAAGACAAACTAGAAAGAGACCGTACTAATATTTTGAATAATTAATTCGTTGCTATTTAGTGTTTCGAAAAAGAATGTGTAAATTATTTTAAAATGATTCCCAGAATTGATGCGCTATACTGTAGTCCATAGTGTCGAATACTTTGAATAAGAATTTATTGTTGAAAACATTATTTTTACGATTATTTAACTTATGATTAAACATATATTGAATTTTCTTAATGTTGAAACAATAAAATGAATATTATTCTATAATGTTTATATACGTATAAATGTACATTCCTATTTAAAAAAGTAACTTCTAAGCTTTGAAATACTGGTATTTCTTGTTATATACTGTTAATTGAATTGTTTTATCTGTGAAAGAATGAACTAACAAGAGTAAATATTACTATAGTGTATTGTGATTAAAAATCTTATTCATTGACTTTTGGAACAAGCAATAGAAAAACATTGATTTTATTCCTAAGACAGTATACAATCAATTACAAAACCAAAACAAATATTCGAATACTTTCATATATCTTCCTAAAACATTTCTCCTTAGAATTTCATGTATGAATAATTTGACAACAATAGAAGAAGCAGTTATTGAGATTGTCCATGTGTTCATTTTTACTTATGTTAGTCTTATTCTACGGCTTTGAAATTGAAGGCGAATCCTGATGCATTCTTCTTTTGATATTCAACTCAAATAAAATTTTGACTTATTTCTTTATACTTTGAATGAAAAGTTCTCTTTGATTTTTTTTCTACTTACATCTATATATATATATATACGTATATAAGTTTAACTCATGGTTTTTCGCATTTTAACATGAAATTTATTTGAAAGAAAATTCGAAAATATTTTGGTACTCTGCACAGCTGTAGACATTGTCTGCCACTAACATATGTGTTAGCCAGAGAAAGATCTTCTTTTTATCATGTGTTTTCAACGAATTTTATTGTTGGAAACAACAGGCAGCATTTTTAATATCAATTGTCCCAATCAAAAGCAAAGTATCAGATGTGAGATACTGATGATTTTGAAAAAGTATCGTGCTGTGATACTGGAAAAAACACACTAACATGTTGATAATGTATAGAATAGAAAGACCCTTTTCTTCTCAGTCACATCAAACTTTACGTTTTTTTTCATATTCCCCTTATTTAAATATATGAATAGGAACCATTGTGTTTGTACTTTTTTGTTTTTTGAATCACCCATTCGTTGAGAGACTTTGCTACTTATAAAAAAAGATAGTAGGAAGCCAACAATTTATTAGAAACTACTAAAGAATCTAAACAGAAAGCAAGAAGGTGTAGATGGAATGGAATGCATATATATGATGGCATCGCAACCGTAATATATATATAAGAAAAGTGAACAAGTAGCTGTAATGATGTTATTTGATACAGTCAAAATATAAATCACTATGCTTTCATATAATTAGTAATACTTTTTCAAGTTGTCGTGGAAATAGAACGAAAATAAAATGAGGCGAATACTTTTCCATAGAAAATGAAACTCTAAAAACTCCTAATCTAGCTTTTACAAACAGATGCATTTTTATATAGCTCATTTTACAAGAATCCTATTGATATGAGAAATAAAAGAACCGTTTGACGATATATGTAAACGTGTATATTTCATACGATAGAAAAAAACAGTTTCAGACATGAATAATCTACAGATATAGCTACCATTCAATATGAAACTCCATCTTATTTTTGACTTATAATTTCATTGATTGTAATGATATTGACATTAAAAAGCGAATAAATGATTTTCATCATTATTAATAGTACGGATATATTTTATGGGTACTATAAAGTTTTTTCTCCTTTAGTATTCTCATTTGCACCTCATTATTATTGTATTAGATTTCTAATGTGAAGTTACAAACAATAGTCAACATAGTATCCGCCTACATGATACCTTTTCGCTTGAATTTTTCTTTTCATCATTACGTACTAGTCGTACTTTTACAACTAAATTTTCTTTCGCTCATATTCATTTGACTTCTACACATTGATTTTCATAAGAGATCAAATCAATTAAATGATGCCAATATTCTCGCTACTAATCTTTCTGGTTCTCACAGGGAAACACATTTCAGAAGCTTCTCTATGTTCTGAATTACGTTTAACAATAACGAATACAATCAGTAATGATTATTATTCGATTCTCACTGAACAAACTAAACCATCGAATGTAATAAAAGTATCATTAACAGTTAAACAATTTGTTAGTAGTACATCATGGTTTATTATGGGTGCAAGTAATTCTTCATCATTAATTGGTTCATGGCAACCATTTACTTCTGCGGATGGTCAAATAATAGATTGCTCGTTATTTTCAGAACAAGCAGTAACTAATCAAAATTCATTAATTGATAATGGAAATCGATCACAATTTACATTCTATTGGATGCCTCCTCCTTCATTCAACAACATTGTTACTTTTGTTGCAACTATCTTTGAAAATTATACAATAAACGATAAACCCTCAATACAATATATTCAAAGTATATCTATAGATATTGAACAAACAAACGAACGACAACGGTATCAAGACGTTAGTATAGGTAATTTTTTCTTATGACAAATATATATATTTGTTTAAACTAAAAATAATTATTTTTAAATAATACTCAAGCTTTTTGCAACTCCTCACCATGTCTGAATGGTGGTACTTGTCGTTTCAATCCTCAATATTCAAGTTGTCAATGCGTAGCGCCATGGAACGGCGTATTTTGTAATCTTCGTAAGCAAAGAATTCTTTTATTGTATACGTACGCCTTTATTGCTTTTACTCATAGAATATTTTCATATAATGCTTGGCAGTGATCTACCATTTACTAGCGACTTTTATTTTAATACTCTCGGTTCTCCATCTTACGCTAATTTATCTGGTGATCTATTTCCTTGGTTGAATAATGCATTTAGTGCACTGCCATCAAATCGGGTGTATTCAATAAATTTTGTGGCGTAAGTTTACTTAATTTTCATTGAAAATAACGACCACTATTTTTTAGTCCAAGTTTATCTGGTTCATATATTTCAATTAGTATGGCTGTAACACCGACAAGTGCCATATACACACCTGTTATTCTATCAGCACTTGCAGTAGCATTAGCTCAGAATAATAAGACACCACTTGGTCGACAGTTGTCGATTTCTCCATCATTGATAACAAATCCCGTGACACAAGATGCAGGACCCTATACTTGTAAATAAAAGAGAAAAAAGCAAGTTGAAATCTTTTTAAGAGCGATTTTTCTTCGTTTTTTTTCAGCGTGCGTTTTCCCGTTTTCATATGTCACGGTTGACTACAATTTTTGTATACCGCTACCTCCGGCTTTTGTATGTTCACTATCTCGTGTAATTGATAGAAATTCAACATTTAACAGCCTTGATTGTTCAAGAAATAGTTAGTTCTAATTTTTATGATGAGAAATTCATGATCGACTTTGTTTTTTTTGTTCAAGTTTTTAATTATGTTTCAAAAGATCCTTGCTTTCCAAACATATGTATCAATGGCGGTACATGTGTAACTGTCAATAATGTTGCTACATGTACTTGTCCAGCATATTTTACTGGTAGTCGATGTGATCAGTGTAAGCTTCATTATTTTAAATTTTATAATATTTTGTTTTGTTTCATTATTTCAAGTGTACGGTTGTAATCCACTAACAAATTCTCAAGCGATTACTTGTACTAATCGCGCTAGCTGTGTAGGTAATACTTGTGTTTGTGCCTCAAATAACACCGTTGGTACATTATGTGAAATTCGTATGTTATTTAAATTTGAATAAAACCTATTAATTGAATATTGCCTTTTTTTAATTTTAGTGGCAGGCAATACTGGATGTATTTTTCCGTTTACGTATATGAATGTATCATATTCATCATGCGCTGTTGTTAGTGGTCAATCACTGTGTGTTGTAAGAAATTCTGAGAAAAGTGGTCAATTTCCTGTTTCAGTGGCTGGTTGCGGAGGTTTGGATAATTAGAAGAAAAAAAAACAATTTATTTCTCATTTGCATTCATACTTAGCTCCTCAATGCCAAAATAATCCATGCGGTAATCGAGGAGCTTGTCGGAACACAGTGAGTGGATCATTTCGTTGCATAAATTGTGCCACAGGATACAGTGGCTATTTTTGTGAATTACGTAAGAAAAACTCGATTTATTACTTTTATTTACTTCCTGTTAAAATCTTGCTGTTATCATAATATATAGAATATCAAACGATTGAAATGGCATTCAATATAACCTATACACCTGATTATCAAAATGCAAGAAGCAATGCATCACAACAATTACAAACATTAATTAATCAAACATTAAGTGCATCATTTATCAATATAACAAACGGAGGTGTTAGATCAGATGTTATTTCGTTCGTGTAAGTTCTAAAATAAAAAACAAAAATCTAGATAGAATTATTTTTGTTTTTTCATAGACAAAATCCTGATGGAACTACAAGTGCTATTGTAAATATAAATACAAATTATTTAAATTTTCTTAATAATGCAACACAAACAGCATTGAATGGTATTGTAGGTATTACCACTGTTACTGCCAATACAAGTAAAAGATCTTTCTAAGTTATTCTACAAGATATGAATACTAATCATTATTTTAGCTCGTGCATGTGCGCCATGGTATATATATCAAGGAAGAAATATATCTGGTTGCATCTTAAATCAAAATAATGTACCTATTTGTTCATTAACGAATAATTTTGATCGTGATGGACAATTTACAATATGTTCAGGTTCTTTAAGACAAATATCATTGCTAAGAAATAAAATTTGATTTTTAGAACCAATCTATCTCAGTTTATGTAACAACGTGTTTTGTGGTGGCGGTACATGTATTGTAACAAGTCGTAATTTAACCTATTGTCAATGTCAACCGGGTTTAACGGGTGCCAATTGTGATCAACGTATGAAGAGCATTAAAAAAGACTGATCAATCAAATTAAGCTTTTTCATTTTTTTAAATAGTCATTCAATGTAATAGTATTAATTGTCTAAATAATGGAACATGTATTACATTATCAACGGGATTTTTTCGTTGTGCCTGTCAATCTGGCTATGGAGGAAGTTATTGTCAATTCAGTAAACCTATTAGATATTTTCTTTTTATTTCTTTGTACTTTAATCCTTTTTTGCTATAGATATAACTGCTTGTGTATTTCCTTTTGTTGATAATCAAAATCAAACACATAATACATGCATAACAACAAGTGATTATTTAGCAGGAACAGTCGCATGGTGTCGAAATAATCGTGGTCAACCAATGAGCTGTGAAAGTATGATCAAGTTTGTCTTTTGATATTTAGTACCGATTGAACTATTTGTAGTTGATTATTGTGCACGAAAACCATGTGTATATGGTACATGTATTCCATCAATCCGATGGGCATTTGGTAATTCATATCCATCTTTTATATGTAATTGTTCGATTGGTTTTACGGGAATTCTATGCGCATACGGTAGACAGATTTTTGTTATAAAAAAGACTATATATATATTATTATTGATTTTAGCTTATTTTCGATTAAAAGCGCTGTATCTTGCTCCAAATATTTCTCAAACAACACTTAATGCTTTAGAATCTCCAACAACACAAGCGTATACAAGTCTATCGAATATGTTTCGGAATTTAATTCGTAATGCAACAAATTCAAGTTTCGATTTTTTGCCATTATACTATACAACGTACATTTTATTCGACAAAATAAAATCTAATATGTTACTGTTCGACTTTCTTTAGATTTCGACTTGCTACTGGAAACTATTATCAAATAACTGCTGATATGTCATATGCTGGTAATCTAAGTCAAACTGATATTGCAAACATAGTAACACCACTTCTTTCAAATCTTCCGCCACAATTCAATGCTACATATATCAACAATGGCCTGTTAGACCCCGACTCAATTCAACCACTTAATCGTAAGTAGCTAATGGATATAGTTTTTATTCTGAAATACAATTTAAAATAAGATATGAAATACAGAATATGTATACCTATCTATTCCCTAAAGATCATAATAGACGGCATCGATACACTTTTATAGACATGGAGGAAATGATTTATCGAAGATAGAAGCATTTTGTTGCTATACAATCTAAAACTATATGTAAATGAAGTATTATTCTAGTACATGAACTCATATTTCCTTACGGATTTTCTGAGATTAACTTTAAGGATGAATGTAAAGAAATGTATCTGAACATAGTTAAATAGAATAAAACAATCTGCTCATACAATTCGAAAAAACATCTACGTTGTGTTTTACATTGTCATCCTGTCAATACTTTATCTGCAACTTTGTTTGCATTTTGATTTTAAGCTGCACCTAATTGTACTTTACCGTATGCTATTAATGGTCAGTCATTAGCTGTATGCCATGTGGACAGCAATGCACTTGCTTATTGTGCTTATGCACAAACTTATACATTAGTTGATCGAAAACTATGCGATGCTACTAACTTACCAACAGCACAGTATACAGCATGTAGTATATTAAATATAACAAATCCATGTAATAGTACAGCTAATTTTCCTATTCAATGTGTTGCTGCTGACGATGGATGGACTTGTTTTTGTCAAGTTACACAAACACTAGGCAAAAACTGTGGAGATTTAAGTATGAAAATCATTTTGTTTTTTCATATAAACAAGAAATATTTCTCGATAGATTTTTGTCGAAATGGTTCATTACTTTGTCAAAATAATGCAACTTGTATTAATCGACCTGATTTACTAGATTTTTCTTGTAGTTGTACTAATCCATATTATGGCCGTTATTGTCAAAAATGTAAATATGAAAATTTAGTTATCGAATAAATAATATTTGTTTTTCGTTTCTATTAGTTAATGTTGGCTATACAATGTATTTACTCAATTATTCAAATAGAACGTCACCTGGCCTTCCAGCATTAATAGCAAGTATTAATCAAACCATCATAAATATTACAAATGGATCTGTTATAGCTACCAGTATTACCATAAGGTAATAGGAAAATAATAAAATGAAATGTTCGCTAATCTAATGTTCTTTTTTAAATTTCTTCTTCATTGTAGTCCCTCCGGTCAAGTGACACTACTTGTAGAAGGCACCAATTATTCGATTCCAGGACTTGAAACATCTTTAGTGGGCGCAGTTAATAATAATTTGACAGTGGGTCCTTACCTTGTTGCTTTTAATCGAACGAATATTGTTTCAATAGAAAGTTAGTAACATCATATTTAAAAATATTATATTTAGAAAAGACAGGCACGATATCTTTATCTAGCTAATTCTACGTGCTTTTTTCCGTTTGCCTATGATGGTGTTAGTTATACGTCATGTACAACAATAGGATATGGTTTTCCTTGGTGTAGTACAACACCAGTTTTTAGTGGTCATATCATTGATTGTCGAAATAGTATGTTTTTATAAAAATTTTCAAAAGATTCTTAAAATTTTGTTTGATTTTACATGTTCTTAGTCAACTGGTGTGCATCAGGTCCATGTTTGAATAATGGAACATGTACAATTGATAATGCATTAGGAACATTTAGATGTAATTGTGCTGATGGGTGGACTGGTGTCCAGTGTGGCTATCGTAAGCAATACTTCTTTTTTTAAATAATTGACTTATTTCAGTCGTTCGTATTTAGCTTCTGAAACTATCATAATTGTTGTTCCACTTGGAAATAGCACTTATAATAATTTAACTTATCTTAATATTAGTGCATTATTACCAAATGTAACAAATGGTACAATTAATATTGATACTATACGGTAAACAAACACTTCACTCGCCTCTCAAGTAATTCTTCTTCTTATTAAAAAAAAATATTTTCTAGTCCTGGTCCAAATAACACAATTATAATAACAATAATTGTCAATGGTAGTAGGGTACCAAATATAACCTGGCCAAATATATTAAATATAACTGTTTTTCCAACGAAAAGTAAGAACATGAAAGTGCAGATATCAAAAGAAGTATTTATTAATAATAAAAAAATTATTGTAGATATTAATGGTTGCGTATTCCCATATATATATAATAATAGAACATATTCTACATGTATACCGCTCAATTTATTTCGTTCAACGTATTGTTGTGAAAATTCAAACTGTGATCTAAATCCTCAATGGCAACTTTGTAATAATTCAAGTAAATAATCAGATTTAATAAATTTTAAACTTATATTTTGATTCGGACAACTTCTTTTCATCTTTATTAGATATTTGTGCTGCTTGTGCACCTAATGCGGGTTGTACAATGACTGGATCTGGTCTTATTTCATGTGTTTGTCCAGTGGGTACAACTGGAAATCTTTGTGATATATGTTAGTCTTTTATTTTTACATTTCGAATTATTATTTCGTTGTATTTTTTTTCCTATTCAGCTATTGATTTATGCGCACAATCCAATCGTAGTTGTCTTAATAATGGTGTTTGTGTTATTAATCCAAACACATCAGCAGGCTATTGTAATTGTAGTTCGCCATCTTTTAGTGGAAGTCGATGTGAAGTATGAAAATAAAAAGGAAAACATTTAATTTAAATCGACTGTTTTATTTTTGTTTTCATTTTAAAGATTTTTCTTCCATGTCTATCTTTTCCATGTTTAAATAATGGTGCATGTTCAGCAAGTTCAATTGGAACAGTTCAGTGTAATTGTACAAATTGTTATAGTGGCCCACTTTGTCAAAACACAAACTATTGTTGTTTGAATGTATGTTCACCAAATGGCCAATGTCTACTTGGAGTCAATAATTCGTACACGTGTATATGCCAACCTAATTATGTTGGAGTTAATTGCACTACATTTAATCCATGCGCTATTCTTCCATGTGCAAATAATGGTAATATTTTTTTCCGAAAAAATATTTTTTTGTATATTTTTATTTGACTTTAGGAACTTGTATTATTACAAGCGGAACTAGTTATCAATGTTTGTGCCCAGCAGGATGGTCAGGTGCTAGCTGTACTATTCAAGTAAATCCATGTGCATCGTTGCCTTGTCGAAATAATGGACAATGCCTGGCTATTGGTAATCAATTCATTTGTAATTGTCTGGCGGGTTTTAATGGAACATTTTGCGATATTCCAATAAATCCATGTGCTAGCAATCCTTGTAAATAATTTTGTTTTAAAATGTTTTCCGACTAATTTCATTCAAAAATTCATTTTATTCCTTAGGTTTAAATAACGGTACATGTTATCAACAAATAACAAATTCTTTGTTTAATACAACTGCATCTTTGTTTGGTTATGCTTGCGTATGTAATCCAACATTGTATTCTGGTGCACGTTGTGAACTTCTTATTTCACCGTGTCCAACAAATCCAGCTATGCCATCACCGTGTCGTAATGGTGGTACATGTACTCCAAGTGCTAATGGTTCAACATATAATTGTTTTTGTGGATTTCCATATGCTGGCAATAACTGTGATCAAATCATTAACCCATGCGCACCGAATCCATGCGCACCGAATGGTCAATGTTTTCTTAATCTAGTTACGTCAAGTTTCACGTGCGTTTGTATAAATTCAACTTACACCGGTCCACTATGTCAAAATTTAACCAATCCGTGTTTATCATCTCCATGTTTCAATGGTTCGACTTGTATATTAAATGGATCAAATTTTATTTGTCAATGTCCACCTAATCGTACGGGAATTTTTTGTCAAAGTCTTCTACCACCATGCACAGCTGCAACATGTTTCAATAATGGTACATGTCTTTTTTCTGGTAGCACAGTCACTTGTGTATGTCCACCATTATTTACTGGTCCTCAATGTCTTCAAAATATCAATCTATGTTCTCCATCGCCATGTTTAAATAATGGTACTTGTATTATTTCATCGCCTACTACAGTTTCTTGTCAGTGTTCAACACTATGGACAGGAAATTTATGTGGAATATTAGTTAATCCATGTTTAACATATCCTTGTTTTTTTGGTGGTACTTGTTTATTAAATAGTTTATATCAGCCAACTTGCGTATGTCCACCAACACAAACAGGATTATATTGCCTGACAACAATTGATCCATGTTTAAGTGGACCTTGTTATAATAATGGTACATGTATTTCAAATTCTGCCAAAACAACCTATACATGTATATGTCCAATTTTATATACGGGTAGTACATGTGCGAGTTTAGCTAATCCATGTTTACCCAGTCCATGTTTATTTGGTACATGTTATTCATTAAATAATGGATCATATTATTGTGCATGTGCAGCTTCCTATACAGGACTTATTTGTGATCAACCTATTAATCAATGTGCCTTTTTACCATGGTAAATTCTATTTGAAAATCAAATTAAAAAATAAAAGATTTTGCTTATTAAAATTTATTCTTTTTTCTAGTGTCAATAATGGCACTTGTACAAACCTTGGTACAACTTATCTCTGTGTATGTCCACCAGGTTTTTCGGGTAATTCATGTGAACAAATAATAAATCCATGTTCAAGTAATCCTTGTCAAACCGGTACATGCTATCTAACAGGAATTCGTTTTGTATGTGCATGTGATGCATCACATACGGGAGCTTTCTGTCAAACACAGTTAAATCCATGCCTTTCAAATCCATGTCTTAATAATCAAACATGTTTAAATAGTGGAACAACTACAACTTATACATGTAATTGTGTAACGCCATTTACAGGTCAACGTTGTCAAACAACACTTTTACCATGTACAACGATGGTTTGTTTGAATGGTGGTACTTGTTTACAGACAACATTAGTAACAAGTCAGTGTTTATGTCCAAATGGTTATTCAGGTACCTATTGTGAACTAGTCATAAATCCTTGCCAATCTCAACCTTGTTTTAATAATGGAACTTGTTTATCATCATTAAATAATATCTATGTATGCAATTGCTTATCATATTATACCGGTACTTTTTGTGAACAATATAATCCATGCATGAATTATACATGTTTAAATGGTGGCACTTGCGTTATTTCTCCATTAACTATTGGTGGTCGAACTTGTCTATGTCCACCAGCGTATACTGGTCAAATTTGTAACACAGCAATAAACCCTTGTTCAAGTTCACCATGTGTTAATAATGGTGTTTGTTTATCAGCGCTAGGAACAACTAATTTTACATGTATTTGTACACCAACATATACCGGAATATTTTGTGACGTGTATATTAATCCATGTATAAATTACTTGTGCTCAAACGGTGGTACTTGTTATCGAACTATTAATGGAACACCAGTGTGTTCGTGTTTACCAAGTTTTACAGGAGCTCAGGTTTGAACATGTATTTTCGCTTGTATAATGTATAAAAACCATATTGTTTTTATTTTCTAATAGTGTTTAACTCAAATTAATCCTTGTCTATCAGCACCATGCCTTAACAATGGTATGTGTTCATCCTTATTACCGATTTATAATTATACATGTACATGTCCATCCAATTATACTGGATATCGTTGTGAAAATTTTATTGCCTCATGTTCAACAATATTATGTCAAAATGGTGGTACTTGCGTTTATAATGGTCTGAGTGCTGTTTCATGTATATGCCCACCTACATGGACGAGTACACTATGCACACAACGTATAGATCCATGTACAACATCAAATCCTTGTTTAAATTCTGGTATATGTATTGCAATATTTAATAGTACTAATCAAACAACGATTGCATGTCAATGTGTCGCTGCATTTACTGGTTAGAACTTTTGTTTTGCTGTATCAAAAAGTTATATTTCTAAAAATATTTTTGTATTTTCAGGTCAATATTGTGAAACAAATATATCACCATGTACACAATTACCATGCATCAATGGTCAATGTTTACTACGTGCTGATGGAACCCCGATATGTTATTGTAATAATCAATGGACAGGTGCAGCTTGTAATACATTAATATCTCCATGTACATCTCAACCATGTCTGAATAATGGTGTTTGTTATTCAACTGGAATAAACTATACATGTATCTGTTCTCAAGGTTATTCTGGTGTACGCTGTGAAATTGTTTCACCAACATTGTGTACATTAACTTGTTCAAATAGTGGAACATGTGCTATACGTGGACAAGATAATACACAAATATGTATTTGTCCTACAGGTTATACAGGTATGCGATGTGAAATGCAATTATCACCCTGTACGCCATCACCATGTTTGAATAATGGTGTCTGCTTTCCAGCAACATATCCTAATGGTACATTAGGTTTTCAATGTGCTTGTACAGCACCGTATACTGGTGAGTATAATTGATTTTCTAAATTTATTGTAGAATGTAAAAGAAATATACTTAAGGTCCAATATGTGCAACTTATATGCCATTAGCATGTGGAAATACAACGTGTTTAAACGGTGGAACATGTTTTATTAGTGGTAATCAAACAGTTTGCCTATGTTCAAGTTTATTTACAGGAATTCATTGTGAATCCTTAATTAATCCATGTAATAGTAAGCGAACCTTTTTAATACATGTTTGTTTTTAATTCTTCATTCAATTTTATAATACAAGGTCAACCTTGTGTTAATGGTGGTATATGTTATACTACACCAACCGGTCGTAAAAAACGTCAAATCATAACAGCAATGGGATACTATTGTCAATGTCCAAGTTTGTACACAGGAACTCGGTGTGAATCCTATATTTCCTTATGTGGATCAAATCCGTGTCAAAACAATGGAACATGCTATCAAGGTCTATCATTAAATATAATATATTGTGCTTGTATGCAAAATTATACGGGAACATTTTGCAATACACCATTGAATGCAAGCAATGTTTGTAGAGCAAATCCTTCGATTTGTTTGAATGGTGGAACATGTCAAATTAGTTCATCTTCATCACAAGGATTTTCATGTACATGTTCACCTACAACAACAGGTTATTTTTGTGAGCGACCGATTGATCTATGCCAAACGAATCCAAAACCATGTGCTAATAACGGAACTTGTGTAAGCTTATCAATTAGAGTCTCTTCTTTTTAATGCTATCGGGTTTATATTTGTCTTTTAAAACCTAGGTTGCATCTCTAACCGGTTATATATGCATTTGTCCGAATGGCTTTTCTGGTACTAATTGTTCGATTTCAACAAATCCATGTAGTTCACAACCTTGCTTTCGTAATGGAACATGTATTGCTCTCGGTACACAATCTTATACATGTATTTGTCCAACGGGCTATCTCGGTACTCGATGTGAAATATGTAATTGCCTGTGTAACATTTATCCGTGTATGCCTTTTGACTTTGTTCTTGAAAAATAAATATTTTGAAATGCAATTACTATTTATTTAGGTCTTAATGGAGGTATATGCCAGCAAACTACTCTTGGAGGTGTTGCATGTACTTGCCAACCTGGTTATACTGGCGTTCGATGGTATGTATTACTAGTGATTATTTGCTTCTTTTTTTCCCCAAAAGCATTCATATTTTAGTGAAACTTCTCTACTTCCTTGTGATTCGAATCCATGTAAGCTAAATTAATTGGCATTATTAATACAAAATTTCCTAATATACATATATTTTTTTTTGTAGGCTTAAATGGAGGTGTATGTTTATATGATCCAGCGACGATGATAATGACTTGCCAATGTTGTGGTCTCGCAACTGGAAGGTCTTTTAAATTGATTTATCATTTATCTTTTTTCTGTATGACTTTACATATGAAACATTCATGTTTAGATTTTGTGAAATCTTGATCAATCCATGTAATACATCCATTCCGTATTGTTTTAATGGTGGCACGTGTGTTTCGAATACAAATGTGCAACCAATCTGTATTTGTCCAAATACTTTTACTGGTAATTAAAAAAAAAGAACAACACATTTAACTGAAATTATCGGTCTTTTGTCTATGCTTTCTCTTCCATTTATCTAGGCACGTATTGTGAAATATATTCAAATCCATGTGCATCAATCAGTTGTATCCAAGGAACTTGCGTCATATTAGCTAATTCAACATTTCTTTGTCTTTGTCCAACTGGTCGTTCAGGTAGTTATTGTCAAATAGTTGATCCATGTTTAGTCACATCTGGAACCATAGCACCATGTCGTAATGGTGGTACTTGCATTCGTTTAAGTACTACATCATACATATGTGTATGTCCCATTGGGTTTAATGGTGCTTATTGTGATATAGTAAATCCATGTTCGAATATACCATGTGCACCAAATGCCACATGTGCTGCTTTAATAAATGGTAGTGCTATTTGTTTATGTCCTCCTGGTATGACAGGTAGTCTTTGTAATCAAAAAATAATCAGTTCATTTTGTGCATCATCACCTTGTCTTAATAATGGTACTTGTATCGGAACAATATGTTTATGTCCAAGCAATACCGCTGGTCCGACATGTACTACAATTGGAGCTCCATGTCCGACACCGTCTCAGCCATCACTTGTTTGTTTAAATGGTGGTACATGTATACCTGGTTATGGATGCTTTTGTAATGCTGGATTTACTGGTGCAAATTGTGGCACACCAATATTTAATAGCTGTACAAGTTCGACCTGCTTCAATGGAGGTACATGTGTACAACTATTTAATAATACATTAATATGTTTATGCCCAGCGGGATATACTGGCTCACGATGTGAAGCATATAATTCATTGTGTGTGCCAAATCCATGTCAATTCAATGGTACCTGTATTCCAAGTGGTACCACTGGTTACATTTGTATTTGTCCACCGAATTTTACAGGACCACAATGTAATCTTGTTACTAATCCTTGTCTTTATTTACCCTGTAAGTATTTGAATAGTTGACACAGGAAAATAAATGTCATTTATAAATTAATTAAACATCATTTTTAGGTTTAAGCGGTGGTACTTGTATACCACTTCCTAATGGTGGTTACACCTGCATTTGTCTATCAACATATACTGGCGCACAATGCCAAACGATTATAAATCCTTGTTTATCAATGCCATGCAATGCTGGTACATGTATAAGTATCAATAGTGGTCTTGCTTATTTATGTAATTGTCCACCACAATTAACTGGCTCAACATGTCTCGTTGCTAATCCATGTGGTATTCAATCTTGTCTTAACGGTGGAACCTGCATATTAACAGGTACTAGTACATATATATGTGTATGTCCAATAAATTATTCGGGTGCATATTGTCAAGTAAATAATTTATGTTTATCAAATCCATGTTTAAATGGTGGAACATGCACGGTGTTAACTACATCAATGATATCATGTTTATGTACACCAGCATATTATGGTAATCTATGTCAAATATTAAATCCGTGTCAAAATTCTATGTGTACTCATGGTATTTGCCAAATCAGTGGTCTATCGTTAACAGCTCAATGTGCATGTTATGCTGGATGGACAGGTACATATTGTGATATATACATTGCTTGTTTAAGTAATCCTTGTCTATATGGTACATGTGTATCATCGACGTCTTGTGGTTATGTATGTAATTGCATAGCTGGTTACTATGGTCCACAATGCCAATATCCAATGGTACAAACACCATGTCAGAGTAGCCCATGTCATAACGGTGGTACATGTCAACTAACAACGAATGGATATGTATGTTTATGTCCAGCTTATTATGTTGGTGTTAATTGTGACTATACTAATCCGTGTTTATTAAATGGAGCTTCTTCATCGTGCCAATCCATATTAGTATCCGCAGGAAATTATAATTGTTTGTGTCCGACAAATCCAGTAAGTTTAATCCGTATCTATTCGATTCATTAGTTTGTAAAAAGTTACTATTTCTGAATATTTAGTGTTCAAGTAACCCATGTCAATATGGAAGTTGCGTTGTAATCAATTCTGGTCTTGGATATAGTTGTTCATGTTATTCAAATTATCTAGGTTTACAATGTAATCTACAAAGCCCGTGTACTTTAAATACATGCTATAATGGTGGTCTATGTAAAGCCACTCTAAATGATGCAAATACACAAGTAATTCCAACATGTGAATGTCAATCTTCTCTGGGTAGTTCTTGTCAATATTATAATCCATGTGTATCATTGCCATGTATGAATAATGGAACATGTGCAGGCTATGCAAATGTAACGTATTTCTATCGTTGTACTTGTCCTATGGGTTACTCTGGTGACCGTTGTCAATATTATGTAGCACAAGTTCGTTGTGACTCTGTTAATATTCCAAATACTTGCCGCAATGGTGGTACTTGTGTGTTAATTGGTACGAATACACAATGTCTTTGTACATCAATGTATACTGGCTCATTATGTGAAAGTCTAATTAATATGTGTAATTTACCTGTATGCCAAAATGGTGGAACATGTGTAACACTGAATAGTATCAATGTTCTATGTCAATGTTTACCATCGTTTCAAGGGCAATACTGTCAATATCCGACAGATCCGTGTTCAGTTCAACCATGTCTTAATGGTGGAAAATGTATTTCATCATCATCGACGTTTACATGTAATTGTGCACAAACCATGTATACAGGATCAAGATGTGAAGCATTAATTTCATCACCATGTACAATAAATCCAGTAAATGATATTTTTTATTTCTTATGCTGAAAACTTTTCTCGTGTTGTTGTTTTTTTCTCTCTCGTTTTAATAGTGTTTAAATAGTGGTACATGTCAACCAGTTGGTTCATCATATGTTTGTTTGTGTCAAACAGGTTTTACTGGTCTAACATGTGCACAATCAATAAATATTTGTTCAACAATTCAATGTCTTAATGGTGGAACTTGTGCAAACTATGGTACATTTAGTTTATGTAACTGTGTAATTACTTACACTGGCGATCGTTGTCAATATGCCAATCTATGCTATCCAACTTCACCATGTTTATATGGTGGAACATGTATATCTGTACTAAATAGTTTTTCATGTCAATGTCCCGTTGGTCGAACAGGTACAACATGTCAATTATTATTTGATAATCCATGTGCAGGCGGTTATCAGTGCCTAAATAGTGGAACATGTATCATATTATCAGGTACAACACAAGTAGGTTGTTTGTGTCCAAACAATTTTACCGGTGAAAAATGTGAATTAGGTTTGTTAGAAATTCTATGATTAATTTCGGTAACGGATTAATCTTTTGTTTAGCGTTGTCACCTGTTTCTACACAAACAACATTATCATCATCGATTATAACAATTGTTTCTCAATCATCACCAGTGACTATTCAAACAACATCATCGAACTATTTAAATATGACTAATGCACCATATATATGTAATGATATATCACTTGCTTGTCTTGCTTATGGTGCTTATTGTGCTCGTGAAATTGAATTTTCTGGTGTTCCATGTCGAGTTCTGTGTCCAAGAACTTGTAATACTTGTAAGTTGAAACTGATAAATATGTATAGATACTATCTCGATATTTATGTTAAGGTTGCGAAGACTTCTATACAGATGGTACATGTTCATTAGAAAAATGTCAAATTAATCCTCAACTAGAGCCTTATTGTCGAAAATCATGCATCTGCAAAATATGACTATAATGCATTACTTTTCTTTTTGATTTTTATTAAAATACATTTCTAATTTAAGAACTTATTTTTTAATTAGGATATAACTAAATAATTTTATCAAATAAAATATTCCATTATTATCTTCTATGTACACTTGTTTTTTTTAAGCAAAAACATTATAATCACTTCAACGAAATTTCACAATGCTCTGCTGTTCTCATCGATATCACACTCACGCATGATAAAAACAGTCCTATTTATTTCAATTGAAATACAACTTTTGATACAATTCAAGTTTTTGTATTTAGAAAATTTTTCTATAAAATCTTACGAAGAAAATTATTCATATACCGTCGTTTGAAATTAACAAAAAAAACTGTCGATATTCTTAACATTTTCTATTGAAGACAGAAGAAAAAGTTAGCATAATCGAACAGTTCGTTAGTGAAAAATCAGGAGGCTTCTTCATTTTTCTTGAGAAAATTATACCATTTTCTACGAACAGCAAAATGATGTATAAATGTCGATGTTTTTCAACGAAACATTTCAACCGACTTCGATTATTCAAACTTTGATAGTTGTATTGTCAATGGATAGATGATATTTTGCGATGATCTTTATATACCTATTTGAAATACAAAAACAAATAAGATGCGATCATCAAAATGTGTTCAAAATAAATTTTCCTAAATGCTATATTCAATTGTTGAGTGTTAAGATGAAAAAATAATTACTTTGTACAGAGTAACTATTGATATTTTAAAAATAATAAGTTTTTTTTGTTTATTTTTCCATTAGCCACTGATAGACAGATTCATCGAACCAGTTGTCGTAGAATTTTGAAATAAATAAACAAAATCATTAAACAATTGAAGGATCGATGAAATAACAGAATGGAAAAATAACGATCTGTCTTACATTACAGCACATGTAGACACAGCAAACACTAAAAGACACAACGACATTATGACAGAGTAAGAAATTTTCTTCTATATTTTAAAATTGATTGTTTTTATTTTATTTAGACCTGTTGTCCAGTGTACATTTCATAATGTTTCAACTGATCTTGTTAATATTATATCATCATCAATGGGCATTCGTTCATTATCAAAACAAAACAATAATCAATTTTCTTATTCATCTTCACTTTTAAATGCTCGACAAATACGTTCTAGTCTTGCTGATACTCTTGGTCAATATCCACAAATTTGGTTTTCAATAGATCATTCAAATCAGTTTAATAATTCTTCGTCAAAATTCGATAAAAATGTTTATATGATTGATCATATATTTTTTGGTTCTTTATATTCCATTGAAAAATTTCTCGTTCATAATACACCTCTCAATAATAGAAATCGTTGGAAAATAAGAATTTATAATAAACAAACATTAATGATTGAATCTGAAGACGAAGAAGAAGAAGAAGAAGAAGAAGTCTGTTCTATCCGCTTATCTGTACCAATAAAATTTCTCCACAAACAAATTCTTGTTATTGATGGTGAAGATTTTTCTGAAATTATTTGTAGTTATAATTTTATAACAGTCGAAATACGAACAAATAGTAATAGCAATAAAAAATATGAAAAGTAAATAAAAGAAAACGATCATTTTTGACAATTATTATTTTTTCTTTCATTTAGGATTTGTGGTAATAATCCAATAGTTAAATCATTAAATCAATGTACAGAATTTTTAATATGTTTATCGCCGAAAACAAATGCTGATTTACTTCTTGATTATCTTCAATTAAATTATCATTTCCAAATTTTTTATACAACCATCGTAATACAACATAGTATTCATGAATGGTCAATGCATGATATGAGTTGGTATCAAACAGATAATACACGTTATGCTATATCAATGTTACATTCATTAGGGTATGCTTTTGATGATAAGTATTTAAGCAATGAATCACTTCAAAGTTTAATGATTGCATTAGCTGAAAAAGATGAAAATAATTTTTATCAATTATCATTAAAAGCTTTTTATGAACTAAGAAAATGTCATTGGCTAAATTTGATAGAAATTTTTAATAAAAATCTTGTTAAAACAGTGGACGAGAGTAATATTTTTCATGTTGCTGTTATTCATATAACTCCAACGCGTATTTTAATAATGCCAAAAGAAAAAACAAAAGGACATCGTGCAATGCGCCATTCATTATTTCAAGATGTTCATGATTTTTGTCTTGTTTATTTAAAACCTGACCCACCAAATATATATTTCAATGATGATAATAATCATATGATAGGATATTTTAGAGAATTATTTCTATCTGGTATTGATTTTGGTGGGAATCGTTATCATTTATTTGGTGCATCAAATTCACAATTAAAAGATCATTCGTTTTGGTTCATTAAAGCATTATCATTAAATGAAATTCATCAAAAACGACAATTATTAGGTCAATTCGATGATATTTTGAATTTAGGTACATATGTTGCTCGACTAGGTTTATGGTTCAGTAAAACTGATCCAACAGATGTAAGTATTCATAATTTATGATGCATAAGAATTCGTAGAAATGTCTAGATTTACTCTATTCAAACAAATAATATAAGAATCTGATTTTTTTCACTCACTATTAGAGCAGAGAATATGTGCTTTAGAATGTATAGTAAAAGATTAAAGTAAACAATTTGTAAAAGAGGTCGAAATTTGATGTTTTTAAATATAGTAGAAATTTGTTGATATTTAGATAAAATAAAGAATCCATTGGTATGTTCGCTATGTCATTTGGTTGCATATTTTCTAACAAGATAGAAATCTTCAAATAGATATATACCTCTGTTTAGAAAAAATTTGAGTCTCTTGCATGGAGATTTTCCGATTCTTTAAATCTTCTAAGCATGTCAAAATCAGAGTTGGAATAATATATTGTGTGCATACATATCTCCATCGTTTATCAACTAAGAGGAATGCATTCTTTTTTTGATAATAAAAAAATTACATTTTAAAGATTTATTTAGAAGTTTGCTTTGTCAGAAGTATTGAAAAAATTTGTTAACAATCATGCAATCTACTAATTTTGCTTTTTTAACTGTTTAATGACTAACATCTATACACTAAATGACGCCTGATCGTTTTTCAACAAATCTAGATTTCAAAAGTTTTATTCTCCAAGTGGAAATTCTTAATCATCGCTTTGTTAGTCAACAGAAACCAATCTAACACTAGAATAACTCGCAAATATTCATCTTTTTCTTAAAATCCCCAATAAAACTAATTAGAAGATCATCAGAATTTAATCTGGTGAATTATGTCATAAATTTTATTCTGAATATTTTACTTCAAAAATTGGATACTTTGCTCTATCTATCAGCGAAGATATTAGACTTGAGAGATTTACGTTCGAATACAGTAGATCTTGATATTGATATCATCACTTATGGATCATAGGCTAATAAATTAGACAAAGAAAAATTCATTTTTAGATTAAAATTAATTATTGCTCCAATGAAAATGAACTTAATCAGCGTGTTAGAAAAGGAGAAATATGTATCATGATGATTGAAGATATTGAAAGAAATAATTATTGTTTTACCGATGGAAATGGTTTAGTTTCGAAGGGTTTGGCAAAATTAATAAATGAAAAACTTACGAATAGTCAACAAAACAAACAAATTATACCATCAGCTTATCAAATTCGTATAGCTGGTTGTAAGGGTCTTATTATAATTGATCCTCAATCAACATTTGATCAGTTCTATATTAAAATTCGTCCATCAATGAAAAAATTTGAATGTAATGATTGGACTTTAGATATTTGTGGTTATAGTCGCGCAAGTAGTTTGAATTATCATGCTTTTTTTCTTCAAAAGAAAAATGTTCTATTTGTGATTTTAGTACCGAGTCGACTTAATAATCAATTTATTTGGCTATTATCAGATCTTGGTGTATCGGATGAAGCATTTTTTCGACTTCAACAACGATGGTTTAGTAGAAAGCCACCACATTCAAATTATTCCGAGTAAATAAAGTATTTTTTTTCTAGTTCTCGATAAAAATGAATAGATGTTTCTGCTAATAAAAATATCAGTAAATGTATTTTTAGTTTTCGTTCAAGAAAACAATGTCAAATCAGCAGTCTATATTCAGCATGTGAAGTTTATCCTATGCCGACTGTTTTCCTGTCTAGTTAACTCACAATCCTTGCTTGTAAAAGCTGAGTTCTACTTTCAAATCAGTTCTGAGTTCATCCTATGAGTATCGCTGAAAAAAGAGAGCTCAAAATTAAACGGACATATTCACAGAACTTCGACTCTCGCTAGTTATTTTTTCAGTGTACAGCTAGGGTTATGATTGAATGAACAGTTATTTTGCTGCTATTTAATAGCAGTTATATTTAACTGATAGTATTCTATTCTATTATCATTTTATTTTTTTATGAGTTTCTCTCTAATTAATGAATTAATCCAACTGTTTTCAGATGAAATCTTTCTTTAACATTATTTTAATACAAGATGCGCCTAGTAGATAAAATAAAATATTTATAGATTGAAGCCAAACTGTTATTATGAATTATCATTGTAGATAATTCTTTTTAGAAACCGAACAGCTAATAGAGAGTCAAATACGAATACGTTCACTCTATGACTTACATTGAAATGGTTTTCTTTTAGTGACATATTGAAAAATAAAATTCCATTACCTGTGAATGAGTGTCGCTATATTTATGGTTGTGCATTAGAATCTCAACTTCAAGAAGGACAATGTTTTATTCGCTATCAAATTTTAAATGAGAATGGCAAATCATGTTCAAAACCAAAATTTGAATGTGTTCGAGGAAGAGTTATTGTGACAAAAAATCCTTGGTAAACTCTTTGTTATAAATTCATTCCCAATAACAAAATTCTTTTTAAATTTTCAAGTCCATATGCTGGAGATATGTTAGAATTATGGGCAGTTGATTTGCCAGAATTATATCATTTAAATGATGTTATTATTTTTTCGGTTCGCGGTGAACGTAAGTATGTTTATCGGATGATTTTATTTTGTAAATGAAATATTTAGGACCTGATTTTAATAAAATTGCTGGATCTGATCTTGATGGTGACGGATATTTTGTAAGTTTATTTTCTGAACTTTTTTATGTTTATTTAATGTCACATACAACAGGTCTACTGGGGTCAAGAATTACGTCTCAAATCTCAAGTGAAACCACTCGATTATACTCCAGATAAAAAACAATATCAATCAAAACCTATTTCTCCTGAAGATGTTATTAATTATTGTCTTTCAACATTAAACATGACTAGTTCAGGTGAAATATATAATTTGCATGCTATAATTATCGATAAAAATTATGAAAATTATCAACAAAGAACATGCCAACCATTAGCCATTGAATTAGCTCGAATGTTTTCATCGGCTGGTCTGTTTTATACTAAAGCTAAAACAAAAATTGAAACTAATATTTTATTCTTCGTTTTGTAGTCGATTCTGGTAAAACAGGTTATATTATTGATAAAAAACGTATTAAAAGCATTCGTGAAAAATATGGACAAAAATATCCCGATTTCTTAGGAAAAGATGAGAAAAGATCATATACATCAGAATCTATTGTTGGCAAACTTTATCGCAATGCACTTAATTACATTCATGGAAACTTAAAACAACTTGAAGCAGTTTTTGCTCAATTGAATATCGTTGAAAACGAACAGGAAATATTGCCGCATATAAATTTAGTAAGTAAATAAAATGAAATTTCTTTTTTGATATTCTAAATTTTTAGCCGTCAGAAAATAAATTTGATACACCAGTGATTTCATCTAAATCAGCTGATAAATCCATGGCATTACATCCAGGTTCTCCATTGCCACTAACTCCAAATTCAGTTTCCATAAATGTAAGTTTATAATGAAGATTCTTTATATAACCATTCACTTATTCTAAATGGTAACTATTTCTTTCTGATCGCATAAGTAATAATAACGTCTGCAATTGGCTCTTGAATTAAAGATTTTTTGCTGATTACAATGTTATCTATATTAGATAAATTTTCATATATAGATTCAATATAGAAAAAAGAATACACTTTTGAACATACGAGGATCTACTTTCACACTTTTTCTATTTGAACATTTATTCAACGAAACACGGACAAAGCTAGGTACTCAATTCATACCAACTCAACTTGAGAAAAGAAAAGATTTTCAGTTGATATTACACAACTAAAACAGAAATGATTATTTTCAAATCAATTTCATCGTGTAGATCTTTCTTTTTTGACAGTTTAGTAATATCCTCTGCTTGGAAATCAATTTCGAAGAAGAGTGTACTCTCTATTATTCGTTTACTATTCTTCTTACGTTTAGAGCGATAATTCTTTTATATTGTACAATAAAATTCCATCTCAATTTTTTCTAATCGATGGTATGACATCATTATACTCATCAATACAATTACATCCGTCAACAAAACCTTTTTATTCCGAACATAATGATTTAATTCGTCTTCGTATTGAACTCGAACTATTATCTAACGAACATTTCAAAACATATTTACCATCTTTATCTTCTCTGTTCTTCGAACAGCTTTCTTCTTTTCAATATTCAATAAATGATAATGAAGTATCAAAACTGATTATTTCATATGGATATATATATTTATTAAAATATCAAGAGCAAATGTTAAGTCTTACACAATCTCCTAAAACTTTAGAGTCTTTATTAAATAATCATTTTTTACCACCACTATTTGATACATTTTTTCCATCAACCATTCTTGAACGTATAGAAATAACGAAGGATAATGCTCATTGTCTACAACAGATATTTTATAAACTAAATCATACGATTAAACAAGAAGTAAAGCTTTTATTTGAAACAATATTTTTTTTTCTAATTGACATTCAATTTTAGTATATGGAGTCAATATCTGATTCTCTATGCTTAGTATTACCATGGTTTAAAATGAATTTGATTGAACATCAACGTGAAATAATTCTCATTTGTCTAAATACTCATTCTAATAATGAAATTCGTATACATTTTGATAAAAATGGTCGAATAAAATCTATTGATAATTTACCGAAAGTTTTATTTAAATGCTTTCATCAACAAACATCATCATCTTACCGCCCCGATATGCTTTATGAATTTTGTTCTTATTCAACGATAAATAATGAAAATTATTCATTAATATTTAAACATGAAGTATTACTTGACCCAACACAACCATTAACACTTCCGTTACATGAATATATAGTTCCTATTGTTTCATATAGTATTGTAGCAAATATATTTCGATATAATGATATAGAAATACATATTATACGAACATTTGCACCCATTCATTATAAAAATGATGATTTTTATAAACTCAGATGTATATTAGGTTATATTGAGCAATTGGAACAACAGCATTCAATTGAAATGCATGTTCATATGAATAAAAATGAAAAATTAAATCGAGAAAAATTACGTTATATTATGGCATTGGCTACGGAACTTAGTCAAATGTTAGATTGATCGGATTCTTCTCTTCTTCTTCTTCTTGTTTTATTGAACAGTTTTTGTCTCTTTATTCACTTTGAATAGGATTAGTTATTAATTTGTTGCTTTTTGTATAAGTTTATATGATTGAAAAATAAACTATATCTATATCATAAGAAAATTTGTTTTTATAGTTTTCTCTAAATATTCAATTGTTTTTTCCGATTCACAAATAAGGATGATCATCAGGTGAGCATTTTTTACGGAGTCAATTTTTTCAAGTATTTAAGAAAAAAAAATAATGCTCAACAAACAAAAAACTTCATAACTCGAATTTCAAAATATTGATTAGTATTTTTCATATGACAAATATTCTCTGTGTGTACATCTACGAGGAATAATTGCCACTATTGAATCATATGTTTGTATCTTTTGCTCTTGTCTTGAGAATATAGATGTTTATATTTTCAGCTAAGATTTCTTGCATCAAAAAAATCTTATAATCTCTTAAGATATCCAAAATTTTCAATCAGAAAGAACATATTCTAGCTATGATATTTATAATCTAAAGAAATTCCTTTGTTTGGATTATATTTTGAAAAAAAATGTTTCTATGGTAAATTGTCATCACGATAACGATACGATTTGTTCTAGTTTCCAGTGATTTATTTCTAATGATTATACAAACTATTCATAGACAGAGTTTTAGCTTGGAATTCGATCAGTTCGTTTCTCAATAATTGTATACGTAGAGGGCGAACATAACTTAACCTACGTGTAATTGAACAAAAGAAGAGCAAAAACTCGCAGAAAATACCAACTTTTCATATTTGATTCCGTTTGATTAAGGGAGTTAACTTCAACTATCGTGAGATAATGAAACTATGTTTTCGAAATTTTTTCTTTTAAAAAAAGATATACCCATTTTTTTGAGTATCAAGCTTGCTGTACATCAATTCAATGTGTTGACGCTAACTCTTGATGATTGATGTATTTGTCATCATGTAAACTAGTCACTAATGTTCCTTGCAAGTAGTTTGGTCCCTAGTTAATATTAGAAACAGGATTTCCGACACAATCATATCCTCCAGTCCTTGTTCCATTTAAGTGAATGCATATTCAGGCGAAGATCACCTTTCTAAACCACTTTGATGTTAAATGCAAAATATAATCACTTTACTGATCAGTTTTTTCGGTTGGAAAAAAGTAAAATAAGATAAAAATGAAAAAGAGTACGTGCAATTACAAAACACAACTATTATTAAATAATCTATGCTGTTGTAGTAGCTGCTCCTTCTTCTTCAATCACTGCTCCAGTTTCAGCAGCTGGTTTTTCATCATCCTGCGAGAACAAATACAATGAAATAAGAAAAGCAAAATGTTTTTCAAGTGAAATCTAACCGCAACAACTTTTCGATCTCGTTTTCGCTTCTCTTCTTCAATGATTTTCCAGAAATCTTTTTCCGCTTTTTCAATTGGATCAGCTTCTCTCAGTTCTGTTTCGCCTGGTGCAACTTCACCTGTTGCTTTTTCACCTTTCTTTTAAAAAAGAAAATAAAACAAATAGGCTTGGAGAAAAAACAAAGAAAATCATTTTCGCAAATCCTACTTCGCCTTGCGCTGATTTTGCTCTGGCATCACGTTTAGCTCGTACACGTGCTTCAAGAATCTTGGCACGTCTTGTTTCACGATCAAACATCTAATTAATTTAAAGATAATTTTAAAACAAAATGATTTTCTTCATCAAACATACTCCAGTAACTAGGGCCTTTTCACTTTTTCCTTGTACACATAAATTATCAGATACTTCGACTAACGTTACTGTTCCATTTTGTGATCCACATGCAATCAGACGGCCCTGTGTTTCTTGGACACGTAAACAATGAAGTGGTTCATCAACAACTTGAATGGATAGAGTTGGCTCATTTTGTTTAAATAATATATCCCAAACATCCAATGTACCTTGATAAAACAAATGAAAAAAAGATAGAAAATCATTTTCTCTCTATGTTATTGCTTGTTTTTTTCTTCTCTTACCATCCATTTTCGAAGTATAAAAAATTGATGACCGTGTGGGTGACCATTGAGCATCCGTAAGTGCATGCATACTCGGTCTAGACAGATGCATAGCAATATTTATTGTTTTATTACGAATTATACTCTAATTACTTTGTCCACATAATGCAATCGTCTCGTAATTCTTCGGACCAAATACGTACAGTCCAATCACCGACAGATAAAAAGTTTTTGGTAAAATTCGGATGACGTTGTAGTGCATAAACTGGACCCCAATGTCCTGGGAACACGCTACCAATTTTTTCTGCATCATTTTTACCCTTACGATTACATGATATAATACGACCTTGTTCTGTGCCAACCATAAATTTTGTTGGCTTGAAAATTAAATTGAAAACCAAAATTCGAGGAAAAGCAAGAAATTCAAATGAAACTTACAAGAGTCGGTTCATATTCAAGTGACATGGCACCAAGAGCATTTTCTAATCTACCTTTCTTTTCAATATCTAATATTAATGTTTCAACTGGTTCAGATAATTTTCTTGTATCCCACCAAAGGACCTAAATTAGACAATTATTTATCTGAGTGATGTTTGTCTTTTGAAAAATAAACGTCGTTTTACTTTGCCATCAGTTGAAGCCGAAAAGAATTCAGTACCAGATTTTGATTGTAACCAAACTGTTTTGTAAGCTGGATCACGATGACTATTTTCAATCAGCGATTGTTCGACAGCTGTACTACCTTTTCTTGTATCAAATATACCTATTCGCAAAAAAAGGTAAATCAACATTTATTACTTTACTCATCAACTTTGAATGATTGCAACTTACAAACTTGACCATTATAACAACCACCAGCAAGTTGATGTGTATCTTTTGGATTAAATTCAATACAAACAAGTGGTGATATTGGTTTTAGATAAAGCTCCGGTTTAGTTGGATTTTCTAAGAGAAATTAGAAAACAAATAAATGAGATTTTGAGAAAGAGCACTAAAAATAAATACCAATATCCCAAATGTACGAATCAATAAATGAATCACTTGTTGCTGATTGAAATTCCAAATTACAATATGAAACAGCTAATTTGCGTGGCCCATCAGCATACCATGATATATGATTAGCTGTACGTCGAATGTTATGAGGATCACTAAAATGTGAATTGTTATAGTATGTTGAAAAACAAAAAACAAACAATTGAAATTGTTCATACCGATAGATATTAATAGTCTTGGCATAGGGTGCTTCTTCAACAACATCTGGTTCTAAATGTTCAAAATAATTTTCATAAATATCAATAGCATTGTTTTGTCTAATTGTATGTTCAATTGACTAAAAAAACAATAAAAGAAATTAGTTTTCTTTTCTTCAAGCAACAAAATAAGAAAGATTTATACTTGTCCAAGTGATAGAATAGCGCGTCCATAGCCATCTTCTTTTTCAGTTTTTTTTCGAAAACGTGATGTTTGATCAGGTTCAAGTGGATTAACATCTTTAGGCCAGCCACCTTCAACATGATTAATACCTCGATTTTCGGTTTCAAAGCGAACAGTATTCACCTGAAATGTTTCATAGATTTCTTTGTAGCAAGAAAAAAAAAGAAAATTTGTTTAAAAACTTCATACCCAATGTTCCGAAAATTCACGAGCATTTTGTACTGCAACTTCGACTGGATTACGGGAAATATACTCTTTAATTAATTCAGGATTTGGTTGAATATCAGCAATTATCTCAACTGATCGATCTGTAAAATGAACTTGTCGACCAAATTCCGAACGTTTTTTCGTATAAACGTATTGTATATCCATTTATGGTGTTAAAGTATTAGAAGGATTTGTTAGAAAAAAACTATTGATCCCATCAACATCAATTTTACATCAAACTTAACCAAGCAACAGCCTCTCAAGCAATGCTATCGCTATGGAGAAGATGTCGTTACATACGTATAACATATAAATGCAAGAGTCTACAATAACGTTTTTTTCATTCCTATAAGAACACTTTGATTAAGAATCGATAAAATTCTTAAGTATATTTTTTTATATTTCGAAGTTGTAAATGAGAAAAAGATCTCACGAATGCGAATTATTCAAGTTTAAAATTGCAAGAAAATCATGGGAGCAAAAATTTTAATTTTCACATTTTTAAAAATAAGTCTATTTTCGTAAGAGTACTTTAAAATCACAAATATCGATGTGTTTTGTTGCCTATAGAGATGAATATGAACTTTTTTTTTATATCATAGATTCCAATCAACATTTACATAGTACTTGTTCGTATAATAAATAAACAATTAGCATGAAAACAGTTTCGCAGAACCTATAAATAATGAATTTTTGTTCATCATCATTCCTTTAAATATTGACTTCGAGAGTTGATTTCCCGAGAAATATGAACCACAAAATTGTATCACCATTGTTTTTACACGGGAGATTGAATAAATCAGATCTACGTACATTATGATTTAATGTGTATATATGTGAAAGAATTACTGCTGCAATTTTCAGTTCAACTTGTCTTGTTTGTAAACAATTGTCTTGCTGAGTGAACATCAAAAGCATATTTTCACGAATTAATATAGGTAGAAGCTTGGCTTATGGAGAGAGCGCAACATCTATTGACTTTCTCCTAATCATTTTACAATTTGTCGATAAAACAGCACTATGTTTTGAAATATTAGTTAAACACTAACTACCACGCTATTTTGGGACTCATTTACGGTATGCGTTACTTTATTTTCACACATTTAGTGCGGAATTACGTCTTTGAATATAATGTTGCTTTTACTGTTTTGTTATCTTACACTTTTTATTTGTTAACATGTTTTAGTGTCAACTGTTATTAATAAAATGCTTTTTAAGTGTCAAGAAAATTTGAATGTCCTTCTGCGATGTTTAAGACCTGTTAGATTTTATTTTTTTCATTGATAATTAAAAATAAATACGGAGAAAAACTTCTTTATGATAAAATAATACAGCACTAAAACACTTTTACGACTCTTTAACTGAACTTATATCTTGATACAATACTTCTTCCTTTTTCGCACACATTATCATAATGGAACTCATCTGTCTCATATTCCAATCATGATTAAATTGGTTGAAGACTAGAAAAATAATTTTTCTATTAACTAAAATGACACTGATTCTTTAGGAGAAAGATCTCAGTCTAAAAAATTTGGAACTCGTTTATTTTCATGAATGAATTAATAATCGAGAACGATGCAAACATATTTTGAATCAAAAAATACGACAGGTTCATATCGTTAAGTACTTTTCTTATTTATTAGCAAATTTAAAAAAATACTGTAATAAATAGTGCAGTATTTTGTATTGTACTTTAATTGAGGCAATGATTTTGGATAGAGATCGGACGTGAATCTTAGCGATAGATCGCTTTTGAAATTTATCTTCTTTCAATTAGACTAGAAAAAAGTGCATGTTTCAGGTGCGATAAATTCCCTGTTAAATAGAGTAGATGATATACAATGATGTTTCTCTCTATATTTAAAAATTTGCACTAAATGAACATTAATGAAACACTTAACTAATGAAATACATCCGTTCCATTTAAAAGAAAATGGCATAGTTCACTTTTTTTATTCAATATAAAAGAAACTCTTCGTCTTGCTTTTATTCTTGATAACACATTCAAACAATATTTTATAGTTTTCTTGTCATATTCAAACTAGAAGAAAGCACAATGATAACAGAGTACGTAGATTCAACATCCGTACTTGAAAAATTGGGTTTATTAGCATTCATATTTGCCATTGTTACGGGAAATGTAAGTTTATATTGTACTATGTATTTCATTATTTTTTTGACAAAACAAAATTTAGATCTGTGCATTTGTCACATTTTGCGTACGTGGCGATAAAAAATATTGGTCAAATATGCTTATACTAGGTATGTCATTCATTGATATCTTTATCGGTAGTTTTGTTCTACCTTTACGTTATCTCAACGCTTACGGACACCCGTTAACGCCAAAACTATGTACTGCATTACGAATTGGTGAATCTGGTGCTTTGGCAGCAGTTGTATATGCAATTATTTTCATGATATATGCTCGGCTATATAATTTAAAACGACCATCAGTAGTCATTCATCGTCGTTACCTTCTGATATTACTATTATCATCATGGATAGTTATTTTTCTATTTTATGGAATTCCATTTATGATCGATTATTCGAATTATTCTTTATCGATAACATCAACCAACACAATAAATGCGACATCATATTGTACAACTTATGCAACATCAATTTATCATTCACCATGGATGGCTTATACTGAAATAGGAATAATTTATTCGATGCCATTAATATTGATATCTATCGGCTTAATTTATCTTCTCCATTGTATATGTCAACCAAGGCCCAAACAATTAGGACCAACTGAACGAAAAATATATCTTAAAAATCAAAAAATGATATGGCATGTTTTTTTACTAGGCATAACATTTCTTTTTCTTTGGGTTCCTTGGATGTCAGTTCGTATTCTCATTATCTTTTACAGTACATACACGATTCAACTTGTTCTGAAAATAACTTATTATATACTTTTATTCAAATCTGTACTATTTCCTATAGTATATGCATCAACAAATGCATCTTTTCGTGGTTCATTCGCCATGTATAAGCATCAAAGGATGACATTCAACACGCGTGTATCGGTGATTGATTATCAACATGAATATTCACTTACAAACCGTCGTGGATATTAAAAATAAAACAAAAGACTAAATGTCTATCTTTGTTATACTTCAATATAATATATAAGAAAATCTCTCTTTTTTTAAAGTGTTTTTTTCAGTTCATTTCTTGAATGAATATGATTAGCATATCTGTTCATTACAAGTTTTTACTTGTGTATATTCACCAGTGCAATTCCTTCCGGCTAGTGAAACATTACCAATCATAGTTTCAAGCTCAGGTATTGATGCAGCTGGATTAGTGCAAGTTCGATAACGTGTTGTCTCGCCAATACCACAAGACTTTGTACATGGTGTCCAATCGGTCCATGGTGAAAAACCACCATCGACTTAAATAAAAACAGTTTTCTTTAAATTGATTCAGAAATAACAAGAAACACAAATCTTACCAATACATCTGGCAACAATAGCAACTAGTTTACTAAGATTATGGGAGGTTTGTGTTGGATCATATTTACACTGATACAAATCAGTTTCTTTTCCATTACATAATATACCCGGATAACAGGTAGAATTACGTAGAATAGGATTTAAAATTGCTAGAAAAACAATATAAATAAGAAAAGCAATAAAATGATATTCTGTTTACCGTACTCTGCACCACGTGGAAGACCGATTGATTTGCAAACCTTGACAAGAAAATAAATTTTTTTCAATTCCGCTTACTACAAAAAGAATATTAATATCTTACTAAATCAGCCATGTGCTTCGCCATTTCAGTACTGTTCTGTGGTACACATAAAATATCACCCTCACGAATGGCTAAGTATCCTTTCAATGAATATTTTTCTGGTTCAGTTTCTTTAATACCTAAAATCAAAAACAGACAATCATAGAACTTGTTTTTTTTTAAATAAAATAATACCAGCAACACGTTGACAATTTGCTACACCACAAGCTCTTTGTTCATGTGTATAATTTCCACAGTTTGAATTAGCTGGGATGCATGAGCGACTACGTTCCTTATTACCAATACCACAGAATTTTGAACATGGTGTCCATGGTGTCCATGGGCCATAGACTTGAAAATTGGAAAGAAAAATATAACTTAGAGAAATATTTTATAGATAATATCGAGAAAAATCTACCTGGACAAGTCTTTATATTGCAGGGTTGTATTTCTATGTCAGTACCAATACAATTATCGGTTGGTATTTTTTGAGTTATATCTTTAGATGATAAACATTCGCGTTTACGAAAGTGGTAGCCTTCACCACATGTTACACTACATATAGACCAATCATTATAACCAGTCCATATACCAGTTTCTATCAATCAATCAATTCATACAAACAAATGAAATTAATGATGTTCCTATTGTAGAAAAATTCTTACCTATTTTATCACAATCATCAGGTGTCAATTGTCCATTTAAGCATACGCAAGTTGCTATTTCTTTTTTCTCATGATTATAACCAATGCAAATAGCACCCGGTTTGCATTTCACTCTGTCACAAACATTCTGTTCAACTTGTTTCCGCTAAATAAATGAATGTATTTCAATAATTATTTATCAAATTAAACTCACTGCAGCAATTATATCTTTATCAAGAACTTTAGTTAAATCGTCATATAAAGAACATGTTTTATTGATCGCAACATAATTGAAACCTGTACATATTGATTGATCTTTGATACATTCAATAGCACATTGATATTCATTTAATAACTCTAAATCAATGTAAGACACCGATGTTGAGAGACGTGATGGTGTTAATCGTAACTTATTTAAAGTTTTCTCATTAAATTTGATCAAGTTTTGACCAACAGCATATTTAGCAACAATGGCAGTAATAAAAAATTTCGAAACGATCAGTATGAACCACATTATCGATTTTCTATTGAATGAATGAGTGTATGAAATGAAAAATATACGCAAGATCAATATTTGTGAAATTCCCATGAGAAATCGACTACTATCAATATTATACTTTTTCTTTATAAAAAACATGCCCTGCTCACATTATTTTAACAGTGCACAATCAATTGATTTCATATTGTTATTAATAATCATGAAACTAATCCCAACTGAAAACATTGAAATCATATTTAGATATTCAAGAGTGGTTCTCGCTGTAACCAACATTTTTCGGTTGCAAGCTCTAGAGTTAATGTGTGGTCATGATCAGGATCAGAACATTTCTTTCTACTGATTTGTTGTAAGTCACGATAACTTTTGGGATAAATATAAACTCATATCTAAAAATACAGCAATCCATATCTAATTTTAAAATAAATTTATATCTAATATACGATGAGTTTATATCTAATTTATTAAGTAACACTATCTAACAACACAAAGTTATATCAAATTAATAATTAATTTAATAGAAAAAAAATAAAGATACAATTATCAATTATAACAAAAAAAACAAAGCAAAAAGAGAAAACTATTGCACAATTAATGCTTTTTTTAGCTTTAGCAACATGCCCTCGTTTTCTTTTTTTGTCCCAATGGAATATTTTTAGCTTCCAATGGGATGCTGCATAATTTGTATCGTGCTGCTAAGCTTATAATGTGTTTACAAATATAATATTTTAAACAAGCTGTACAAGAACATGTATTTTTTGTCCAATTTTCACTTTCATTTAAAAGTTCTCATTCCCAAAATGATAATTGTTCATTTTTCATAATATCAAAATCACACCAATTAAAGTGTTGTTAATTTCAGATATTTAATTGAATTAAAAGACAGAACCTTTTTTAATTCAGATATTTAATTGATTTAAAAGATGTTGAATTACAAAATTAGATTAAACAATTTTTTTAATGGTATCCTTTCACCAGAATAGATACTACTGTATTAAGTTAGGCAATATTGATATAATTTAGATATGGATTGCTATTTTTTTAGATATTACAGTAAATGGATGCCATAACTTTTTCTGTATAATCCGGAATATGTCAAAGATTATACAACAGTAGCACGAAATAAAAGTGGTCGATTTCTGAACTAAGAAAAATAAAGCACATGTTTTTAATTTTTTTCACTTTTACTTTATCGAATACTAAACTTTAATTGTTTCTTTTATTTGACTGTTTTTTTTTATGACGAAATGTACTTTTTTGTTATATTAGGTTTGTTTTGATGCTTATGTCGTGAAACAAATCACCAGTCAGAAAAAGTTCACGTTTTCTACTGGCTGCAGATTCATGTAATCTTTATTCTCAACTTCAGTTTTTTCAAAAAAGAAAACTTTAATTTTTCTAAATTTTGATTTTTCCTGCAAAAATGTATGAAAACCTATACTTGATTATACGCACAAAAAAAACGACGAATGAATCGTCGAAACAAGTTAAGTCTATGGAATTATTAGTAGTTTAGAAAAAACAACTATGACAACTAATACAGGCATAGAATGTGTATCTAAGTTAATATTTATGATTTCCATGACCAAAGTCCAGCTGTGGTCACTAACACAAGTTTTAGAAAAGATTGACTTCAACCATAGCAACTACTAATATAGAACAAGTTCCTTTTATTGAAGAAAAATAATCAACACATAAATGATGACTCCTAATAGAAAAGAAATTCTACGATCTTGCCAAATTCGAGCTGCAAAATCAATTTCGCACCGATAAGATCAACGTGAAACAATTACAGAATGATATTGCAATTGAATAGTTTTAATTTATATATTTTTATTTTAAAATAAAATAAAATAGATTTCTAGAACTATTTCGAAAACTTCTATTCTTCATCATAAATATCACGCGCTAATTTTGCTTCGATCATAAATGATTTGGAAATACTAAGAATGTTTGTTTGGCTTAAAATTAATTCATTTTTTTAAATATATTATTATATTGATGGAAATTGATCATCATGACTAGTCATATAGTAAAGACATCCTTTCAAGCCAAGATCGTCATCGTTAATTAGCATAAGTGGAACATGAGCAACAATTTCACTCATTTTTGCTCCTTGATTTAAATAAGATTTCAGTAAAACGTTTTCTGAATTGTTTTGCCATCGCCATGCAAGTTTAGGTAAAATACCACCAGTTATGTATAAGCCGCGATAGGGTAAAAATGTTTGTGCTGCCGTTCCTAATACTCGACCAAAAATATCCAGAAAAGTATCAACGACTCGAAGGCACAATGAATCATTATGATCACGAGCATGTTGAGCAATTACGGCAGGAGCATCATCTTGTGAAACTTGTTCAAGTTCATCATTAAGTTTTGATGATAATGGTTGATTTAAATATTCTGAATAGAATTTTAACATTGTTACAAATGCTGGACCTGATACAAGTTGTTCGACTTCGATGAATGATTGATTATGGCGTAAATATTTAAGTAAAAACCATTCTTCTTCTGATCGTGGACTAAATGTATCGGTCATACCTGCTTCTGATGGATAAACTTTATATCGACCTAAGCCATCAGGTGAAAGAAAACATGCACCAAGACCGGTACCTGCACCAAGGCAAGCTATGGGTGTATTCGTTTCAGGATTCTGTTCAAGTGAAACTTGATGAATTGAGAAAGTTTTAGTAAATTTACATAGATTATTTGCCTCATCATCAACTTGTGCAGCAAGACAATAGCCAATTGCTTCAAAATCGTTTAGAAATACCAATGAATTAGGATTAAGTTTAAGATCATTCTCAATAGTATCTGCATGTTGTTGAGGCCAACCGACACCACCAGGTTCCATACGTACATTATTTGCATCGTTACTTCGACGATTGTTCCAAATAGGACCACATACAGCTAAAACTATTCGAATACTAGATAAACAAAAAAAAGCTAGTGAACGATTTTTCTTCTCTTAATCATTTACTCTTACTTCTTCGTTTTTACAGCATTAAGGACATCCTCCAATTGTTGTTCATTTTCAGTATCATCTAAAAAACGTTGTAATATAGCATTGAGACCTGTAAATGTATTGGTTCGATAAGTATGTCGAGTTACATTGACAATGGATGGTATTAAGACCTGTTGGTTACGACTATACCATAGTAGCTGTAACCTTGCATTAGTACCACCTATATCACCAACAATAACTGCACAGGATTTCGACATATGAACGAATAACAATTCCACTATTGAATATCAACTAAAAACTCTTTATTATTGTTGGCCGTTCTTATCTTATTTTTCTCTCTTATCGTTAGAAAGATAAATCTGGCGTAGAAAGGTTTTCTTTTTTTTCCTTTTCTTTTTACATTTGATTCGTTAGCGTACTTCATGCTGTAGAGAAACGTTTTCGCTTCCTAATGTTAAAAATCAAATAAAGATTAAAATTAAATCTTACTATATATAATTGGAAGTGATATCAATTTCAATGGCTTGAAAGTCAAAACTTTAATAGAATTAAAATCTGCAATGATTTAAAAGCAACATCTGCGGTTTCTTTTCTTTTCATGTCACACCACAACTATTTATCTTTTTATTGAAGTGTATGAGTCATTTTTTTTCTTTTATTTTCTGCCAGTAATATTTGATATTATGTTATTACTCAATCACAATTGTGCACACATTTAAGTAGTAATTCTCCATGAATGATCGATAGTGAATGGCATGCTTTATGATCGTTACATCGTAGAGTGAGGGACGGCGTCTATTGTTACAATAGCAGTCAATACTCGCGCAATGACAGTATAGGACGGTTGCCGCATAGTATCCGCTAAGGAGTGTTTAATAGCTCACCCACCGAGTGGAGTATTTCGTACTGAGCCGTGTACTTTAAAACCGATCTACGCAATCCATTCATTTTTATCTCATTTTCGACAAATTATAGTGAAAATTTCTTGAACTAGCATTTATATTTCAAATTTTAATTCAATTTTATTCATGAATGCTTATAAATCTTCTATTCGACGGATTCATCGTAAGAAATATATTTTTCTTGTTTTCTACATACATTTTGTATGTTTACAATATGTAGAATATTTATGAAAAATGCCACTCAGATATATTTGTCTCATTTCATTTACTTATATAACCCATAGTTCATTGTATTGATATTACAGAAATCGATTTCTATCGAGAAATTTACGTAATATATTTGATAAATATCATCACAGTATAGTAAGCGGTGAGCACGAAACATTTTCTTACAGAACAACTACATGCAATTTATTATTATTATTCTTTGATAAAGGTAATATATTATTTAGATAAACAAAGACAATGTGCATTTAATTCCAAGGTAAAGGGTAAAGCATATATTATAATTTTGAGACTACTTTTTTTCGCCCCAACTCCATCGTGGTGGTAATGAGTCTTCGTATTCTGCTGTATATTGATTTTCTTCAATAAATTTTTCTAAATTGTTGGGTTTCGGATAAAATGCAGCTAACTTTTGTTCATACGAATATTCTGCTACTGCCGCAGCAATCTTTCTTGATACAAAGCGGATTTTTTCAAGTGGTGGATAAACCAGACCTGATGCAAGATCTTCCTCTTTCACTTGTTCCGAAAGTGTTTTAGCTGCTATATAAAATATTTCATCTGGTACATGTCGAATACCACATGATACAATAGCAAGACCAACACCAGGAAATATGTATGAATTATTTCCTTGACCAGGTATATATTTTTTACCATTGTAAACGTAATCAGGAAATGGTGAACCAGATGCAAAAACACATCGACCTTGGGTTGCTTCATATGCTTCACTTGCCGTACATTCAGCTTTCGATGTTGGATTTGAAAGAGCAAATATAACCGGACGTTCATTAACTGCTGCCATATTTTCCAGGATTTCACGTGTAAATGCTGGGCCCTGACCGGCAGCACCTACAACAAGTAAATGAATCAAAATAAAGATTGATTTAAACTTATCATACATACCAATAAGAAATGATGGTTTAATAGTTTGAATAATATCCGCTAATTTATTGATTGGTGCATGTTCATGTGCATATCGACTTTTTTCGTCATTTAATCCTCCACTTGGACGATTCTTAATGTTGAACCAATTTTTACGTAATTATGCATATATAAAATAATATTCAAAGGTTACCTTAACAACAAGTCCTTTAGAATCAACTAAGAAGATCTTTTTTCGAGCTTCTTCAGTCGATATTCCTTCATGTTCCATTGCTAAAACAAGTAAATCCGACATACCAATCGATGCCTATGTTTTTAGAAAAAAAGATTAGAAATTGAGATATTATTTAATTAAATGTTCAGACTAACTTCACCAGCACCATAAAATACAAATTTATTATCCGATAATTTTTTTCCAGTAATGCGACGTGAACTAAGAATTCCAGCAACAGCAACACTGGCTGTACCCTGAATATCATCATTGAATGTGCAATACAGATGACGATATTTTTTAAGTAATCGAAATGCGTTATGATTCTAAAATTTTACATTACATTAAATTATTTTCTTTTATTGACTAATTAACTTACAGCAAAATCTTCAAATTGAACTAAACATTGTTGACCAAATCTAAATAGATAAATTCAGTATATAATGAAAATAAATTCTCTAAGTATTTATTTTACCGTTTTATAACTGCTTGCATAAATTCGTCAATGAAATCATCATACTCTTTTCCTGTAACACGATTCTGTCGTAAACCCAAATAATATTTATCATTAAGCAGAGTCTTTACAAAGCAAAAAAAATGGAAAGGAAAGTTTCAAAGACAAAAGAAAATGAAAAAATATTTTCTTTACTTTATTATTTGTTCCGACATCAAGTGTTATTGGTAAACAATAATCAGGTGAAACACCAGCTAGTGCTGTATATAAACTTAATTTACCAACAGGTATACCCATACCATTACAACCTAAATCACCTAAACCTAATATTCGTTCACCATCAGTAACAACAATGGCCTAAAAAAAACAAATAATATTTTTGTTTTTTAAAAGCAAATAATATGAAAACTTACTCGAACATCATGCAGAGGCCAATTCGCTAACATGTCGAAAATATGATTTTTGTCATTGATGGATATAAATAAGCCTCTATGTAAATGAAAGCAGAAAAGAAAAAAGAAGTCAGTTAGATAGAAGTTTGCGTAATAAATTTACTTTGGTTTTGAATAAATCAAACCATATTTTTGACAAGCTAAACCAACAGTTGGCGTATAAACAAGTGGCATAATTTCTTGTGTATGCTGCATTGCTACACGATAGAATAATTTTTCATTACGATCTTGTAAAGAACTTAATGCTATGTATCGTGATAAATCCTCAGGCATGTTACGTAAATTTTCCATGAATCGTTCAACTTGAAGTTCAGATGTAGCTACTGTTGGTGGTAATAAACCATGAATACGATGTATTTGTCGTTCCTCAATTGTAAATGCTGTACCCTAAATTAATTTAAGATTTATTATTATTTTAATAGCTTTTTAAGATTACTTTATTGGCACGTCGATCAAGTAAAACATCGTAACCAGTAATAAAACGTTGACCAGCCATGAAATATTCACTATGCTTATTATGACTAACAAGAAGTGTTCGCTGTTCTAAAATAATAATATCTTTAATATTAAATTGTAGCAAAACAGTAGAAAATACAAAGTTCATGATGACTAATAGTAATTTACTAAAGAATCGATGTCATTCATAAGGACAAAAAATGTCCTTTATGAACTATGAAAATAGAAGAATAGAAAAGAGAATCACTTCTATGTTGACTCATTCAATGTTAACAATTATATGTTTTGTCTGAACAGTGGTGGACGATACTTTCTTATGGTATTCATCCGTATCAATAGAAAACATTGTCAACATATGAATTTGTAGTGCGGCACACTATTCACGCAAAACAGAATATATAGATGGGCAACGTATCTAAATATGATGCACGAGCAAGAAAGGTATATTATGGACGAAACAGAAAAGATGACGTAAAACCAGCGTTCTTCTTCATTTATACCGTGCGAATATTTATAGACCTGATGGAAAAGAAAGAAAAATAAAAGTTGTGTGAAACCACTTAGTTTTATTTCTTTGCAAGTAAAGCTTTAATTTTTATTTAAACATCTATTGTATCACTTTCGTTGATCGTAAATGTGGCAATTGAAAAGAAAATCTGAGAAATCAAGAAGTTATTTGTTTCTAGTTTACTTGCTATTAAGCAATAGTTATTTTTGAAAATATTCTTTTTTCCAAAACTAATGTTTAATCTCTATGTTATAATCCACATTACAGTTACTTTAAAGTCAACTGAATGAGTCATCCTATATGCTCACTGGCTGAGAACTGTAGTAAGAAAAAAATAAAATAATAATAGAATTTTTTCAATAGACGAAACCGACGCGTCTTATTTTTCGTGTCCAAAAATGCGCTGAACGTAAAAATAAGAACTCGATGGAGGAATCGACTCAAATTTTTATCTTCTCTCGGGACGCTAAATTGATATATATATATTTTCTATCTGAAGGGCACACATGCTAAATCTCATACTGCATGAAGAAACATTCACTATTGTTTTTTTTTTAAATTGATCTAATTTTGATAGTTCTATTTTTCTCTAAATGTTATGTCATCGAGAGAAATCGCAAGCAGACACATATGAAACCATGACCAAACACTAATGAAGCGCAGAAAGTCGAAAAAAAACTGAATATGAATTTTCAATCTTATCTACTAGTGTTAACTATGATGCGATAAAACTTATGGAAGTGAAAAAAAATTGGCACTAAAATTTATTACTTGGGTGGGTTGACGAGACCAATGTTCGTCCTGTAGTTGAGTATGGAGTCAAAGCAGTTGAAAATTGAGCCAAAGGAAACGCTGCAAGTGGGTGAATCTGATTGAGCCGTAAACCCGTTTTGACCAACATCATGTGAATCTGAGCTGATCTATTACCTTAATAAGAAAGATACAAAAGCAGGCAGTTATTATTCATTCATTTTTGTACTGGAATAAAACACCCTTCACACAATAGAAATAATACACAAAAGTGCTTTGTTTCCTTCTTTTTGTTTCTTCACTGTATGGAAGACATAGACTTTGATCGGTAAACAAATGCTGACAAATAATGTGCACGTTAAAGTAGTTTTTCAGTGCGGTATAAGGCTGAGAAATAAATAATGACATTTATTTATAAATATAACTCTAATATGTCTCACATGGGTACGTCTTTCAATAAGAAAAACATAATATATACGTTCGTAAAAGTAACCTTCGAATAATTTGAATCATGTATTGAATGTATGATCGACATCAGTATTTTCGTATTTTACCTGATAGTAGGAGAATGGTTAAAAGTAAACAGAACGAAACAACATTAGTTTGTGCAAATCTGAGTCATTGATAGTGCAAAAAAAATATATATGTCAAACAGTGCATTAGAGTTGTATCAGTTTATATAAATCAGTATGACAATGTATGGATGTCAGCCCGTTAAAATCTTTATCATATTCTCATAGGAGCTCGATAACGATAAGGTGCATATGTTGTATTTTTGTGTAACGATTGACATAAATATCTTTTCCGAAAAAACCGGATGCTAGGCATGACAAAGCGTGCGTGAACATACATCAAAAGACTGAAATAGTAAAGAAAAAAAGAAGTAGATCTAGGAATTACGCATAAGAACATAAGAATCTCTGTCTATATACAGAAATCGGCATGATATATTTTTCTATACAAACAAGCTTCCTTTCTACGCAGTTATCTATTGACAAATGGAGATATGCCTAAGTCGAAGTCCAAATGTAGTAGACTTTTATTGGTAAATTGCATCGTCATTTATGCACTTCCGTATAATTTGATAAAACTTATATGCATACTTAAACTAACACCTTAACAAATTCTAAATTAAGTTTATGATCGAATAACATACTGCTTATTATTGTCAACGGTGTGAAAATCTGATTTTAAATTGAAACATAAAAATTTTAGAGCCCTCTATAATTTTTTCTCTAATATTAATTCACATGTACAAGAAAATGCTCATACTGAAAGTTTTGTCAATAATAACATCATCATTAAAAGGTTACTTCTCAGTCCTAGATTATAATTTTATAAAAGTCGTTTGTATTTAATCGAGTTGATAGAATTAACTGTAGATGTCACTGAATATATGTGCATTTACCATTAATATTGTGTAAAAAAAGAAACAAACAAGATGGATGAAATAGGAAAAGATAAATGGCTAATACTCAACCAAGAGCTTTAACTGCAATTATATTTGTTTTCTCTATAATCTTTCAAGTTCAATTAGATAAAGATTGATTTCTAAACTTGACTGAAAATATAATAAAAATAATAATATTGTTTGAAAATGGCTCAAGATTATTATAGTTGCACAGTATACAGATAAAGCCACAAACATCTCAACATGATGATTCTAGTGATCTGATAAATATCTTTAGTATACAAACGATTGTTTAGTGTTTTCCTTCTCAGTTATTTACTAATCTTTTCAGCAATTTTATATCTTTTATCAATTTGACTGATATAATTGAATGTTTCAAGTATTGCTAATTGTTACAATCTATCTATTAGTAGATCAACTGATGTATACATAAAGACTTAAGGTGAAGATATATAATAATCAATAGTAATCGAACAGAAAGCATATTACAAAAACTCTATTGTATTCAATCTGTTTAATTACTAGACAGTGGTTCTTTTATAAACACAAAATAAATAAACATGCTTAGAATATTTTTATTACCATTTCAGTAACAACTGATATTATAATTAAATATCAGACATATTCGATTTCTTTAAATTGTAAACTTGCCGAAAATTAGTAGCTTGATACAAATTCGAATCACCATCAATAATAAACTTCAACATGATAGATGCCAAAATATCAGTTTTATTATTTCTAATTAAATTTTCAAAGCAGTATTGTTAACAACAAATAATTGAAATTTATACCATGTGAATTTATTAGAAAAACACGATTTGTTCTTGGTTTCAAGTATGAAATAAAATAATTTGAGGAGTCTCATCGATTGCATTTGGCATATTGCTCGATATTCTCATGATAATATTGTTTGATAAAAATCAGTAGCACATTAATTGTTAATCAAATAATCAGATATTTAATATTTTGATAATTGAACATGTAAATACATTTCAGTATAAAAATCTTGAATATGTTTCATATTCATAGTTGATAAAATTTAATGCATGTTAACCAGATACTCTATGAAGATAATATCAATTCTAGCGAGGGTAGGTCACCGAGTGTTCAATCGCTTTTAAGTCAGAACGATGTGTGTCATGTAGACCCCAGTGAGGTATGATAAACTCCAAAAGGATAAGAACGGATAGACCTTCTGTCCAGAGTTATAGTCATTTTACTGAAATTTTAGCCTCTGACATAGTATATATCAACAAATCGAATATCAGTATTTTGACCTGAAATTTTGCCCATCGACAGGTCTCTTTGTGAGTAGAACACTCTGAAATTTTCAGCTCAAAAGAATGTTTCATTTCCGAGATATTAAAGTTCCAAAAAGCACTCATATTTCACGACAGACACTAAAATGTTCTGATTTTTGAGACTTTCATATTTCGGAAACGAAACATTCTTTTGAGCTGAAAATTTCAGAGTGTTCTACTCACAAAGAGACCTGTCGATGGGCAAAATTTCAGGTCAAAATACTGATATTCGATTTGTTGATATATACTATAACAGCGGCTAAAATTTCAGTAAAATGGCTATAACTCTGGACAGAAGGCCTATCCGCTCTTATCCTTTTGGAGTTTATCATACCTCACTGGAGTCTACATGACGCACATCGTTCTGACTTAAAAGCAATTGAACACTTGGTGACCTTCCCTCGTAAGGTTAAGTTGTAGTTAGCTAGAATTTACGATAAGATAAGAACTTCAACAGATAAAACTACTGAATATAGTTTATTGATTTAATGACGCAAACTTATCATTTAGGATCGATATAATATAATTCGAAGTATTACATATAAAAGCTTGCTCAGCCACGACATCAATTCAAGTCAATACATTAATCATTATTTCAATCTACCTATGATTGACCGGAATTAATGAATAATCCATAATCAATTAATTCTTGTGAAAGATTTTTTGATCTCATATTGATACTGCAAAATAAGAGAAAACGAATAACTGCGTAAACATTTTGGAATATTGAACTTAATAAAATCATAACAATGATATAATTTAAAGAGAATAATTACGACTCGATCAACATTAATAGAACAGAAGTTTTCAGTTATTGTACGTAGATGGTAAATTCAGATATCGAAAATCGTTTATATAATTGTTTCATATCTCGAAACTGATTTATCTTCATTAAATAAATAAAGGAATATCCAAATGAATAAATTATATGTTGCCTAAATCTAACTGATTTCACAATTTTGGAGAAAATAATAAAAGGTTTACTACATATTTTATTCTTAATTGCAGTTTGGCAAAAAGAAGTATACATATTAATGATTACTCTTCCTTTTATTTTTCTCATTATAATAAACTCGATGAAACGTAATTTTATTTTGCACTCAAAGATCAAAAGTGTCTCGTATAAATATTATTTTACGATTTTTTATAAAAAAATATCAAAACACTACATACCATTCATCTTCATTATCGTCGCCATCACCAATTATTTGATTATAGATCATTTTTGTTTTAAAATATTCATCAAGTGCAGCAAATGTACAAATTGATGAAGCTAAAAGAGAATGAACATCAAGTTCTATCACAACTATTGAATCGATTTCTTGATATCTACAATAATCATAACGAGTATAATCTGAGCATGTTCATCAGCATTCTTGAATCAAGTCAATACGAGAAAGAGCATAGCATGTGAATTTTTGCGAATAGAAATGAAGCAATGTCATCAATCTTTTCGAAAGATAAATTTATGACGAATAAAAAATAATCTCTTGATAGTTAAATAATGAAAACTATAAACGAGAGAAACTGAAGAATGACGTTAAATATTAATGTTTATATGAATCTCAAATGCATGTAATATCTAAAATAAGGATGTGATGAAAAAAACTAGGAATAGATCAAAGTAATATTAATTACTATACAGATTTTTCAATGTCTCATGGTAAATGGGTGATACGATGACAAGAGAATAACAAAACGGCAATAAATGATTGAAAAAAAAAGCTTTAACCATTGAGACATTTCAAATGTTGACATAATAATTCGATTACTGATTTTCAATAAAAAGATAGGTTCTATTCTTGTAGAAGAAACAACAAACACATAGACTCTTTCTACATATTAACTAGTCTTATATTTCTAGGACACCAACTGGTTAAAGTATTCCTATAGCGTTTGCCACATTCTTGCTAATATTTATCATGAAAATTTCGAGTAATATAAAATTATTATGACATCAATATTTTTCTTTATTAACATACATGAATCTCATAGTATTGTTAATCTGCGTCCTTCTTCAGCGGAAATTGTCATTTCTAACGATGAGATCAATCAAGATTAATATGAATGCCGTGTGTAAGTAACAAAAATAGGATATACGTATATGTAATCGAGTTTTGTTCATTGAGTAGGTACGAATCATACCTGACTAAAATGCTTTTGTTAAAAACTTTTATTGAGCAATTTTATTCAATGAGCTAGACTCCTTTTCAAGAATAAAATGATATTGATAATTGAATTAAACTGAATGGTTATTGATAAAAAACATTTCAGAATTCTTTCATTTTTACCATCAATAATATAAATAAATAAATGCGGAAACATCGGATTTGCATCCGATTGTTATGTGTACTTCAAAAAGCAAAAATGTACATCCATTTTTTTCTGTTCCTATTTCGTCGTAAATGTTTTATATCATGCACAGCAAAACTAGAAAGAGGAACGAATACACTATTGAAGATACAACTCATAAAGACTGTTCCGAAGTGACGGGTTCTATTTACTTTGAAAAAATTGGTATTACTCATATGAAAAATAAACAAATATCACACCGGCACATTATCAAGATATATGAGTTTTTCGACACTGATACAGAGGAATCTTGTGAGCAACTTGTTTACCCTTATAATTTAGCATCATCTTGCAGCCCATGAAATCCCCAATCTAATGGTATATGACAGTTGAAGAATTATTTTGATTATGATAAATCTGCTCGTTTGAGAAACAAATTATAATAAAATAGAATAGGTCACTATTCACATAGAAAAGTAGGATATTTTTTGCGTAACTCATCAAATTCTTGATGGACTGCGTTCATCTTCGAACTCGACTGAGATATTGATGAGATCATTCTGTGTACAAAATTTCATGACAATTGGATGAGGCTTTCAAAAGTTATTATGCTAATGGCCGGACGGCCGGACAGACACACTGACCGAATCCAGTGTACTCACTTTTTTTGAGTACACAACAACTGAGTCGATTTATATATGTTGTGAATAATTCTAAAAAAAAAAGTTTTTTTTTGAAAAAATCCCCTGTACCCCCCCTCAGGGATGGTCTAGTCAATAATGACAATTTTTTCGATAACTCAGCCATTTCTTCACAGATTGCTTTCATCTTCGAACTCGACTGAGATATTGATGAGATCATTCTGTGTACAAAATTTCATAACAATTGGATGAGGCTTTCAAAAGTTATCGTGTTAACGGACGGCCGGACACACTGACCGAATCTAGAGTGTACTCATTTTTTTGGAGTACACAAAAAGTAAGTCGTATCGTCATTAATATAATTAGTTGGTATAGGTCATTTATTTCAGCAATACGTTTCAATGATATTGAACACTTGAGATTTTCAAAATGATAGAAATATACATAATTGGATCTAGAATAAGAAACAGCGTGCGAGACATTGCTAATAGCGAATATTGTACACTACAGAGAACAATATTCTATCAAATAGTCATATTGCGTTGTCTTCATTTTAAATATGAAAAGGGTAGAGCGAAGTTGTTCGACAACAGTTTTCATTAGTCGATAGAAAATTCAACATTTATCAACTCTATTTTACTTGGTAAGGTAATGATGAAATCTCACATATTTACATCCAATAAAATGAATATAGTAATTATTTAGGAATCGAAACAATTTTTTAATCGGCGTTTTCATGTGAAATAAAAACAGCTGCAAGACGAACGAAATAGTTACTATTATTCGATTAAAATTTGTTTAATTACAGACAATTATGAGCTTTTCTCAATGCCATTTTTATCAGCTTATCTATATGAAGATAGAGAAGATTTATAAAAAATATTGATAATCGATGCCTATGTCTATTCTATTCAAAAAGTTATATTGCTCTGAATACATTGATTTACACAACAGTACTCTTGTTTTTCTTTATTGGTATTGCAGAACAGTACGAATTTGAACGAAATTGCTGGTGTTTACCAATGCACTATTCTGACGATCGATGCTTTCCACTAATAAATATTAATAATATTGGTATGTGAGTCAAATTATAGTGAGGGATTTTCATGCACGATAAGAATCTTTGTTATGTTAGAACAGTGAATAAACAAAGTCTCAATCTATGTACGACTAGACTAATATTCTGGCATAAGAAAATCTGACATTTACGTTAGTATTGTATTTTATTTGAAACAAACAAAATTTATTATATGAAAATAAATATTTTCATGCAACACGATGAAATCGAAAACGATAACTTAGTGAAGTATCGTTGCTACACAGTGACGAAATAATACGTTTTCCTGATACTTGTAATCGTTTAGCACTTAAATCACAAGGTCGAATATAAAATTGATTTTCATCATCAGTTTTTTCAAAAGTAAACGTTGAACATGAACGTAATGATTCTTTTCTATGTGTTGAAAGAATAGATGAAGATATCCAACGCTCTTCATCTTCATAAGGTATTGAAACTGTTAAAGGGCATTGTGTTTGTTCATGATTTAATTTATATTCGAGTGAACATTGATCATTATCAATTTGTTTTATAAAAAATATGCATTCACGATGACGTTTCATGGGCATTATACATAAATCATCTTTACTATCTGTTAACCATTCACCAGTTAATATAGATTCAATCATGTATAAACCATTCGAAAGATAATCACTTTCAGAATATCGTTTTAATAAAATAAGATCATTCATGGACGATAAATGCAATCTAAGCGATGACCCTATTGGAATCCTATGAAATTTTCCATTTGCAGATTTATCAAGTAAACGAAGACTAATTTGTTCGCCGACAATTTCATCGTTAAACATAAAAGTTAAGGATATAAGTTGATCATGAATTAAATAAGCTGCATAGCGACGAATATCTTCTTTTTCAGAACAACAATAGATAGTCAGTTTGTCTAAATTAGGACAATAAATTTGTACAAACTTAATATAAGTCCAAAAACAATGTGGATAACCAATTGATAAATAACGGAGATTCATTCCAATTAAGGGTAAACCAGTTGATAAACAGTATTGAAAAATAATATGACTATTTATTTTTGTTAAATCAAATTGTTTTACAATAAAATATTTTACAATTAATGTGAAATTATTATTCAATTCTAAGAATGAATAAACAATGTCATGTTTATGAAGATATTTAAATATAAGATAAATTATTTCGGGTGGTAAATTATACAAAAACATTAATGAGTTAATAATTGCACGGATATAACCGAGAACATAAAAAATTTTAAATGAATTTTTTGTAAGTTGATACCGCTTGAGAAAAGAAACGAAGAAAAGTAAATAGAATTCTACTAGGAGTACTGATAACTTTCATGTGACGTGGATATTTATTCTTATTTAAGTCCAAAATAAGAAATAAATACATCTCTATACAAAGACCTTGAAGTTCAATGTCAAATTTCAGCATTTGAAAAAAGTTATTTTCGATCAATTAATAAAAATACGTTGCTTTCTCTAAATATTTTATGCGTTTTTCTGAGTGAGTATAACCTTTGTTGAGTAAAAACACCCAATTACAACATTTCATGCCATATGGCGAGTAAATATAATAAAAATCCGGACCAAAACATTTGTCGAAATATTTTTATTTTAATAGTGTTTTCTACGATAAAAATAAATGACAGTTAGAGAAGAAAAAACATGGCCCCATAATACGTTTTCTAGGAACCGGGAAATTACCAATGTCTCTCGGATTATTGCATGAATTCTTTTTGCAATTATATATTATTATTATTTGTTTTGAGATATGAGCAATAAAATATTCAGTATCAAGATGGGTCTACTAGAGAGCCCATCACATTAGACAGTGCGATTATTGCTTGAATTTAAAATTTTAACATTTTCAGGACATTTTATTCCAAGCTATTTCATCTAAATGTTTACAACTAAAAGAAAAGAGTTTTTCTTTTGAAATGGTACTGATTGAAAATAATTTTAATTCCTGGAAAACTGACAAATAAATATTCTTCACATATCTTCAATGTAGGATTTCGTTTATTTCTTTCGGAAATCATCGAAAACAGGAATCTAAACAATATATAGACTATTCATGAACGGCGATATCAAAACATACTTAATTTGACTGCAACGATTGAAAGAATTTGTAGGCTATTTATTTCCTGTCTGTACAATAAACATATGATAATATCGGCAGGGTTTATTACAATATAGATAAATATCGTAATGTAGAGCTTTGACGATGTGACTGCAATTGAATCTACTAAGGTTTCGACATTATAATGAATTTAACAAGTTCCGTTAGTCGTATGAATAGAACTTAACATACGAAAATCTTAGATTATAATAATACAGGGATTCAGATTGTCTTATACGTTGAAAATGTACTCCTTTACTCTGCAGCATACTGTTTGAAATCTTATAGCTGAGCAACAGAATTAATATTCGCAGAATATTTTTCTAGATATTTACGCTAATATCATAACCTTACAGCACAACAATAATTAGGTAAAATTATTCTACAAATTAGTACACTCTCTAAACAATTAACACAAGGAAGATATTTTATGTGATTTCTGGTATTGATGATGTATTGACATAAAATGAATAAATACGGTCGACATGCATACTCAACAGCAACAACTAAAAATAACCGACTATTCAGATACTTATCAGTGCTTCAATTTCTTAGTGAATTACATAATATTATCACAGTAAAATTTACCAGCGCTAAAGATTACCTTAGTTAAAATTTCAAACTTCTTTGAATCCTTAAACTAAGAAAAATCTCATGCAAATTGAAGCTCAGGATTCGTTGGAGTTTTAAACGTCAAACTCACATAAATTCGTAGGCCTAGATAAAAGTAGTTAGTTGATGGTGTCAAATCAAGTATACGCTTAGAGTTTTGCACTATTAGAATAGCAAACTTTTGTAATCTCTATCGAATGCATGATTCTAGAATAAGAAAATATCGGTTGTTCACGGAAATTAACAGTGACCAACATGAACCTACAGTATCATGTGTTTATTGCATAGTCCGGCTATAAATGAGTCGCAAATTCTTTCAATGGCATTTCAAAAGAAAAAATTCTTTTTAATTGAAACCATTTAAACGAAATAGCTGTAAATAAAATGTTATTTAAATGTTAAAACTTAAAATTCAACCATTGATAAAATAACTGTAGTGCAATCAACTCTCGGCCGAGAGACTCGTTATTCGGATAACCTATTAGAACGCCATCTCAATGTTTATCATATGAATTCCTCATAGCAGAACTATCCTTCATAGTTTCTCTGGTTTTTGAACTGATTTCTTGTATTTCTCAACATTTGATTACACTTGTCAATTCACATGATATACTTTCATGTGATTTTAAAATTGTGTACGAGATGAAGAAAAATGATATTTTATTGCCTAAGAATATCAATAAGGTAAATTCAAGAAACAGCAATATAATACGAAACTACCACTGAAATTTTGAATATCCATAGCCTGATGACATACTATGTGGATTAAAGATTTACCATAAGTATTCATAAAAGGAAAATCAGCTGATTTTTTTCTTATTCTTTCTCATTTTCACATGTACATGCAATCAAAGTTTTTCTATGGTATACTCATATACAAATTGCTCTATGCATAAAAAAATTAAGTTTTTTTCTTCATGTTCGTTTCTTGGTCTTCTTAAGCATCAAAGTAAAATAAATGTTATCTTTATTACCCTCTATAGATAGAAACGATGTGTATCAACCACATTATTGACTTATATATATATTTATACGTGGCTTTGTGTTTCTTTTTTGATAATCTGCAAATTCTTTTTTTATCATAAACTTAATGTAATGATCTTTATAGGCTTTTCTATTTGCATAATCTTGAACCCTAGATAAATTTATTCGATAAAGAAGTATATAAAGATGTGAATATCTGATTTTTGTATTTGTCTGCTCGCTTCGTTGCACAATCCATACATACCAATATAATTCAAAACTCTTCAATGGCTACTAGTGGTATTCAAGCACTCAATGGTACTTGGGAGTACGTATGTATCAAGTCAATTGTATTGTTTTAAATTTAGTATGTTAATTTTTCTAAAAAATAGGTTGATGGTGAAAACTTTGATGAATATATGAAAGAAATTGGTGTTGGACTTACGACACGTTTGGCAGCTAGAAGTATCAAACCAAGTTTAATTATTAGTGAAAATGGTGGTAAATGGACTGTACGATCGGAAAGTTCAGTTAAGACAACATCCTATGACTTTACACCTGGTGTTGAATTCGCTGAAACTACAGCTGATGGACGCGACGTTAAAGTATAGTTTAAGCGATACATTACTACAGATTATTGTTTGTGTACTTTTTTAATAGTCAACCATCAAATTCGAAGGTCAAAAATGGGTTCATACAACCATTGATAAAAATGGAAAAAAATCAGTAGTTATACGCTATGTTGATGATAAAGGCCAACAAATGATTGTAAGTCATATTGCAGACTTTCTCTTGTCCTATTTTTAGTGAATAATATCTTTCACGATAGGATATGGAATGTGGTTCAGTAAAAGCTCGTCGTTGGTATAAACGTGCTTAATAAAACGTTTTACAAGCAAATCAAGACGTCTGTTATTAAACATCGGTTTTGCTCATAAATGAACTCTATAGTTTTGTCCTAATCATCAAAAGAAACGTTAAATATGCTGAATAGATAGTTTTTTCGTATTTTGAAATCATTATTATGAGATAATAAACTATGAAATCAAGAACTAAGCTATGTATATTTTTCATAGATGAATGATGATGTGGGTGTTTTAAGAAAAATACGAAAAATTCTTTCGATACTAGTATCAATATTTTGATTATCGAATAACCAAATAAAGTATCTCTACATGTTTTACAGGATATAGACATCCTACGAATTCGTATTTATACCATATTATGCAATAAAACAACTCTGAGGAATAGAAAAAAAATATTTAACACAACAATCAAATTAACGAAATAGGATGATTGTATGTAACAGGTTTTCTTCTGTATTCAATATGAGTTTTATTTTAGTTTATGTTTTGCTTTATGTAATACGATAAATGAGCTTACTTAATCTATGCAACATGAAAACTTACAGCAAATGTTTCTTAATATCTTAAAATATAATTCTCCTTTGATTAAGAATAAAGTAGAGATTAAAAATACTAAATGTTCTTCACACAAATGAAGGAATTCATTTCATTGCTTCATTCGTTTACTTTTGACAGTGTACTAACATCACTTCTATTGATGACATCGGTTAAACGTGACAGAATAGAACCGTAACAATACGGGTGAAGCATCGATTTGTTTTGCAAACATCGACCAATATTCGTGTAGTCTACTCTGCAGTAAATGTGACAAATCGATGAAATAAAACTGTAAAGTTATACGAATTTTACAAGCTCTTTGATTTTGAAGAATTGTTTGTTGATAAATCCTTTTAATCTGATACTTGATCAGTTTTATGGATAAATTCTACCAATAATACATCATAATAATGTTAAATGGCTTAAGGTTAAATCTTGATTTATAAAGAATATTCTTCGCACTACCTATTAACATATTTTCTATGATTTGGTTTAAATAATCTTAAAAATAGATAGACCTATTTATATCCTATGTTATAATATTTCACTAAGCTCATCATTAATTTTAAAACGAACGAGTCTTATATGAAGAATTAAAATTTCTCATGTCATCAAATATTTAACATGGTCGTTAATCGCGGATCTTAGTTTTCAGAAGAAAAATAAAAACTCAAGAATAATAAATATGTTCTATCTGTTTATTACTCTCAGTTAAACTCTTTTTCAATCCATGAATGTAGTCTACTATTTCATTAACCATTTTTTTCTTAAAAAAATTGGCACTGGTTTGAAATCGAATGAAAGCTCGTACATCATACTACTATTTTGTACATTGATAAAAGGTTTTTAGTTATTTGAATAGAATAAATTCGTTGGCGAAAGGTTTATCATGACACGTTTAAAACACACTCAAGAAAAAATATACACTTATTCTACAGTTTATTGTGTTCTTAGAATAATAAGAACTCATGAACAAGGAAACCTTACAAGATTATATGAGTTTCCAACGGGTGACAAATCCCTGTCAAAGTTTATAAAAGAAAGCAGGGTTAATGACAGGGTATAGTACAGTAATAAACTTAAAAAAGGTTTATCCAATAGCAATAAACGACGAGTGAAGGTTTATTGTTTTCTATTTGCTTTTTACAATATTCTCCTCATCAGCAATGACACTCGCATGAATATTCTTCAATAAATTATATTCTAATATTTTCTTTCGGTGAGCGTTTTAATCGATAATCTTGCTTGTCATATACCTATTGTGATGTCTTTTTGCCGTAGTTCTACTATTTGTTTAGAATAAGCAAAAATAAAAACAAACAGTTCAAAAACAATTAGTTTTTTGTAAGAAAATTCAATGTTTACTTAGCCCTTTCCGGCCCGGTGTTGCCATATGACAACATTTTCCCCTAGGGGGGTACGGCAATTTTCAAACAGCGGGCCGGAAAGGGTTAGAATCGTATCTCAAATTATACTTACTTGGTACTATATTAAATAGTGAACGCTGGTTTCTATTTTCAAAAATGAAAAAATGACGAGAAATAGCAAAAACAAAAGGCCTGTTTGCACAATCCTCCTCAAATGTAATTATGCAACAGCAGCTTTATTCATACAAGCATATGTGCTTATCAGTAGGAGCTGTTAAGTTCTTTAGATATTTATATACTGTACGTCTAGTTTTCCTTGATCAGTTCAATGAAAGAATATAGAATGACCTTAATCTTTTTACGTTTATGTTGTGAATGATTTGTATGTGAAGAAAGTAGTAAAGTTTTTATCGAGCGGTGCCATGTCAATCGTAGTAAGTTCGTATGATAGACTAAATTTAACGTTTTAATATGATTAACAATAGAGCTAGTTTATATTAAGAGTTTATACTAAGTCTGCATCTTTTTAAATGTAAAACAAAACTATAGTTTCAACGAGTATAAGCCGTATAGAATTGTATCCTACCATTTCCTATGATAAAGCATGCTTTTTTTTTCATTTTCAGAGATCCAATGTTGAAGAAAGAGTATGTCTAAAATAACAGAATCCCTTGCTTTAAATAGAACAATAATTATGATGGTGTTTCATAAAGAATCGAGTCAAGTTTAGTTCCAACATATTCTTTAACAATGTAATTTGTCTTCAGTTAGCGTTTCTTTCGTCCATTCAATTGATTTATACGAGTGTACCTATCTGTAAGGAATACGTATAAAATCTGCTTCATGCCAACATCTGAAAAATTTCTTCCATTTGATTATGAATAATCTATTAAAGAAATAATTTTCACAAGCAGAAACCTTTTATTTTATAGCTACATTATATCGGAATTTTGTGGTCTTTTTTCAGCGAAATCATCTATTTTTGAATAAAAACTTGCTTTCTGGCTGTAAGTTTTGACAGAAAGCGGACGGTAAGTACATATATATATATATAAACACGTCAAATACAGCATACTTATTATTTTTTATATGACAAAAAAAGACAAGAGTTCGTTTTGTTTTTGTATAATAATTCTCTTATTTTGTGTTGTAAATAAGTCGAGCCGAGAAATCGTAGTGCATATTCGATAATATTTCTTAGTGACTATGTCTCACGTGTGACAGAAGAAACCATGATTTTATATTCTTTGCCGCGCTAGGTCGCCGCTTAACTATCCGTCAGTAATATTTTTTTTCTTGTTCCTTTTGTTCATAATAGCGACGACTATCTACGTTGAGTCTAAGACTATGTGAATATTCATAAATGTTTCTCGTCATTTTTTAGCCAATTACAAAAACGCAGCTGCCTTTTTTTTTTATCTAATTTACCATACTTTTTTTCCTCTGCAAGTACATTCATATTTTCATAAGCTTCATCCTTCGGAAATTATTTTCTAATATGACGTTAGAAAAACAATTGATAGATATTTGTTTAAGTTCTTTTTTTTTAAATAGATTGTTGCTGTTCATAACTAAATAAATATAGCTATGGCTAACACTACTATTGAAGCACTGAAAGGAAGCTGGGACCATGTATATATATGAGATTTGTTATTTTTCAGTATTTTAATCTACCTTATTTGTTTTTCTCATAAATCAGGTTGATGATGACAATTTTGACGAATTTATGAAAGAACTTGGTGTTGGATGGGCAATGCGTATGGCAGCCAAAGCAGTAAAACCTCATCTTATTATTAACGAAAATAATGGGAAATGGACTATAAAATCAGAGAGTACGTTCAAAACGGTTTCTTACGAGTTTACACCAGGTGTTGAGTTTGATGAAACAACACCTGATGGTCGTGACGTTAAAGTATGTATCAATTGATATTGTCCACGGGAATCCGATAGTTTGTATTGGTCTATTCCTTTTGTTTTAGACAACTATTACATTTGAAGGTAATAAATGGATAAGCACGACAATTGATAAAAATGGTAAAAGATCTATTGTTACACGATATGTCGACGATAATGGTCAACACATCATTGTAAATCATCTTTTTTATGTTTACTTGCTTCTAATACAAGATATGATTCTTTTGATGGTAGGAAATGGAATGTGGCTCAGTTAAAGCTCGGCGTTGGTATAAACGTGTTCAATAGATAAACACCATTATAGGTCTTCATATTACTTTGAACTATATTTTCTTGCTTAATGTTAGTTCTATTGGCTCATAAATTTTGTTCGTGTTAGTAAAGAAAAACAAAAAAAAATATATACGAGAAATTCTCAAATGTTCTATCAATCAACTTCTTTGTCTTTTGTATTACAATGTTGAATTTTCTAAAGTAAAAATAACCCACATACTTAGCTTGATGAATAATAAAAATAATTATACTAAATTTTGGACTGAAATTTCTGAAGCCTATGTTACATTGGAAAATACAATTTTAGAATAGACTTTCAAATGGATTTTTCAAAGACGCTTCTTTGATTGACTTTACAAAGCGGTCAATACTATCAATGGCAATAATTATCCGTTGTTTTAACTTGTTATAGTTGTTTCAAATAACATTTAAATAGTTTTCAAGATATATATTACCTGTTGTGATAGTTGGAATATAGAAATAATAGCCTTGATGCCAATATGAAATGAACAAACAATCCCATCTGCGACCAGTTCAATAAATCTCTTCATTGGAATTCTCTAACTATATAGTTCATTCTCGTCTAGAAATACTTATCGTATTTTCATGGATCTAAGTCAAAATGACAGCTTTTGGAAATATAAGTAGTATATCTTCAAACGATTACTTTTAAATTCTAAATGGGAATTATGATCACATTTTTTTCTCGTAAATTGTTCGCCAAGTAAAAATTTGTTCGACTTTAATATATGCATTATATAATGAACCCCGTACTGTATACAATACTAGAATATACTCTTTGATCAATGAATTGTTTTTGTAGAGATGTTTTATTTCACTGAACTTGTCCAAATTCTCGTCTCACGCGAACGTGATTTTGTGGTACATTTTACATGTTTAATTCGTATAGATGGCTTTGTATTCTATTTTCTTCAGTTTCATTTGAACTAAATTCATGGAGACTTTTATGACAGCGTATTTCAGACTCAGTTCATTTGTGCTCGTAAAAAATTTGTTCTTAATTATTATTCGGATGTCGTGATCAGAATACAAAAATTTGCTTTTATACATTTTCATAATAGGTTATTGATCTCATTTCACTAATTCTTTCCTTCTATTATGAAATCAAAGGACAAAATAATATTTATTTCCGTAGCTTCTTCATGACCTTACTTTTAGCTAATTACTTTTATGTAATGTTTGTATATTGTTATCAATAGCATCAGACTGATTTAGCATTTTCGTTGGGGTCATGAGATATAAAAAATTTTGATACCAAGAATTTTTCCATGTAAAATTTCGTTGGCAATTTCAAACGTGTGTTAGTGAATTTTGCATATCAGTATATTGCATATAATCTAAGTAGTACATCTGTCTGATGAAATATCAATTCCCAATAATGTATATAGAACGTTGTGTTAGATTTAGAATTGGATTCAAGGGGGAAACGGTGGACTTTTGGACTTGAAGTTACTTTGACCTACTTTAAGCTATTTCAAGTAATTTACTTTCACCTACTTTTCGACTTCACATTTACTTGAAGTTATCTGAAGTTACTTGTTCTAACTTGGTGCTACTTGAGTGATACTTTTAGCTACTTCAAGTAGTGTACTTTGACGTACTTTTGTACTTCAAGTCCACTGTTTCTCCTTTGATTGGATTTCATAGTATAATCTGATTTTGCCAAATTGTGTTTATTCAATTATATAGACAAAAAATAAAGAACTTTACATAGAAATAAATAATAGTAAATGTAGAAGTAACACTTTCTTCCTTAATTTCACGTGTCAGTTACAAAAATATGTATACAACATTCCTTACATCACACCATGCTTTGAAGCAACTCAAATACGTATTTTACATGGAAAATCATTGTTTTAATGATCGTACATGATTTCGTTGATATAATGAATATTAGATGGTAATGCTACATGTTGACTCTAATCACCATGGCCTTGATATAATACCTTCTTCATAGCTTCTCTTACATACAAGAAATGGTTTCAGTCGGATAATATTCTGCTGCTGTCTAATGTTGGGATTGGTATGATGGAAAAAGGAAGAAAGGAAAAATATCGAAAGGGAAAAATGTCGAAAATAAAAATATCGAAAACAAAATTAATACGAATGTAGATGGATAGAAATGCTGAAAACGAGAGTATTTTGAAGTACAAGTCTCCCTCAACCTCAATTCAATCTTGCATGGTCATTTTCACCTCATATTTTTGTTTTCGACATTTTTATTTTCGATATTTTTCCATCCATTCGTTGGATTTGAATGATTCTCAAAGTGCTGAATTTAGTGTTTTGGTCTTGAAAATCTTTCTATCAGAAATGGTCATTGAGTACATGGTTTCATTTATAAATACAAATTAGCAGAATAATGCAAATAATTTTCCAATGGAAATATCTATTACAACTGAATATTGAATCATAAACAATTAATATTTCTTCCTCTTTTTTATTTTGCTGTAATAGTATAAAGATTTTTAAATTACATATTGTTATTGAAACAATCAGCATAGAATTGAATTTACAATGAAGGAAAATATTGATAAACATCTTCGGGAACACGTGTGCAGTTTTCGACAATTAATCGATTCACTTTAGAACAATTACGTCGCAGCGCATCGATTGTAAAGTATCGTGTTGCAGCTATCAATGGGCCATATTTGAGTTTTAACTCAGTTAGGCAAGGTAGGCGTGCCTTTGTTTCGAGTAGAAATTGTGAAATATAATGGCCATATGCACACATAAGGCCAAACGATGTAAAATGAGAATATTCAATAATTGAATCAGATAAATTCTCATCAGGTTCCGTTATATGATCGTTCCATAACTGTTCAGTTTCATTCTTCAGACAGAAACGCTTGAGGATTGGAAAAGCTAGACTAATTTGCATGAAAAATTCATGTTCCAATGAAATAAAGTCGTTGACATGCAAGTGAGTTACAGTGATAAATACAATATTTGGAAATTTGCTTGATATCCGTTCTAGACGAGTAAATGTGAATGGAAGTGAATAAACATGACATATAGTTCTAAACGTGTGAAAGTAGTCTATGGCACAAGCCTTTTGTCCATATTTAAAGTTTGCAAATGTTTGTTGAATATTATCAGTTGATATAGGATGAGGTAAATGATAAATATTATTTTCTGTGCTTATATAAAAGGTGAATGTACGAAGTTGAGGCATATAAATAAGAATCTCATTATGAAGATGTGTGCCATCGAGGAATGGATTTGCGTTATTCGGCATTGAACTCCCATTACAAATACGAAGATACAAAATTAACTTTTCGAGATGTTTCATACGACGACGAAGCTGTACAGAGATTTTTGATCATAGCCACCTGTATAGATATTGACTTGTGAACCTTAATAAGAAAAAAGGTTTTTAAGTATAAAAATTCATACAAAAAATGAATTCTTACCTAAAGTAGCACTTCCAATTACACTACATTCAATACGTGGATCTGGTCGACCAAGGCCCCACGGTGATGATCAAGCACGTTCATTTGACTTTTGTTTTTGCCATAAAAGAAAATCAGATTTGCTTTTATTTTATTTATATTTTCTGATGTTGCTAATGGTTCTTCGTCACGTAATGCAATAATATCACCCATTTCATTAAATTCAAAATTTGCATATGGATGTTGCTTATGAAATTCTACTGTATCGAAATAAACGGATAAGCTAGATTCATATGCAAATCCATTCTCCATAATTTTTTTAATAAATTGAATAATGTTCGGTACATCATCACTAAATTGTACACCGATTGTTGGCGGAAGAATATTTGAAAGATGCATATTTTTCTTAAACATTTTTTCTAATTCTTTAGTACGATCAATAGAATATGTATTGTAGTTAGTGGAACTTATAGTTGTTGTGTAAGTAATAAAACGTTTTGCACGAGTTACAGGAATAACACCAGTATTATCAAATGTTTCCTACGAAAAAAAAAACATTCATTTGAATGTTTTTATATATACTCTACTTTAAATGGAACTTCAAGACCTTCATGAATTTCATCACGTGACATATTTTCGATCATCACATTTGACTCATAACACCATTTGTTTATCTTTGAATTGCAAATATGAGACATAAATAATTAATGAAATAAATATATTTCATCGTTAATATCATTGATATTCGTGCAATAAATTATATCATAGCCAAAATATTGTTCAATGATTCGGCGTATAATATCTAGTATCACGTAATGTCTAAAAATAAAAAATTATGAAATAGTCATATTACCGCATTAAACCAGTACGAAATTTCGTATAAATATTTGGCCCTGAACATACCCAGCTGATTTGATTTGCCTTCGCAGCTTTGACAATGATGATTGTTGGGTAATTGATGAAGACATTTACAGCTGATATATATACTAGATGAAAAAGATGATTAAATGAATCTAGAATGCATAGAAACAGTGGAAAACAATCATACAACTACTTGTTCGTCTATTTATTTGACCATATATATTCCCTGCATATACCTCGATATCTCGGTGATTAACAATGCCTGGATTAAACAAACGTATTCAAATCTTGATAATAATCAATTCAATTATTTTAATAAATTTATTACTATTATTCATTTATTAATTTGTAAAACTTCGCTATCATAAACGTTTCATTATAACTAATAACGAATAGGATTGGTTTAATATTACCAAATGCATAGTTATCGCTTAGTTAGTTGAATATGCCGTCAAATGCATACTACTACTAATAATAATAATTGGCTAATGCTTAGTCAGAAACTTATGTTAGAGAATAAAGCAAAATATATTATATTTTGTATAAAAGTGTCGGCACATGAAATTTATGGTTACAACCATATCCGATGAAAGTTTTAAGTGTAAATCGATCGACATCTGTAACAAATCAACGGTTTACGTAAAAAAAAAAGATCTTCAAACGATGATTATTCCATCAAAGTAATCAATCTAAACAAAATATGATACAGTAGATAAATATATTCAGTGAGTACATTTGTCCAAATTTATCAAGAAATGCTGCAGATAGACAAATCAACGGAAATGTTTTATTCGTTTAAAAACTAATCGAAAATGATTATTCCCTCTTTCACTTTACGATTATATGACAGTATGGAATCAGAATTTCCATTCGGAAAAGAATCTATGAAGCAAACTATTAATTGTTTTCATCTTCACGCAAATAATTATTACAGTTTTCAATTAAAACTTCAAAACTATCTAATATAATTTCAACTTTGAGATCATGTCTATACTCGTTTATATAAAATGTATATTCTTCTGTAATATACAATGTGAGATTTCAAAATTTTAAATTAAAATATCACAGAAAAAAGATATTATATATCACGTCACCGAGTACCTATCAATTTTACAATTTCATCATATTTGTTCATGTTCAACTTGAATACGTTGATCATAACATTCTTTTGCTGTTGAATATTTATCAGTTGTATCAAATAGTTTTTGTTTATCCGTTCGTTGAATATGAATATTATCTCATAAACATTCACTAAGTAGACTTTTCAAATGTCGATTGTCTTCAATAAGTCGATCGCATTCTTGTTTATAATCAAGTGTTAAACGTTGTAAACGAATACGTTCTGTTGCTATTTGTTCCCATTCAGTTTTCAATGAAGAAATAAGTTGTTCATGTTCATTCTCCACACGATTATTCATTTCATCATATGTCAGTCGAAGTTTAGCAACTTGTTCATTAATATTTAATGTTGGCGTTGGCGTTGGCGTTGGCGTTGGCGATATTATATTGCACGGCTGTATATCGACATCACTAGCAGTTAACATTGATGAAACTGTGAGAGATACGAAATGAGATCTAAATAATTGATAGTAATTGAACAAATAAGTTGTGCGTCTAAAATTTACTTTTGTCTAAATTGAGCACGACGTCGAGCTTGTTCTTCATCACGACATTTTTCTATTTCAATCAATTGGTTATTAATAAAATGAGGCCGTGATAAACAACATATATCGACTGAATCATAATCATCAAATTCAACTAAAACAGTTTGTTCTTCAAATCTTTCTAAACGTAGAATTTCACCGCCAGCTGCTTTTAAATAATCCATAATTATTTTATCACAAGGTAATATTTCATCGGGATTTTCTCGTGGTATACGTACAAGTATTTTGTTTGTATTAAGATGCATTTCATAAGGATATCGTCGGGTGATTGGTAGGCAGCGACGTACAAAAAGTTGATGATCACTTATAAAAAATGGACGCTCACTCATGATTTTATCAATGCTTTCTCTTCTTTCAAATATAAGAATTACGAATGGATTCGGTAATGATATTGATGAATGTTTTGAGATACGACGCTTCAAATATAATTTAGTAATGATACCGAAATCTTGAAAAACATCAGTAATACGTTGAGCATTTATATCAGCCGGTAAATTTGAGACATGAAGATGAAATTGTTCGAAAGATTGATCAATGTAAGCAGGCATTGATAAATCAATACGAGAAAAATTTAATCTAAAATATAAATATAAATATTAACATTATAAGAGATAAAAAGAATATCAAATCTTTAAGTTTTAGTGCTTACTAAGAAATAAAATAATTAGTTTGATAAATATTTTGAAGATTGTTCAATACAATCTTCATTCGCGTATAAATTACTTGTTTTAATAAATTAAAATAATTATTATATAAACTTCTGAATCAAAGTTAGGTAAAGTTAAAGTTTATTTTTTACTTCAAAAAAAAAATATGCAATTCTTCGGAATCTATAATCTTAGATTTAATTTACAGTTTGTCTTCCTAATGATTAATTTGATGAAAAAACAGATTTCAGCAAAGATATTTATTAAATACAAAGCGCAATAAATTAATAAAGCTTAAGCAAATATCTTGTTTAAATATATGTTCCTTTTTTCTCGTCCGAGATGACGTAAACTTTTAAAACAATTATTGACCTAGTTATCAATCATTTCTATTTTTCTATTACCTCGATAGCCGACGTCAATAGCTTAGAGTGCAAAAACATATATTTATTGTTATGAATTTAGAGATTTTTTTAGTCTTTTTCCTGTCGTTTAACTAGTTACAGTACCGCATGTCTACTTCAACTAGAATAGTATGTTTGTATACTTAGGGATCTCAGCTGTCGTTTTCAGTCAATTGAAATTAGAGTTCTTTCACTCTTATCTTCTATCTCTTTTTCTGGTTACTTTCATGTTTGAATAACCTTCAGCCTTTGAAAATGATTCACCTATTTAAATGATATAAAAACGTTGAGAATTCCTATTTGAGATTCCATTATACGGCGCATATATCATTACATTTCATAACTAGATAGATAGAAATATGGCTAGCAGTGGTGTTGAAGGACTCAAAGGTACCTGGGACTATGTAGGCATCAATTTTTTCTTCTTCTTTTAATGACTAACTTTTGTAATACTAGGTCGATGGTGAAAATTTTGATGAATATATGAAAGAACTTGGTGTCGGACTTACGACACGTTTGGCAGCTAGAAGTATCAAACCACGTTTGATTTTTAGTGAAAATGGTGGTAAATGGACTGTAAAATCGGAAAGTACAATTAAATCAACATCATACGAATTTACACCTAGCGTTGAATTCGATGAAACAACACCTGATGGACGACAAGTTAAAGTACGCTTTTTTGTCTTGATATTCTTATTGCTGTTCATATCTTTCTCTTTTTGTTTTCTTTTCAAGTCAACCATCAACTTTGAAGGTAATAAATGGGTTCATACGACCGTCGATAAAGATGGAAAAAAATCAGTAGTTACACGTTATGTTGATGATAAAGATCAACATATGATTGTAAGTCATATTACAGACCTCCTTCATTTTTAATCTAATGTATCTTTTTTGTAATAGGATATGGAATGTGGTTCAGTAAAAGCTCGTCGTTGGTATAAACGTGCCTAATAATTTCAATAAAGACTTTTTTCTTCGATATTTATGTGAACCATCTTTCGAACTAATTTTAGTTTTATTTATCAAAATATTTCATTCAGTTTTCTTGCGAAAAAGCAAAAATTATAAAAACCGTTTTTTTCTTCATCAAAATGATATTTATATGAACTATTAAAAAAAAATAAAGTTCATGCTACTAAAAATGAATCAATTCTGCCAACCAAGACATGAAATAATATCATTAGCATATTATGAATATGAATAAGAGAGCAGAGAACAATAGAAAAATATTTTTTCAAGTGAAGCCTAAAATTAGGTTTAAAGTATACTTTGATAAGAGATATCAATTCAAAAAGACCTTAATATTGTTATGCAGTATAAAGGACGATAAAAGTACGAAGTCTAACAACCTATCGCAGTACGACTGATTTAAAATAAAACCACAATGACATATTATGCTAATTAACTATATTCGATGAAATAGAGAATTGTTTTGAACGAATCATTTTTGATATATAAGACGCTTGCTTTCATGAAAGATTGACACGTGTAAGCAAATTCAAGTAGCATCGACATTATTAAACTGTCTATTTCGAAAAAAATCTCAGCAAAAAAAGGAAGTCAAATAAAACAAAGTGAAATTTTTAAAATTTATTTGTTATAATAAATAATAATTATGTAACTAAAAGAGAAGTGAATAAAGGAAAAAAAATTACAATTTCAATGCTCGAATGTCATCACTACGAAAATCCGTTCTACAAATAGAGAAATAAAAAAGTTTAAAATTCAATGAATGTTTATTCTATTTACCTTAGACTAAGAATTTGTCGAACTTCAGATGGAATTAAACGCCAAGTTATTTTACTTGATGTTGGATCCCAGTAATCATTAATTTCTTTCAACTAAATACACAAAGATGATATTTTTTAAATTTATCTTTCATTTTTCTCTTATTTACTTTTTCAAGACAGAGTAATGTAGCAATTTGTGTCAAGCGTTGAAACTTATCACGAATAGGAAGACTAGTAGCATTTGTTAAATATGTCATTAGCCCTCGAACTTCTTTATCAAATTGAAGACCACCGTACTTAAAAACAAACAAATATTAATTAATTAATTATTGCTTGAAGAAAATTCAAATATACCCGATTAAATCCACATTTAATCAGAACTTTTTCCCAAATGGTAACAATTTCACTAGTAGATGCAGCTATTAAGCGATCATAATTTCCAGTACTCAGTATGCTCTAAAACAAAGATATATATATATATATTTATATTGAAAATCGAAGAATTAGAAATCAGTCAAAAGTCTGTCAAGGTCAAGAATGTTGATTTAAATGTGGAACAATTGCAAATCATTAATATCCAAACATTGTGCAACTTTAAAATTCTTTTATTTCTCAATATTTTTTCTCCCATCGGGAGAATCTACTACCAGTATTACAAAAGAGAACTTATTTCATCAACAGAAACAGAGCGATGTACAAATCACAAAGTTCTCAATAAATATTCAATTTTATTCGATTAGTTTATCGAAAAATTTAACTATGTAATATTAATATATTTCAAAGCGTCTATGCTGACTATTAGCAGAGAATGAAAATTGATAAAATCTTTTTCTTTTCGAAAGCAAGACTTCAAGAAAACCAATATGAAAGCGATATCAATAAAAATTAACGATGCTTTTAGAAGAAATTATGTGAATAGAAAGATGTGCTTCGATTAACGATAATTTCATTAAAAAAACATGCAAATGGTAATTATTAGACTAATCTACACGTATACGGAATCAAATTCATTGATTTCCATTTGACTACTAAAAGTAAATACAAGCATGGTAGAAAAGAATATTTTTAGATTGATCACAAAAGGTCTAGAAAAAACTCAGAAACAGAACGTGCTGAAGCTTGTAGAGCTAGAAACACTTTTATGAATCTTTTCGATACATTTAAAATTTAAATGCTTACGAACAGCTATTGAAGTGCTGAAACCTATGAAAAACTATTAAATACTATCAAAATTCGTAGTGTAAATCAAGAGCAAAGAAGCATAGCTTTCAAGTAAAGATATTGTTTTATTCTGCTTTGATGAGAATTAGAAGTCGTGGCATGTCTGATTATTATCGTAATTCTTCTAATTTATATCTTTGAATTGTGAAGTAGTTCAAAAAAAACAACTCTCATCTTCTTATGCACAAAAAAATATAAAAAGAATCAACAACAAACTAACAAATTAAGACTAACAAATGGTAACGTTAAATTTTGTGAAAGAGTACTAGTAAAAAGTTCTTCTATGCAAATAATTACTTTAAATGGAATGAATAAAGCATCAATTTGTACTATAAAATTTTGTAGGAATGGATCATTAGCTTCAAATTGAGAAAATTCATCCTAAAAAGAAAAACAAAATTCAACAATTAATTTTGGTACACATTGTTGCTAGCTTTTAATTAAAACCTACTTCAGATAATTTATGATTAATAGTAACATAGACATCCATAAGTACTTTAATTCGAGGTTTAATTGCACTTGCACATAATTGTTGACAAGCAAATTCAATTAAATCTTTGAAACGATTCGCAGCAGAATGAATTTCATTTAAACAAGTCTAATAAATTAACACACAAAAAGAAATTGTATCTTTTATCTTATGAAAAAGAAAAGTTCTTTTCATTCTTACATCTAATTTTGTTTTATTATGTTCATTTAACGATAAAAATTTTTTCAATTCTTCATCAAGTAAACTTTTAAGCGTATGTAAGTTTCCATATGTTATTTCAACATTATTGAATGTTGTTAAAAATATCTGTTTTAATTTTTCAATATCACTTCCTTGTAATTTACCTAATTGAATGCTTGATTGAATAACTGTATATGCTTGTGATAAATCAAATCCTGATGGATAACCAGATTTTAATCGAATATGTAATTGTTCACGATAGGTCGTATCAATTATACTAACAGCATGATTTAACATTGCACATATACCTTCGACATTTGAACTGGATATTGTTCGTCTAAAGGAAATTTATCTAGTATTATTTAATCAAAAACATATTGATAATATATCTATCGATATATATATATATACTTGAGACATTTTCGAAGAATAAAAAATACATCATCGACCATGTTGGGTGAATCAATTAAAATAGCTTTATAAATACTTTCACGCATAAAATAATCCTCAATAGTAATATATTGATTTATGAATTCATGTAAAATTCGACTTAAACCTGAATGATTAATAAATCTGTCAATTTCTTTTAATTGATTTAAACAAGCATCTGTTTTCATTTCATCCACTAACGGATATGCAGCTTCACAATCAGAATTTAAACGTCGACGAATAAAACGTAAATATAATTCACAACTTGCATTGATTAATGTTATTTCAGCTAAGAAATCATCTAATTCGCGTGGATCAAGTTTATCAGTTGATGATAAATCAGTTTGCGTTAAACTATTTGAGGTTGTTGAAAGAGATTTTTGTGTTAAAACAGACTGTTGAATACGACGAAATATTGTATCAAATTGGCGTTGAGATTTAAAAGAATTTATGCCACGTCCAACTTGTGTATCACAAGCCGATTGTAGCATTGAAACAAAATTAAATAATTTTCCATGCCCTAACGAAAGAAAAAATTATATTAAACTTTACAAGGAAATGCTTTTTTTTGCGAAACTTAATTTAGCAAAAATATTGATAGAAAGTCTTTGATTAGTTACTGTCTTTTAAATAACTTAATAGAAAATTCCTACAGATATAACAATCGTATTAGCAACATTCTTCTCATGCAATCGACCATATATCAATAACTTGCTCCTTCTACATATGAATGGCTTCCTTTTTTCATATCAGAAAGATATAATACACCTGTGATGAAGAAGTTCGTTGCAAAATAGATATTTGAAAGAAATGGATTTTGATTTGTTATAGACATGATCAACTGATATATCATGAGATTTTTTCTATATTTTTAAATCGAAGAATGCACACGAAAAACTTCTTAAGTTTATCATAATACTACTAATACAATAGAATATGAAAGAAATCCTGAAAATTTCTTCGTATGATCATATATTTATATATCATGACGAAACAAAATCCACCATTACAAACTGTAAGTGCATGTTATCACAATGCGATTTGAAAACAATGTTTTACAATTTAATGATGTCATGTCATTGAGAGAGTAACTAATCTACAAGATTCATCGAATGATCTACTTTAGTATTTGCAAATACTCGACTTCTATGCTAATTCATCCATTGTTACAATATTATTTAATACTATAGAAGCGACTGTCATCGCTATAATGATAGTGGTACAACTACGATGAACAATTCTGATTCAAATAGATTTCCCAATCGAACAAAACAAAATAAAATGAATGACTGAAACGCTTACCATAATAAGTTTCAACAAGTGGTTGATAAGTTTCCACAATTTCAGCAGTATATTCAAATAAATTAGTTAAATAATCCGAAAATATAACTGGATAACGTTTATTATTAAATGGTATATCTAAAGTCTTTTTAAGTTCTTTGTCTCCATGATCATTTATTTGTAAACAGAGATGTTTACAAAATTTTTCTAAACCAATTTGATGTAAATTTAAAAGTGGAAATATTTTGAAAAAACGCATTGCTTCTGGTAAATGTCCTATTTCAACAGCTTGATCAAACTTAACATTTACAATGGCTTTTAACTTTTTCTCTGCATCTTCAAGAGAAAGTAATGCTTGATGAAGACTACTTCCTGCAGAATATTGAACGAGAAAAAAAATAATGAAAATTAAAAGAATAATAAATATGTGAACCTTCAGCTGGATCACTACTTAATTGAAGTGATGCTGGATCAATATTTAAATACCGATGAATGTGAGCAGCTGCCTAAGAAAAGGAAAATTTTTATTACGAACAAATATACAATCAAACATTTATTTACTTCTTCATATTCTTCGTCTTCTAGAGCTTTTTTAACACCATCCGTACATTTCTTTAAATCAATGATGTCTTTCGCTCGTTGTAAACAAGCAACAACACGACTCTAAATTAATCGACATAGATCAAACATTAGAAGTAAATAATATCAACGAACTTTTGTCACATCAAGTTCTCGAACTTTTCCACTAATATTATCAGCTAATTCTGCCGTAAATGAAATTGTATTCGATAAATTATGTGCATCTTGTGTTATTATTTGTAAGGCTGGCCTAAAATATTGTCGAATAATGTTTCTCTTCTAAAATCTCATCATTCAATACTGACACTAGATTTTTAATTGAAGCCATTTGTCTCTCAAATGAATCTTGATTTGAAAGTAAAATTGATAATTCATCATTAAGTTTTTTCTATAGTTAACAAAACAAAGTAAAATGTTACATAGTCTCAGAAAATGAATCGACTTACTTCACGTGTATTGAGGGTCTCTAATTCTTTTTCTAATAAATCTATATTTGGCATCATTTTATTATTTATTAAAATGAGTAAAAAAAAGAATCATTGAAATTGATGAATGAAAACGCACAATTTACTTTACTGATTGGATTGACTTGATCCAATCGAATTCAAGAACCATCATTAAATTATTTATCATTGGTCTAATATATAGATTCGTAGATGGCTTGTATCAATGACAGTGTTGTGTTGTAATCGATGAAAGCGACCAAAAATGGCGTGATCACGATTGAAAGAGTCTGATCAGGACTCTTGTTTGTATTTTAAAGAGTGTATATATTAGTATCTCTCGTTTTCGAGGACAGCTCTCTGATGAGATTTCTCACATGGTTAAGAAAGTTCTAGATAAGTCCTGTTGGAGTTCGCAGAAACTAAGACTATATGTCTACATATGGCTATCTATAGATTTATTCTATACAATTGTTTTATGCGACTTGTACTTTTTTTAAGTCGTAGGTGTGCTGCTAGCTTTAGTTTTTCTCCGTTTTGCTTTGTAAATTATAAAATACTTCAACAAAATTCAACATGACTTTGAGTGCGTTTAAAAAACTTGCAACTTGGATCCTCACACCCACAAGTAAGTCATATTGTCACATATGTGGTATGGATACAATTCAACTAGATAGGAATCACAAAAATAATTGCATCAGTTAGAATGTAAACACTTGCTAACGTTTATTTTTTAGCTCCTTGATTACGAAAGAATAGTTTTGATAATGATGAGTCGACATTCGAGACTAGAACTGAAACAACGTGATTTAAAAATCCCCTACTTGTATTCGAATCATAAATACAAACATTGATTTCTATAGTCTTCGTCAGAACTTAGTAATAAATATGAAAATTTCTATTCTATTTCATGATCAGATAATGTACCAGGGTCGACACAAAAAAAAAGTTTCAGTTCTGGCTCTAGTTCACATGAAACTGAGACCGGGATCAATCTGTAGATCTCTAATAGTAACACAAGTTCTACGATATATTGTTGCTACTGAACGAACACTTATTCAAATAATCGCTTTAAATTGCATTCATTATTATGATAGAAACAAATATGCATTTAAATACAAAACTGATGAGCTAATTATACACAATCATATGATTCTGGGTATAATCTCCTTTGAACTTTTAAGAATTCTATCCAACTTGCTAATCTAGGAACTCAATTTCATACTAAAAGAACAAAAAGTTCGATGATGATAAAAGGCAAACAAACACAAAATCATTTACATTGAATTCACGACAATGAAATAGTCAGTAAACAGTTGTTCTATTTTGTTCAAGTTGCCTCATCGAGAATATAATTCTTTTTTTTATCCTGTTTGGCTAATTATCTTTTTTTTACTAGATTTTTTCTACATAATTTATTTAAAAAACAAATTAATTCGCATCGTCGTTCAAGAGGTACATATACCACTGGCATCTATCAAAGCCATCTATATTCACTGTGTTATGTTCGTTGGCATTTGTGTTGTCCAATATTTATTTTTCTTGGTCCTTCATGCGTCCACACTGAACTAGAACCGAGTTTCGAAATGCATTCTTAAAAAATATTGCAACACAAGCATGCTTGTAAAAACAGTTCGACAATTTGCATCAAAACCAACAGCCTTACGAAATGTCGCTGTCGTTCTTAGTGGTTGTGGAGTTTACGATGGCAGTGAAATTCATGAAGCATCAGCCTGTCTTGTTCATTTAAGTCGTCACTCGGCATCGGTACATGTATTTGCCCCAGATATAGCACAAAAACATGTTATTAATCATTTAACTGGTGAAATTATGCCTGAAACACGTAATGTTCTTGTTGAAAGTGCTCGTATAGCTCGTGGCGGACAAAACATATCATCATTAGATAAACTTAATGTTAATCAATTTCAAGCTATTATTTTACCGGGTGGATTTGGTGCAGCAAAAAATCTATCCACATTTGCGTTCGATGGAGATCAAATGGTGGTTGATAACCGTTTGACAGATATTTTAAAAGATTTCCATCGTAGTCGAAAACCAATCGGTATGTGTTGTATTTCACCTGTTATCGCAGCAAAATTAATACCAGGTGTTCAAGTAACTTTGGGAAAAATGAAAAATTTAAAGGAAAATGAAGCGAAAGATGTCTTTCCTTATTCTGGTGCTGTATTAAGTGCAAGACTAATGGGTGCCGAAACACAAGAATGTGATGTGAATGAAATATGTGTTGATGAATCTCATCAAGTTGTTACAACACCTGCGTTTATGAAAAATGCTTCTTTTCATGAGATATTCGATGGTGTTGGACTTATGATAGAAAAAGTTATTCAAATGATAGGACACAAGTAATCTAAAATAACGGCACCTTTTTCATCACTAGACAACAAAGAACCTACTTAGATAGTCACTGATTGATTCTAGTTCATTGTCTTAAATTCTAGATAATTTATACTTTCGTTTATCATAATTTATAACACAAATTAATCTAATCAATGAGTTCATCAAGCAATACGACTGGGAGTAATTCATCAGCATCGTCCAGAAACACATCTCGATTAAGTGCAACTTCATCCGAACGAGTATCTATGGCTTTTATCAAACGAGCTCTTACACCAACAGCAAGCTGGACTCATAAGGTAAATAATATTCTTGGGTAATCTACTTTTACATAGCTATGAACCAAAATTTAAATGCTAAAAATGAAAGAAAATTCCCACGAATACGTGCCGAGCGAAAGGTTATCATCCACTTGTCTTACTATACAAAATTACAAAACAATACACATTCCCTTTTCATATTGCTGACTGTTGTTCCATAATTTTGAAAAGGAAAAGAAAATCTGATTTTAGATTAGCTTTGTCGAGTCTCGTTCTTTTTTCATAAAAGTTTCGAATCATGGCAAATTATAAATATTTATATATTTTTAAGGAAGAATTCCTTGATGCTGTTTATTGGCTTCGCCAAGTGTTAAGTATTATCATTGGTGTTATACTAGGTGCATTGTCCATCAAAGGTCTATTGGGCATGATCATGTCAGTATTTTTTTTTATCTACTATTTAACAAAACAATCCTAATTGTTAAATGAATTATTTAAGATTTGCTGCTATTAGTTCGTTGATTGTTTTTATTTATGCTTCAAATGTGCAAAATGTTGATCCAGAAGAATATGGTGGAATGATTGAAATAATAAAAGAAGGTTTTATGACTGCTTTAGCAACGTTTCTTGTAAGTGAAAAACTTTTAGTTAATGTTTAAAATCATTTCTCTATTATTTCTAGGTTTCTTGGATTGTACTCTATTCAGCATTTAACGAGCCGAAGTCAACTATACCTACCATATAGTCCTAATGTTGCTTGTTTTTTCTTTTTCACACTTTTTCTCTTAAATATTGTTGTTCGTACTTAGGAAATAGAAAAAAAATACTGTTCCTTTTTCAGATAAGTACAAAAATATGGCAACAAAAAAACGAAATAAAGCCTTTATGGGTATGGCTGCTCCGTTGGGTTATGTTCCAGGTCTTGGTCGTGGTGCAACCGGTTTCACAACTCGATCAGATATTGGTCCAGCACGAGAAACCGGTGACATAAGTGATGAACGCCATGCACCACCAACTAAGCGTCGCGATGACGATGATGACGATGATACAGATTTAAATGATTCGAATTTCGATGAAGAATTTGGATATGGTGGAAGTTTATTTAAAGTAAGTTCGAATACAATTTTAGATTACAAAAAAATTGCGATTGATTACAATTTTCAATTACTCAGTGGATATGTAGAAAATAATATATATTGATGGGAATGTTTTTCATGTGAAACGATTTGTAAATAACTATTCACAATATCAAGCTAAGATAAAATTGAATAAACATACAGAGACATTTATAAATAACTAAGCAAACAACTTTATAAGGGATAAAATGATAAGATAAACTGATTTAGAGTATTTTTGACTGATGACAGGAGTACTTATTTATGAAAAATTTGAAATTTACATTTTCTTGCTCATGAATGTTATCTTCTCATTTTATACAAAACAATATTGGATTTCATTTTTTCTAGAATGGTCCATACGAAAAAGATGATGAAGAAGCTGATGAAATTTACGAATCCATTGATAAACGTATGGATGAAAAACGAAAAGAACGAAGGTAAATAATTCATTTAAAAAAAGACATCATTAATTCAGATAACTAAAGAAAAAAAACTTTTTTTCTATAGAGAACGACGATTCCAAGAAGAAATTGAAAAATATCGTCAAGAACGACCAAAAATTCAACAACAATTTAGTGATCTTAAACGTAAATTAGCTGATGTTACAGCCGAAGAATGGATGAGTATGCCAGAAGTTGGTGATGTTAGAAATAAACGACAAAGAAATCCAAGACAAGAAAAGTAATAAATCAATCAATAAAATTTCTCTATGTTTTTATTTTATTTTTCAACTTAGATATACACCTGTACCTGATGCACTGATTGCAAAAGGTGTTGCAGCTACTGAAAAAACAAATGCTATTGATTTACATGATCAACATTACGGTGGTTTTATAACACCAGCCACTGGTATGTCGACACCTTCAACTGAAATTGAAATGGTCAAAATCGGTCAAGCACGTAATACACTTATGAATATGCGACTCACACAGGTCAGAGAAAAAATAGCATTAAATTAGCAAAACATATTTCTAATCTTTTTTCTTTTTAATTTTAGGTTTCTGATAGTGTTAGTGGTCAAACAGTTGTTGATCCAAAAGGCTATCTAACTGATATGGCATCAATGTTACCATCATATGGTGGTGATATAAATGATGTAAAGAAAGCTCGACTGTTGCTTAAAAGTGTTCGAGAAACAAATCCATCTCATCCACCAGCTTGGATTGCATCAGCACGTCTAGAAGAAGTTGTTGGTAAAGTTCAAGCGGCAAGAAATTTAATTATGCGTGGTACAGAACATTGTCAAAAAAGCGAAGATGTTTGGTTAGAAGCAGCACGTTTGATGCCATTGGATTTAGCACGCGGCATTGTTACACATGCGGTTAGACATTTACCACAATCAGTTAAAATCTGGGTTAAAGCTGCTGATTTAGAACAAGAACCAAAAGCGAAAAAACAAGTTTTACGACGAGCACTTGAACATGTACCTAATTCTGTTCGATTATGGAAAGCAGCAGTCGAATTAGAAGACGAAGAGGATGCTAGAATTATGCTTAGTAGAGCTGTCGAATGTTGTCCAACATCAGTTGAGGTAAGTAGTAACGTTTATATTTATTTTCTTGTTTCATCGTTATTTTACTATTTATAATTTTGAGTTTCACATGCGATCATTGATACAATTAATAAATACATATCCAATCATTGCATAGACTGAAATTTATAATGAATGTTTACATTTCGATAGTGAAACCAATAATTAGAGTTCACGTTACTTTGATATAGTTAATTTAAAATAACAAAAAGAAAACTAAAGAGTAATGCATTGTTTGCCTTTCGAATTATAGTAATTCTGAAGAGTGTTAAGAAGAAGCATCATTTAGATTTATAATCAGTTTGAGTCAAAGTGAAATATAATATCTTCATTATTAGAAATCATCTTATTATGTTGAACATGGTTTAAAAAAAGATTAGTTTTCGATGTACAGGTCAAGCAGCTTGTATAGTTGAGTTTTTCTTCAAATTCAAAATAAATCAGCCTGAGAATTCAATTTAACTATTTTTTCATTAATATTCACCTAAGAAACAATACAGCCTACCTTATAAATAAAAGACCAATATTCTCTAATTTTTGTTTTGCAATTTAATATATTTTCTACTTTAGTTATGGTTGGCTTTAGCACGCCTTGAGACATATGAAAATGCACGTCGTGTACTTAATAAAGCTCGTGAACATATTCCGACTGATCGACAAATTTGGATCATGGCTGCAAAACTTGAAGAAGCCAATGGAAACAATACAATGGTCGATCGTCTTATTGAAAGAGGTGAGTTTCTTTTTTGTTTCTTATCAAACTTTTATGAAACAAATATTATTGTTTTTAATTAGCCTTGGCTTCTTTACGTGCAAATATGGTTGAAATTAATCGTGAACATTGGTTCAAAGATGCTATCGATTGTGAAAAAGCTGGTTCTGTTCATACGTGTCAAGTACTAATCCGAAATATAATTGGTATTGATATTGATGAAGAAGATCAATTAGAAACATGGATTGAAGATGCACAATCATGTCAAACTGAAAATGCATATGAATGTGCACGGGCTATTTATACTCATACGCGAAAGTTACATCCAACGAAAAAACAAATATGGCTAGACGCAGCTGATTTTGAAAGAAAACATGGTACTCGTGAGCAACTTGAAGAACTTTTATCGACAGCCGTTATTAGTTGTCCAAAAGCTGAAGTTTTATGGTTAATGTTAGCTAAAAGTAAATGGTTAGCTGGAAATGTTCCATTAGCTCGAGAAACACTATCCGCTGGATTTCAAGTACGCACATTAGATTTCTTTTCTAGTTAAATATCCTTTTCTTTTTATTATCTAGGCAAATCCGAATTCTGAAGAAATTTGGCTTGCAGCTGTTAAACTTGAATCAGAAAATAATGAATATAAGAAGGCGCTAAGTCTTTTAAAAAAAGCTCGACTGTAAGTATTCATTATTGTTTAAGATGTAATTTAAAACAGAATAATTCTTTTCTATTTATTTTAGTCATGCACCTACAGCCCGAGTTTATATGAAATCTATACGTTTACATTGGTGTTTAAATGAAATTTCAGCAGCTATAGAATTATTAGAAGAAGCACTAAAAACTTATGGAAATTTTCCAAAATTATGGATGATGAAAGGGCAAATATCAGCCCAACAAGGTGCAACTGGTTTTGACGCTGCTCGTGAAGCTTATTTAGAAGGGATTAAACGATGTCCAACAAGTATACCATTATGGCTTCTCTTAATTGAATTAGAAATTAATAATGGACAATTAATTAAAGCTCGAGCTAATTTAGAAAAAGCTCGTTTACGTAATCCAGCAACACCAGAACTTTGGTTGGCTAGCGTACGATTAGAAGTGAATGCTGGAAATGTACAACAAGCCAAAGTTATGATTGCACGAGGTTAGCTAAAATAATTTTTAATCAAACAACACAAACAGTGATAATATGTTTATCTATTTATTTTTACGTATAGGTATGCAAGAATGTCCATCGGCTGGTATACTTTGGGCTGAAGCAATATTTATGGAAGCACGCCCTCAACGTAAATCAAAAAGTGTTGATGGTTTAAAAAAATGTGAACATGATCCATATGTTCTGATGGCTGTATCAAAATTGTTTTGGTCTGAACGTCGTATTGATAAAGCACGTGAATGGTTTAATCGCACAGTTAAACTTGAAACAGACAATGGAGATTGTTGGGCAGCATTTTATAAATTCGAACTAATGAATGGAACAGAACAACAACAAGCCGATATTAAACAAAAATGTATTAGTTTCGAACCGAGACATGGAGAATTATGGTGTCGCATTGCAAAAGATGTTAAAAATTGGAAATTAAAAACAGGAGATATACTAGAATTATGCGCAACACAAATGCCTATACCTAATTAAACATTTTCTTTTTTTATGTTTGTGCTTTGTGTATATGTGAAAATAAACATAAAACAAAATTATTACTAAACAATAACTACAAGACAATATATATATACTGAGAGAGAGACAGAGTTGAGCAATTTTTAGTATTACATAATATAGATTTGAATTTAATAATGATCGTTTGGGTATTATTATATGAGTTTCTATATTCCAATTTATATACAGATTGATCTTAGAGAAGTCGACAAAGTGCTTTGAAAAATTTGAACCTCCCAGCGATTTCATTTTTGATCGTATAGCACGATAAGAAAAATCTTAATCGATATTATACACATGTCAGTACACATTAGAAAAGTCTCATCTGTTTAAAATTATAGTTCATGAGAAAGATCAGTATTGCCGATATTTTTTCTATTGGCTTTTCTAAGATTCAACAATATGAATGACTATCAAGAAATCGGTTAGATCTTTTCGAAAACTTTTATTAGACTTTCAACTACGTATATGTATAGTAGTACATTAAGGCAATTTTCATTAAAGTGCATGGTGTGAAGTTAACAAAGGTTGCAATAAACAATTTTGAATTTATATCATGTTCACTTAAAGGCGACTTGAAAAATAACATGATCTTCGTTATTAGCTCGAAAAAAAGGCAAAAAAGTTTTTTTTTTTTGCAGATTTATATATATAATCTCAAGTGTATTAGATGATTGACAATGTAACTTGACGTGTGTATTAACAAGAAACAGAAAACGAGTATTCAATAAAAATCATGTCTTGTCAGCAAATGAATTCAAGTTTGTCATATTAAATCTTAAAAATAATATGATACGATAAATAAATATGAATAAAGATGTTTTTGACGAAAACAATCTCAATCTTATGCCTTCTTCTGGTCACGACTATCATTTCGTAATTTCATGTTGTTGTTTATTGAACTGGAGTAGCTTGTCGTAGTCGATCGATCGATTGGTTGAATCATCAAGACCTTGAATTTTTTTCTCTATGCACAAATGATGAGCAAAGCTTTGCACAGAGTAATCAATAAGGTCATCGCGTTAGAAAAAAAAATTTCGTACATTTTTCTTTTTCATCTCTCGATCAGATTCATTGTTAATTTATTCAAAACTATACTTCAATCACATTTTAATTGTTTGCATTCATTTTTTCTCTCTTTTACCTATCCATTAATCAAATCCATAATCATATTCTCATTAAAAATATCAATAAGAAAAGAAATTTATTTTTGTTTTTCAGGTTCATTTTTGCTTGCTCTGTTTAGAAGTCATCTCGAAACCAATTCACATTATAGTTACAAGGAACAGAAAAAAGAGAGAACCACGTGCATAAACACATACATGCATGAATTAAAGTAATATAATATAGCAAGAACAAAAGATGAACAAGACTTTATTTATTCTTTTTTTTTTACAATGATAATCTGCCTAAGAATATAGTCCGGTGAAAATTCTTTGTTAATCGTTTAACCTGATTTGAAGAGTAGGATAGCAACTTGGCCCAAATAAAAGTAAATGAAGTGTTTGGTTTCATGAGTTACATATGAACCGAAATTACGTCCGACAATGCTGTATTAAAAGAAATTAAGTAAATATGATTGATATTATTAAGTTTATTAACTTACCAATGCCATGTTGGATTGTATTTTTTATCGAATTCCTTTTTGATATAAGCGGCAATATCTTTTTCAATATTGTATTTTTCAAGTGCTTGAGTTGCAATATCAACTAAAAGCATAAAAAATGTAAAATCAAACGTTTAATTTATGAGGAAGAAAAAACGAAAAACTAACCTGCATCTTGTTGCATGTCTTCTGACATATCAGCATTTTTAATAACAGCTTTGCGATCAGTCATTGTTGATAGTTCTATATATTCGAGCTTCTATTTAATAGAAATATTTTATCATAATGATCAATGAACATAGATATATATATTTTTTAGCTCACTTTAAATTACGAAGACGATGAAAAGTGAAGCACAAATAAATGGGCGCTCTATTTATATAACAAGCGGTGAGAAAGAGAGAGCGAACGAGAGAGAGAGAGAGAGAGAGAGCACGAGAAAGAGAGAAACCGAATATCTTGTCGTACAATCGCACGCACCCGTAGAGAGAAAGAGAAGAATAGACGCGAACAACCTTTCAAACAACAAACGCTGTGGCGTACGTCAAGCAAATTTTACATGCATACTATTGAATGAAGCAACGGTTGCTAAGCAATGTGACCATGTTCTTGCTTTAGGGAAGCGCGAACAAAAGTAACCGTTATTGCTTGAAAATAGATGGCAGGACTTGTTAAAAGAAATGTTTTTTTAATAACAACAAAATTATTGAAGAAATTTTGAAAATTATTTCTATAGCTATTTCTTGATATCATACATTTTAATTCTAATCTAGAATTCATGAAAGGATTCGTTATAACGATACATCGAATGATGGTTTCTTCATTTGATTAAACTATAGATATTATCGATTGACAGTTGTAAATACAAATTCAATATCTATTCTATGATTAGTTTACCATATAAAATTTTATTGAAGATATTCTGCATGATTATTTGTGTTCATTCATTCGATGGTTCTGTTTTCCATGCAAAATATTGAAGTAAAATAGATGATGAATCGCTCAAAAACTGAATATATATATACATATATGCAACTTAAAAAGAATGTTTAATAACATCAGAACTTGCCGGTTAGTTGCAAAGCAAAATTATATAATCGCCGCAATCGAATGACAATGTGCTGCTCTGTAGATGTTCACAATTGATCATATTAAATTGATTTCTAAATTCATATTGAAACAAAGTATCATTTATACTGTGTTCGATGACTCTATTTTGGTATTTAAAAATAACCTGTTGTTACGGGCTTACCCTCACATATTATTATGTCATTTCTTTTCTTCTATCTAGTCACCCACCACATCTATCGTCATATATATATAAATGAATAAATATATATGTTATCTTCTCAACGGAGGAGATATATATATATATATATATGTGAATACAACATGTTGCTTGTTTTGTAGTTAGTTTTTCGATTTACAATAAACAAGAAGGGAGAACAACAAATCCCCTAATACCTGTCTATATTAAGACTATCGAAGTGTTAAATGAAGATTTATTTCTAACATTTTAAAAATATAGACTAATGGTATAAAATTCTTCAATATTTATGGAATCATACTCTTGTATATGATAGTTTCAAATTTTGGCTTCATAGATTCAAATAGATTTGTCTTACAATACAGCAATAATGATGTTAATTCTCATAAATCTTTGTAGCCTGCCAAAAGATGTTTCATTGAGTTCATTTTGTACCAGATACACCAAAACAAATCCTTTTTTGGCAATTAATTAACTGATACTGACGGAACCATCTGCTGGTAAAAATAAGATATATTTAAAAATAAATTTTTGTCATTTAGTTTGTTTTCATGATAGTGAAACTGCTTTAATCATTCTATATAAATTAATAACAACTGTTATGGGCATTAATTAGTGAGAAAGTCAAGATTTAGTAATGCACGATTGAGCTCATCGATAGAAAAAAAAACATTTTATAATCTAGTACAAAAGATAATTGGTCCTCACAATCAAATACTTAGCAAAACTGTTTTATTTTGTCGAACTATGATGAATGATCTCTAAGAAAGAAACAGAAATACATTACATGTAGGTTTCAATCGCTTTAGATGTTATTTATATTTAATCCATTTTCTTTTCTTTTGAAAACACGAGAGTTCTATATAAAAATAAAGAGTTATATTTGGATATATATATATATGTTAAAATGCTTTTTTTCTACGATAAGTACATTTTATTCTTTATGAAGAGAAAAGAATGTTTTCAAATATTCATGACTCAGCTAAGCTTCGTGCCTTTGCGACTGTTACCTATGCTCAACATCATACAGTTTCATAATGAATTCCAAATGAAATTATAAATCAAACTTAGAGACGAAAGCGATCTTCAAGTTTTTTCTTCGTCTTTTATTTCATAAGAACAACACAACAGTTATAACATGGATTAATAAATTCGATTCCATTGCTTCATTCATCGACGATCGATTCATATCAATCAATTCTGATGTATTCTTTTGTTTATCGGATTCAAAAAAACTGTTATATTGATTGAGGTCATTGATAAGAGTTCATCCAAAGAAAAAGGATTAAGTATTCCAAAAACGAAAAGTTAAGTAAAATTTCAATTGCTGAATAGTTGAATGAACGAGACGAATAAGTGTTTGGCGAAATACTGTACTGTTAAGTGTATAAATATAAAAAGGAATTGCATTCCCAATATATGTAAGTGAAAAGTTAAAATTAACAATAAAATTCTCGATAGCTACACGTAATGGACTTTTACTAACATCAATCGTAAAAGTTAAATAGAACTGATGCATGGCTTGCGGTACTGAACAAAGTGTTAGTAGAACGACTTGTAAAAGCAGCATACAAGTAAGAGAAACTTCTGTACGTCTAGTACTTTTTCGTTTTCGACGATTAGCTCGAGCCAGATTTAAATCAGTGTTGAAAAATGCTCGAGAAGCTCGACGAGATCTACTAATATTACGAATAGTTAATAGTCCAAAGATAAGCATAAATACAGATGGAATAGCAATCGTTGAACTTGCATATGCAACATCATTATATATTCGACAACTATTCGATTTTCCATAACATTTAATAGGTGCTTGTTCAACATCAGCATCGTAACAGAACATGGATTCAATCCAGAGAACAAATGATACAGCAAAAATGATAATAATATTGCTACCAGCAGTTTTATGGGAACTTAAACGACGTCTATGGATTTCAGTACTACTAGAACACCATCGATCTATTGTAGCAAATACTAGTAGCCAAGCAGATGTTGTACGAAATGAATAAAGAAGAAAAATACGTGATTTACATAAGTAAGAACTTGTATTTGTTAGATCCGATATTTTCCCAGCTATCATACGAGATGGCAGACCGATTATAATGATTCCAAGACTAGCTACAGATGAACCAAGAAAATAAACTGCACATGGAGTACGCCTCAATAATGGTTGTGAAAGCACAATGATATTTAATACATTTCCAACTGTGCCAAATAGAAAAACGAACAGTGTTATATAATGATTAAGCTGAAGAGATATATTATTGATTAAAATTATTCTAACATCAGTCGTTGAGTTTGACATGAATGCAGGATGTATTAAAATAATGGAATGAATAAAACCATTCTTTTGGAAAGGAAAGATAAAGGCGAACATAAAATTATCTTTTCTTGTGATAGGGCTACTTGTTTCTATGTTTAGACAGATTGTGCGTGCTACTGTCAATGGAAGTAAACTAACGTCATTTCTTTTGTCATCGATCTCGTTTATCTTTCACCTCCTTAATCTTATAACATGCGATAAAATTATTTTTGAAAATATTATTATAGGATTATATCAATCGAAAAAAGCAAGCCACTGTTTTCTTGTATTTATTTAGATAATCTTGTAATTTTGTCAGCTTTAATTTTAATAAGAAACATCATATCTATTTTGAGCATGCATGTCATTTCTTATTTTCTTCATGAATTTAATAGTCCTGCAAATTAAAGTGAAGATATCAATATTTCTTCGATCAAGATCGCAAGCGTACGAAATTGAACACTTTCAAATAGAAAGAAGCTATAATTTTTGTGTCGCGATTTTTCAATCAATTTATATATTTATATATACAATTTCTATCTCGACAAATATTGAATATAGACTAAATCATTTTCTGTTTAATTAAAAGAAAATTATAATCCGCTCAGTTTCAGTTACTTTTTCACAGTACTTTACATGTATTTACATAGTATACATTACAAAAACATCAGCTTTCTTCAACAATCCATAATAAAATAAAAGACAATCAGATGACAAGTAAACAATAGTTAATACATAATTAAATCTCTTTTCATCTTCTTTTAATGTAATACCAATGCGGAAGAAAACAAGATAGTAATAATGGATGAAATGAGTCAGAGTTGATCTACATCCATCTCAGTGCAATGTTAAAAAGATAAAAGAAATTTAATTATTCATAAACTATTGTATACTTGTCATCGGATTGTCTTACATTTTAGTTTGAGAAATATATGGAGAAAGTTAATGTTTTTGTATAGTATGTTAGAAAGATAAATATTCTTTACTATCGGCTAGTCACTTATATTGAAACATGTGGACTTAATCCGCCAACATCAATGGAATAAAGCACTGATGATCACAAGTTTAATATTTCGGCGAGTTTAAATAGAAAGTGCTATAGAAAAACGTATCATTTAGTCAAAAAAGCAACACTATCTCAAAGTAATTTTAGTGTTTATTTCGTAAAATATAAAGCATGTTTTTTTGTTCCGTTCATTTTTATAATTTGAATGAAACATTCAGAGGTAAAAATGTAGATAAAAGTGTGCATGATATTCTTCATGATAGCATAAATACATCATTCCGTGAAAAGAAAAAGAAAATATATGTCAATGCATCAAAATACAGTAAATGTTTTTTTTCTGTGCATCATCAAGTCAGATATATTTGCCGATTGTATTTATCTAATTACTTCAATGTCATCTAAGATTAAAAGAACAAATAATAATTTCATAAACATTCGAAAAGACTACAGGTAACATTATCTTCATCAAACAATGAACGAGTTTGTTTAGAAGATTTTGACAATTTTTGAGAAACATACATCTGACAGAGCTGATTTCATTGATTTAGATTATTATTAGATAATCGAATGTCGAAAACAAAAAGTCACGATGCCTAAACGATATGGGACTTGGGAAAAAGAATGAGTCAGTGGCACATAGCCAAATAATTTTTATTTCATATTTCAACTGAAAACTCGAAGGACAACGAAGGTCATGATGGTATCAATGAAAGAAAAACTCGAACGGTATATTGAATTGAATTGAATTTTAAAATATAAAATACTGATTAGTACATCTGTTAGTAAGTTGATTAGGAGTTAAACTCACAGATAGAGCAATACATTGATGTATAGTAATGCTAAGTTCAAAATGATGCTTACATCTGCTATCACAAGGTCTCACGCAACATCATTCATTAAGACAACAGACGTCAGAGCATTCTTCCGGAAAGACAGAGGCCAGAAAAATGCATGCACACATTAGAAAAGAATGAGGTCATGTTGATTATATGGCTTGAATGCCTAGCAACTTCGTTCAAGATTGTTACTAATCAGAAAAACAGAATTCGGACTGTGGAATGGAAGTGGCTAGAATCATGTTTTCCTACTATGTAATCATTTTTACTCGGTAATATTCATTTTGATTTATCTTTTTTTGCTTCTAGTGATTTGAAATACTATTTCATTCTGCATAAAGCAATCTAGTTGCAAAAAGGAAACATTTTAATGGTTAACAAAAAACCAAAGAAAGAAGCATTATATGTGTATTCAATATTTATCCATTCTTGACAATTTTGCCAGTGATTTTTCCATAAAATGTTTGTATTGGAAACGTTGTTTTAATACACCATACTGTCAAGAAATTTATCTTTCAATTCATTGAAATCTTTGGTCATATTTTACAAATAAAGACATTGCATTTCTAGTTTTTCCTAACGAAACGATCTTTATGACTTTTACCCTTTATTAAGATCGTTAGTTAATGTTCTACTGTTGCAGTGATACTTGTAAAGTATGTTTAATTTAAAATTCGAGACTTTATTTCTATTGAGTTAGCCAAATGTAGATAATTCATAAGCAAACATGGAACATTCACATCATTCTGGTTATGATCTTGCTCTTTGAGCTTGCTCATTCGTTTACAAATACTTTGAGGAACTTTTTTTCTTGTCTGATTTTATCAAGAAACAGAGAAACAACAAAAAGAAGTAACTAAGAAAAACATGTTCACCTTTTCAATTCATCACACTACCTTCTTACATATTCTATTATTCATCTATCATATATATTATGTGTCAGATATTAACATTTAAGAAAAAAAAATATTTGAGTGTCGGTAATTTACAATTTGAGTAACATTTTTGAGTAACTTTTCATCACATTAGAATAATAAGATAAAAAAAATATCGGAAAAGGCTAGAAAAAACAAGATACACTTTGAGCATAAAAATTCACTAGTCGTGTTATTTATAGAAATATTTTCTTTTGGTGTTATTCATTATAGTTGTAGAATAAATTAGTACATGCTTTTTGAAGAATATTATATTATTCGTGAGAAAATCGATACTTTCAATACAATAGCATAGTACCATAAATACAAATTCATATTCAAAGGTGTCACATGTCAGAACCTTCGTTGCAAACGAAATGAACATAGAATAGTGAATCAGTAGAAAAGTTTTGAATTGAATAGTTTATTGAATTTTAAAGATAAGTTTTCCTCGATTTTCGACAGTGTAAAAACATATTATGGTGCTGCTTTGATAGCAATATTCTTACTGATTCTGTATTCGATGTCCATTTTATTTGCAACTGAAATTCTGTTCGTAGAAAATTCTGACATTGAATTAGTATTTTGAGTGTGTAAGAATTCTACTGAAAAACAAGAAATCGATTTTCTCACCCATAGTACAAATTTTTCAAATAGCATATATCGATATTATACTCTGGAGAAAAGTATCAAATAAATATTAAGGCTACAAAGATTTAAAGCTTTTGTTCTAGTTCAATTTTTATACAATTTACGCATTTGTCATCGACATTTTCTTCTTCTAGGTTTCATAATTAAAGATATTGTTCAGATAAATCAAAATAAATGTTCTTGAAAAATAACTTGACGCGATCTATCCAAACATGACACAAAAGAATACCAGAAAAATGTTGCTCGAATTTGAAATCGTCGACATCTTATATTTCATGATTAAATATGAAATAAATTGCACAAAAATAAAATTAAACTAGATACGTAGTAAACATATTCATTTGAAATCATCATCATCTTCAAAATCATCATCGTCTTGTTTGATATCTTCTTCTATTTCATCTGTTGAATCCCATTCAGATGTTTGTTTTTCTCCTGGAGTTGGTTCAAAGTCTACAACTACATCATAAACAAAATTTTTTGATGATGGATCCACGCGATTCTTTTCAAATGTTTCATTCATAATAAGCTTCTTATGTTTTAACGTACCATCATCAAGTTTATTTAAGTCTTCATTTACATCTAATTCATCGAATTTACGTAATTTCTTTTCAATATCATTTTTGGATATGTTGGCTGTGAGACCTTCTTTTACAACAAATAAAAGACGTTCAAGACGTCGCAATGGAACATACCGAAAGAGATTTCGTTTTTTAGTTGTTTTATCATCGTGAAGTTCATTAGCATAATCAGTTATATCCGAATCTTTGGTGAAATCATCCAAGACAACAGTGCGACGACGTAGTTTACCAGTTGATACATCCGTATAGAATAAATATATAGTCGGTGGCCGAAAACGAACGCCTAACTTTTGCATCTTAATTGATGTAGACGACGACATTAGTGACTTTGATTGAATAAATTAGTAATGGCTAAATGAGAATTCGTCTCGTAAGTTACCATGCAGTGATCCGTTACTTCATAGATGCCTCTTTCTTTTACTATTTACTTTGGTTACGAATTAATACTGTGAAATGCAAGCAACTGCCATCTGTAGGTGAACTTCAATATACGTAGAATCTATAATAAACTTCTGTTGAATATAAAATAAGAACTATTATTTATCATTTGAAAGTGAAAGTGTATTTGTATTTGAAATGTTTTTCTGGGAAAAAAGACGCAAGAATAATTACTCTTTAAGAAAAATAACAAAAACGAAGTCGCTTTTCAGTTAATCTTGATAAAACTAATGTTAAGCAATGCGGTTCTTGTGTAAATTTTAATTGTGCTCTACCGATTTCTTGTCGAATTTCATTAACTTTAATAATTAATTTTTCATTTTAGATCTTCTTCCTATTTTCTTTTTGTTGAACAATATTAGATGTAGTTTCATTTTCATCGCATGTTTCTATTGTTACATATCCAATGCAAGAATGAATAACGTTTGTTGTATAATTTATAGTGTTTGAATTAGTTTCAAACATACATGATACATCAGATTTTTAATTCTGCACATGTACACGCCTGCACGCTCACGAAAATTAAAATGTGTTATTACAGAACAATAAATATCAAAGACAGATACTGAATCCTATCCATCATTACAAGCTGAGGAAATGGCACGACTTTTATTACTCACTGTTCATGAATTGAGACACAACTACTCATAAAATCCAAACCTGCGACAGAATTAGTGTGTATTAATCTAATGACTTTCATATTTTTTCTGTTCTACTTTCAAAGTCACTGTTATATATATATATATATATATATATGTATATATTATGGATAGAAGTGTATCGAAAGAGTTAGCTGCCCAGGTCGTAGAGGTACGGTGGGAAACGGCCGAAAAGCCCGGGAAATCGCTGGAAAGTGGAACCAGTATTCCGCCCAGAAATGACCGGATTTTTTCCTATGGATTCCGGCCAGTCTCCTGTGCTTTCCGGCTGGAAGATGACCGGAATACGCCCGGAAAAAAGTCCGTCAATCTCCGACCGGAATACTGCTTCCACGTTCCAGCATTTTTGTGGGCTTTTCTGCCAGATACGGTGATTTTTCCGCATCTTTCCGGTCGGTTCCTACGGTATCCGTCCTCCGGAATCATTGGCCTGAGTAATCTATCGATCCGATCCCATCAAAAAAGTTCAGTACTCAGCTCGTAATATAATTTGAAATCAATCAATTGAATTTGTCAAACCAGCTATGATACATTTATTTGTTCATTATTCAATTGTTTTTCTCTTGCTTTTTGGCAACGTATCTGAGAAAACATATAGACAAGAGCCGTTTCAATAGAATAGTTTGAAATAAAACCTATTTATCTCAGCTTTAACAAATATAATGATTACATTTTCCGGCAGTGATTTTCATCTATCCTGTTTCAAATGTTTTAAGGAGGTATTCACCCACTTATTTACGATCTTCCAGAATGTGACGTATGAGATGTTACACAGTAAAATGCTATGAAAAGGTGGACTTTTTCAGGTGTTAATTCAGATACTGAGCCTAATAAACCCAGAAGAATCGCTCCAACTATTGGATAAGACAAGATCTGACAGGAATCCTGCCAGGTTTTGTGTTGAGAAACGACAATTAAATCCTCAATGTTGAAACTCGATCGCAATCCATTGTCAGATTCAATGGCACCTAACGAGAGTTTCTACCAGAGGTGTCCACAGGGCCTCTCTTATTGTTCTGCCCTCGCAGGACAAAAATGATTTGAACTTTTTCTTTCTGTCCTGCAAATGAACAAGAGTTCTTTTCATGTTTGAATTCAAGTTTAAGTAATTTTTTATTTCAAAAAATAATTCAGCAAATAGATAAATGATTAACAAATAATAAATAAGCCCTAATTCAAGAGGCGTATATGATGGACTCGCACCAACACTGGTGGTTCACCAGTGGAGATATTTAACAAAGAGAGAATAGAAAATTCATTCTCATCACCAGAAGAGATAGATGAAATATCAGCACGTGAATCAATCACTGATGCTGGCGATGCATAGTTTTATTTTTAATTGTTTTATTGAAATAATAAGCATATGTGCAACTATTACAACCATAAGCATATGTGCACTATGATGATTCCTTTATTATTTTCTTTTCTTCTCTTACCACTTTAATTGAACTTTATGGCCATCGTACAAACACAAGTGTTACAATCTATTTACTATTTAATAACACCATCTGAATTCTTTTAGTTTCTTTCACGTTTCCGAGAAAAATTATATTGCCGTTATTTTCAAACTCAAGTAAGTAAATGTAAAATTTGCAGGGCATAAAGGTATAGCCCTGCCCTGTACAAGACGGAGCATTTTTTAAACTTTTGCCCTATGAACACCTCTGGTTCTTACGGATTTCTAATGTTAGAATTAGGGACTAAGTAGTGTTCAACTACTTAAACAGAATTCACTCGTCGGATCCACCAGTAGTTTTTTAATCCAGAATTCCATTGGATTCTATTGATTGGAATGATCTTGCAAGATCTTATCCGAATCGGTATCAGAGTCGGATAAAACTTTTTCAACAGTTACGAGTGATGATAGCTCTACATCAATTTGTTGATTAGTGTTTTTTTTTATTTCATTTACGGCCGATTTTCATTAAAACATCCAATTCAATATAACCAAGAAAATATTTCTCATATAATTGTTAATATTAGTCATTTTTTAAATTGATCTATTCAAATAATGATCTGAAGAACAACAAATATATAAGTGTGTCGATAATTTTCTTCTTCTAGATACAGTATTATATAACAGAACACAAAAGAAATGCAATTTTTATATACAAAAAAATTGTTACATTTTTTTTCTGTACGGTGGATATGCAGTAACAAGAAAGAAAAAGGAAGATAGACATTAGAATAAATCATCATAGACCAATAATTAACATGAGCTTAGTATAGTAAGAAAACGAGCAAGAATAATAACATCATGAAACACCAAAATAATACATAAGAAATATGCTAACAAGTGACAAAAAAGTTATTTAACAAAGAATTGTTAAGAATATTATTATTTTTCTTTTCTTCAGATTTTGAGAAAAACAAATGTTAGGCGATTGCACAAGTGAAAAAGAAGAAAAAAGATCGCACCATGTATATGAGAGAAAAAAACATATTTATATCTGAACATAAATAGAATACTAAATAACAGTTGATGGAAGTTTGTCATAAGGTGGACCAGGTGATGATGCCGGTGGGCGTTGGCGAGGTATTGTATTATGTTGAGGAGATATCGATATTGGTTTGATTTGTTGAGAATTCATATGCAAATCTACATTATTATTTGTTAATGTTTGAAGAATTTGAATACAATCACCGTGTGCACATTGAAGAGGTGTTCGACCGTTGTTATCAACAGCGAATGCATCACCACCATACTAAAATGAAAAGAAATTATTGGTTTGAGTTAATGTTTTATTGTATGTTCATCTGTTGTTATTGTTTTTTCTAGTTTGATTAAGAAGAAGAAGAAGAAAAGGAACTGATAAGTTTAAGAAATCTGAATCATGATTGAAAACTATAAATTTTGATTGATCAATGATCAAGAAATATTTTTGCATGCAAAAGCATATTTTTAACGAAAACAGATTTGATTTACGCAAAAATTCTTTATTGTTATTTAAAATAGTTTTCATTTACTCTAAAAAAAGAAAAGATCTATAAAGAATGAGCTATTCAATTTTATGAATAAGTTTATGACAACAATTACCCAGAAAAATATTTATTCGCATATCATTTTTAACCACTTTATTTAAGACTATTTAATTGATCTATCAAAATTTCTAAATCATGGATGCCATAAAACTGTTGTAATATTTGAAAACAAGAAAGTTTTTTTGTTCCCATTGAGGAAACGAATTCTAAAAATTATCTAATCCAACAACAAATAGCCTCATACATAAAAATATCTATCAGTATTTAATATATCTCATTTGTAATCAACTTTTTCGTAACATGAATTATCATTATGTGATGAAATCATTCAAAATAAGAAAATCTTCTTGAAGCCGTTTATAACACAGTAAAGTCAACTAAAATTGTTTTGCACCTTATATAGTAGAATCTACCAAGGAAGGACACTGACTAACAAACAATTTAAGACTCAATGGAGAGATCTCAACTAAAAATACATCTTGCTAATTTGAAAGCACATACGAGGTTGTTTCTTCATGACCTTTATTCTGTCTGTCACTTTTTCCGTATCTACTACAGCTAGTTCCATCTTATATATTCATCATCTATTACTAAAATTACGTCAACCATAATATGATGACACGAGCTTCGTTTGTAAATAGAACAGGAAACTAGTTTACTAGCTGAGAATAAACGATTACTTGATGCCGATTTCGTACATTCAAAGATAATCAGACACACCATATATAAAATGATCTATTCTGTACTTGAAAAATCTTGTCGTTTAATTGACGAGGACAAGTCTCAAAATTTTCTTTATAGCTTTGCGGTAGTTCGGGAAAGTCAGGGAACTGATCACGATTACAAAATGAATTCCTAGAGAAAGGGTGGCAAGTCAATATTCTGAAAGTTTTAATATTTATCGTAGTTCAGTTCTCAGTATTGAAAGCTTCCAGATAAGATCCATCTTAATCGACTATAGTTATGTACATGATCAATATAGATAGAATTCCTGCTCCTGTTAGCAACGTCGATGTAGAGTGTTGAAATGTGTATTATTTTTAGATTTTTCTTCATTTATTTATGTGAAAAAAATACAATTGATTCACTAAGTAATTGAAACTAAATGAATTTTAAAAATAAAAGTTCAAATCAGAACATCCATAATATTCAATACTGAGATGTACACAGACTGAAAGATTCAAATTTCCAGGAAGTTCTTTTTCTAAAGTTGATATCGATCTTACTCTGGTTCATGACAA